TGGGAGTGCCGGTTGGGAGGGGGGGGTATACTTGTAGGAGGGAGAGGGGAAGGCGAACTGTTCCAGGGCGGCGGCGTAGGCTATGTTTGGGAGGGAGCTGAGGAGGGAGGGGGGGAGGATTTCCCTCGCGGCTTTGTCGAGCATGTCGCCTAGGGAGATGTTGGTTACTGTTGCGAGGATGGTGTGGGTTGTTAGGGTGGTGGAGAGGAGGAGCTGGGTGTGGCCTCCTGAGGCGAGGAGGGTTAGGAAGGGAAATTTAGGGGAGAGTTTTGATGAGGGGGTTGAGGAGGAAGGGGGGAAGGGTTGTTGTAGAGCGTGGTCGAGGCGGGGGGTGAGGGCGTGGCCTTGCATGTGATGAACTCCTAGGAAGGGGACCTGCCAGGCGACAGAGAGGCCTTTGGCTACTCCGAGGCCGACGTCTAGACATCGTGGGAAGCCTGGGCCTCTTGTCACGGAGACAAAGTCAGGAAGTCGTCGGGGGGTGGATTTGCCTGTTTGTGGGTCGCGGATAGAAATGGTTTTGACCTCTGGGGAGTGGTTGGTGTGCTTTGGTAGTGATTGTACAGCTTCGTTGACCAGCTTAGCCAACTGAATCTCGTGCGATTTGGAGGCTATTGTAGGATGTATGCCCTTGAATTCAACATGGTTTGATGGTATTCTCTTGTTGAACTGTAAGCGTGCTGCTGGGCCTGCTTTTTCGAGGATAGCGACACAGGTGTCATCGCATGATGTCTCTATGGCAATAGTGAGGAGAGATTTGTGGTGAGTGCCGCTACTCAAGTATCGACAGTGTCTGTTGAATGATAATGGCTGCCTTGTTCTCAGTGTATATCTTGGTGGCCCACTGGACAGGGTGGTTGAGAATCTCATGTTGGCTTTGATCTCATGGTTTGGTTTTTACTTGTTGGCCTGAAAATGAAATGACGGGAAAAGCCGTTTATGCTGTCTGAAAATTTTTATCAGCTGCTTGAACTGATTAATATTTGAGGTATACCCACCTTTCGAATATTTGTGATATAAGTGTCATTGAAGTGCCAATGAGTGAAACCATCAAGGTGGACAAGCTGAATAGGTCAAGATTTTGGCTGTCTGACACCCCTTGCCAGCTGACGGCGGACCGTTCCCGCCCGTATCTCACTTACACACCTTACCACCACGGGTCAGCCAAAAAATACATCAAGAGAAAAAGTGGCAATTATTGACAGACGAATAATAAGTAGGATGTTCTCATAAACTTCAAGAAAAATGCATGGTCAAGAACACGGAAAAAATGACACAATACACCCACATATCCAGCCCCCATCAGATCAGATACCCATCTATATACCCTTTTATTTCACCCAACCTATATCCATCTCTAATGCAAAACCAACCCATCCCCAAACTCCTGTCCATCCCGGCTGAAAGAAAGAAAATCAAGCCTCAAAACTCCTCGCCCTCCTCCTCTCCTCATCCGGCTTCCTCTGAACCCCAAACCCCCCATCCGTCTGCCCAGCAGCCGGCCCCTGATCAACCTGCTGATAAACCTTGATATCATTCACCAACCAGTACGCCTCCTGAAACCCCTCTGGATTCTGCCCGACCCAGTCCTCGCACGTGTCAGCCAGACTCTTGCAGGTATCATCCTGTCCCCAGACCTGTCCAGCCCAATCACCGCAAAACGTCGTGTCAAAGACAATGTTGTGGTCCTTGAAGTGGTTAGGAATAGAGCAGTTCCCTGATCCATTCCCGACGAACTTTGCGAGAGGCGTCCCAAAGTTGCTGGTATTCGGCACTGACGAAGGAGATGCGGCGGCCAAGGACTTGCAAGTGTTGGAGTTCCTCGGGAAGAACCACACAGCAATGTGGTCATCGGTCCACTCCAAGGCATAAATACCGCCGCCAATGTCGTTGAACCCAGCACCATAGTTATTGGTAGCTGATGTCGTCTGGCCGCACCCAGTATTACCCTCGCAATTGCCATTTGCCAATTTGGTGCTCCCCAGCGAGCCAGTGTTGGCCATCTCACACCCCTTGGCTGTATGCAATGTTATCGAATTCGACTTTTGGGTGTTGATGCCTTCCAGGATATCAATCTCGCCAGAGGTGGGCCAGTCAGGACCGAACATCCAGTAGGCCGGCCAGAGTCCGCAAGACGATGATGCCGAGCCGGGCATGTGGGCTATGTCGGCGATGAACAGACCCTTGGTGAAGGCCTGGTTGGAGGTGACACGGGTAGACTTGCGGCCGGTTGTGGTGGTGTTGGTGTGATCAACACCAAGGTAGACACCATTTTGGCTGTAGCCGGCAAGGGAGAGGCGGTTGGCGGTGGGTGCGTCCACGTACTCTACGAACCCGTGGGTCGGGTCGGGCTGGTCGAAGAAGGTGAATTCGGAGAAGAAGTTGGTGGCGTTGAAGACCTGGGTGAGTGTATATCTCGAGGTAGATGCTGCTATCGTGGCTTGGGCCAGAGAGGCCAGGAGGGCTCCTCGTGAGAAAGCTGTTGGTTTGACCATTTCAGTACTGTCGTGACGTCTTTTCCAGGGGTATGGTGTGCTGATCTATTCGTTGTGTGAAACTATTTGCTGAAGAAGACCTGCTTCTGGGGTTTGTTGTGTGTTGCTAAGAGAGCGCTGAGATTGCCTTGAGTTGTAGATGTTGAAAATAAATATGCGAAATGACAGTGGTCTCCGAGGGTGGTATAAGTGAAGGGCAACCGATAAGGACAATGTATTCTCAACAAACAATGGTTATTGTCGTCCTGAAGACGTGGGCCCCTTTGTGTAGAGCAACCAACAACAGACAATAGGAGAACCAACGATAACCAGCTGGACCGTCACTACAATGAATGGCACCCCAAAAAGTGAAAACAAGAGAACGTAGCAAACTGCGTCTGCAAGTCGAGTAAAGACCGGATGAATTCTAGCGTGGCCCAAAAAGAAGGTCGCCCCAAAGCAGGAGATACAGTCTAGTCAAATACCCCCTCGACTCCAATGCAGACTTCTGCATGTACACACCAACCCACTCATTCGGGTCTCTCAAAAAGCCCGCGATCCATCCTCCCCCCCATCCAGCCCTGACAAGGCCAAAGTGCCACTCACACCCAAAACACTGGACAGCTCTCCCCCATCTCGGCCACTTGGCAGTCCTGCCTGAGCCCAGCAGACAGGGAATCCTTCCCCCCGGAGACGCCAAATTGCAGACTCAACACCTAATATCAAGAGTGTCTCTACCCAGTCAGTCAGTCAAGAAAAGAAAGAGGGTTGCTTGCCAAGCTGAGGGGGAACCTCAAACTGTAAGGTTTTCCAAAAACGTAAACTACCAGCAACAAGGGGGTCCATGCAACCGGACCTGCCATACACCACGACGCGCGGTTGTCAGAGCTTGCCCTTCTCACCAGCCGCTCAGGATAGAACATATCCAGGCGAGACAAAACCAGTGCTTGGTTCTTTCCCTTTCCCCCACCACACACTTCCATGAACCCCTTGAATCGGAGAGCGCGGGTAATAGGTGGCAGTACCTGTGAGCAACGAAACGTTGCTTTCCCCCGATAGTATACACAAAGCATCAGATGGGAGGCCGAGAGACGGTCAAGACCCATCGGCAAAAGTCTTGGAAGATCGCAGCTCCAAAAGCCAGGAACCAGTCATGGGAAAATTACCATCCAAAGCAAAACCTCTCACTGGGTTTGGTCTGTTTTCCAAGAGTTTGCTCTCTCTGCGCCAGGTTGAAGAAGCCAAAGCCAATCGAGTGGTCCCAGGTCTGGCGCTTGAAATTCAACCAATCACCACTCAGACTCTTGGTCGATGCAGTCCAGTGAAACCACTTACACCATTTGGTCCGTGCGCCTTCCTCATCTGGTCAAACCATCATCCTCACCCACACCACCATCTGCATCTCTTTCAGCCTCACAAAAACCTCAACCTCAGCTCACGTATATCATCCATACCTTTACCTCTCTACCCATCCTCATCACATTCCATCTCTGGCTATTTCTCCGAATCAAAGTCTGTAAAGTTTCATGTTACGTTTCCCTCGCTCTTTACCTTCCTTCCTTGTTTGGCCAGCATTCGAAATCTCATCAACCATCCATTTCAGACAATATATTGCCCTTTTTCTCCCCTCCCCCGGCTCGGCCGAGATTCCAACCCTCATAACATCCAACGTTCCACAAGTCAGGTACAATCCCCCTAAAGCAATACCGCCGAACCTCGGTAATGTCTTCAACAATGCATCACTCCCGTCCATCATCATCATCATCATCATCAGAGACACACAACGTGCCCCGTCACACAGCATCAAATCTTTTTTGACAGCCTGCGTGATCTGATGTTCCACCCCTCTCTCCACCATGCTAGACCTGAGATGAAAGTAGTAACCCGGGGTTCGATCGTCAGCTTTCTGTCGGCCCTCAGCAGATTCCAGCTCTCATCTTTGAAAAATCATTGCTGTTTCCGAGGCTTAAGCCCCCAAGTTACAACAACCATGTCTCTCGTGTATGTTATATCCCGTGCCCGGTAGTAGGTAGCAAAGATACTCTCCATGGATACACATGATGCATCATGTAAAAAAGTCCCTATAACTTGTGTGTATGTGTGTGATGTTATGTACAACCCTATCCAAAACCCTGTACTCCCAACCCACCCAGACCTCCCCCTCCCATTTGTCCTCCAACTCTCCCTTGCCCGCCCGCCTTTTAATTGTCAATCCATGACAGAAAATACCGTCCGCCCCCCCTCCCCACCAAAGAATCAAATGGCCTCCTCCGTCACAAGCAATACGGCACCGCGTGGGACAGATGAGCTTGCAAAGGGAAAAAAAATGGGTCGAAACACTGTTGCCTGCCACAGCCGCTCAAATGCGAACATCTCCCTCGTAAGAGAGAAAACAAAAAAGTAACATTGAAGAAGAGATGCGTGCCTGTAATCTCCTTTCAAGTGTTGCGACGGCTATGCAAAACAAGGATGATGTGAATATACTAAAAACAGCGCAGAGAAGGGACAAATACCCCTCTTGCTTCTATTGGCCAAAAGATTATGTAACGTCCCTTTGCTCGTCAATAATTCGGCAAGGGACAAATGTAGAAACGGAAGCTCGTAGATCCTGAATATCGTGATCGTGTCTTCGTAGAAAGGCTTCCAAACCAGCCTTCTTAAAGTTTGACCTTTTGGCCCGTGAGTTTGAACCAAATGACAGCCACAAACTCCTCCTTGAAGAGCTCCCAGGGGTTTCGGTTGAGCCAGTAGCTGAGCTCACGGTAATTGTACATTTCTCCCCAACAGTCGCGGCCCCATTCGCAACCAGCCATGTTGACCAAAAAGTCCCGGTCCTTTTGATCGTAGTGGATCCGGGTGTCGTTGCCGTTCTCTGAGCACGCCCCCGGTGGGAAGCTGTTGATCATGCGCTGCGGAAGGAAACCAGTGTGCTTCCGGATCCAGGGCTGAGTAGTGTACAGCTGCTCCAGCGCATCCTGCTCCTTATGCTCCCACTCCATGTGCCTCTGTTCGTATGCCACAGGATCCCACCAGACATCCAGCAACCGGTCAGTCCACGGGCTCCGGCGAACAAAGAAGGAGCCAAGGTTGAATCCAGAGCAGTCCTGGGGCAGGATCAAGTTCACCGAGTTGACGTTGCCATCACCCACGGGGCTTCGCGAATCAGCGTCGAGGTACTCGTCCGTCATCGGGTGTGTGATGTTGAGCGGGTTGTATTCGTTGATGTCACGGTAGACATGCTTGTGAAGGTTGTCGAAGATGTGGTCCTGGAGTGAATAGCTTGGTTCCATGATGAAGGTGTTCAGATCAAGCCACCAGATCCTAGAATATGCGTTAGCTACCATCGGACGAGTGGACAGGAAGCAGCAACCAGACATACCATTCGGCCTTGGGGTACTTTCTGAGCGCTGTGCGAATGAAATCCACCTTCTCCCAACTCTCGCGCCATTCGTGGGCATACCGTTTCTTGGTGCTCATGTCGACAATCTCCAGATCGTATCCCCATCTGCCCACGTATTTCTTTTTGTTCCTAACCGAGTCTCGCTCAATCGCCCATTCTCGTGCTCCCTTCCACTCCATGACACCGCCACCAACGTTGGCAGCCAATATGATGACAAACTTTTGACCGCCGCCAAGCCATGACGTTCTTCTCCAGTGATATACCAAAGCTGGGCGTATTGTTAACCGCGGCTCGTCCGAGCTACCCGTCCCTAGATGTCCACTTACGAGTATTGTAAAATACGATGATGCAAAATAAAAGCATAAGCAAAATGAGTAGCCGTATCTTCATCTTCCGGCCCATGCGTCCCATGAGAGCCCGTAATCTTCCCAGCAACGGTACGTTTTGAGCCGACCATCTACCACGGCCAAGCTTCTCTTTCTCGGAATAGGGCGAGCTGCTGGAGCTGTTGAAACGGGGGAGGCTGCTCGATATCTTGCGCATGTGTTTTGACAGGAAGCCCGAGTTCTGCGTCGCAAAGGAAGGGTACCCGGACCCGCCAGCCTTTTTTAGTCTTGATGATTCCCACATGACAGGCGTTGCGCTGCTCGACCCCCCTGTGTATCCTCTGGTTGGACTCGATCGACCGCTGCCGATGTTGAGACCTGGGCTGGCCCAACCGCCGCCAGGTACGGGAGATGGACTGCGAGACAAGGACATCGGGAAACTGGGTGTGCCTAGAAATCGAAGGAGGAGGGATTAGCTTGTTGCTGTGTGATATACATTCCACACAAGGGTTTGCGCAAACACAAAGAGTGCTTGTCACCCGTGGCTGCTGGCGGCCGAAGGGGGAACACGAGGACCAGGTGGATAGTAGCCACGTACCTGGAATCGGCGAGAGAGGTCCCTGAGGCTGATGCTGAGGCTGGACGGTCAAATAGGCCGAAGGAGAGCGTCGGTTGTCCAATCGCAGACTACCTGGACTGGGTCCGGCGGCGGATGAGCGTCTTCGGTGATGGGACCGTACCGGTCGGTCGCTGAACGACGACGACGACGCTCCGCCGTTCTGGGAGGACGCCAGTTTGTGGGTTTTTCTTCAACGTCGTACGGGGATGGGGCGCTGGCGATTGGGTGGTTGAATGGGAGGGACGGGAGCCACCTCACCAAGCTTTCGATTTGTGGGGGGGATTTATTCCAGTCTTGATTGCGATTGCAGCTGGTGAAACTCGCAGTTGCAGCCGAATAAACGACGAGGCGTCTGCTGTACCGCCTACCGAAACGGCAGATCCAGTGATGTGGTGGTGCTGTAAGACTGTCGTCTCTTCGTCACTCCCTCTGGACGCTCTGTGCGCGCCTCGATCCACGCGGGGCGACGCTGCGGGGTTTGGTCGTCGGTGCAGATGAAGGAGCGGGATTGGGATTCATAGGTATGCTTGAGGGGCGGTGGATGTCGAGTTTGTTCGAAATTATCAAACAATTGTTGTTGAGGATTTGGCCAGAGTGGACATTGTGAAGCCAAGACTTTTTCGGCAGCGGTCAGCCAGCTTTTTCCTCCCCCCTTGTTTGTTCGGCAGGGTCCTCGCTCCTTGGCCTGGGGCCCGTGGAGGGCCCCTGTTTCTTCAACTCCCTGGGCTGAGGTAAAACCCCGATGCTTGCCAGTCCTGATGAGCCTCTGATTCTGACTGTGAGCACATATACGAGAAACAGCTGGCTTGTTGTCTTCAACTCCATATTTGTTTCCATCCCGTCACTGTCTCTCCGTTTGCAGCGTAGGACGGGATTCTCAGGATTTTCAAGGTCGCAGATGGAAACATGGGACAAATCATTGCCAGAGATCAACCTGTCTGCAACACGCTAAACGTCGGGTAGCGTCCACCTTATCTCTCAGAACCGTTCAATTTCAGGGGGGGTTAGAAACCAAGACCCCAACGTTCACAAACGCCATCACCAATTTCTCCATTTCTCCAGAAGTCCTCAAGTCACGACAATCCCCTGGCAAGTTCCAGGTTGCGGGTGACGCGATTCGGGGCCATGTTTACGCGTGTATCCGACGAATTCAGACACCGGTTCGGATCAGCGGTAGAACAGCAGTAGACCGGATCCGGACACATGAAAGCTGGGATAGGGAGAGAGGTGACAGATGAGGTTCGGATTTCCATACCTATTGGCCGTCACTCCATCGCATCCCCTTTTCCTTCAAGTCGTTGTTGAAAAGGTGCCAAGGCTGCGTAATCTTACCCACTATCAACTCTCAGCGCCCCAATTGAAAATGGTTCCTCGGTGGCGTTCTGCAGCATCAGATCTTAAAAGGCAAAACGGCCGTGATAGTGCTTGCCGGTAAGATACCTAGGTGGGCCGGAAAAGCTCACATCTGAACACTAAGTTGGCTCTTTTACTGGACTCCTTGATGGTCTTCATGTTTGTGAAGATGGACATTTTCTTGGCACGAGACTTATGAGTTGTGCTGAGCCGCCGACCAGCATCTGACATCCAAACTTTCGGAAATATTGCAGAGTGCCAAATACCAGGACGCGGAACAATGAAATGTGAGCGAGATGATCTTGCCAAGCAAACATTTTCCTGGGGTTTGGCCCCCGTGATAGAACATTTGCCGGCGTTTCTAGAAACTGTCTGTTCCGAGTTTGGGGCGATTCCAAGACGGCATGACAATGCTGGCGGGATTGTCGAATGCAAAAAAACATCGTTTTTACCTTGAAACACTGTTTCACTTGGCATCGAGATATCATACTACATCTTCCAGATTGCCTTTCTGGACATATTGACATCTTAGTACAGTCATCACTGTGATAGAAGACGATTCTATCGAGCCACTCGAGTGACTGATTCACTGTCTTGGAGGCTTTGACCTCTCTCTCGGCTCTCTAACCTCTTCACAAGGTACAATCCTCATCGTTAACATGTGTTGGCATGGGTTTTCAGTTTCCCGTGCTAGCCTTCTTTGTCGGGGCATGATCATTGAGGGGGTTGGGCGCCGTTTCCCGTTTTTACGCCGTTCTGACAGTCTACTTGGTGTGGATGGTTGCCAGACCGGGCCCAGCGGTTCGTAAGGGCGTAATCGATGGTGAATTCAAGTGCCGGTGGATACGACATCCATATATTCGTCTGACACCATAATTGATTCGAGTGCCACTGGCGATGAAGCCCTCAACCTGATTGGAGATGTCAGTCCTTGTGACTTATATCAGTAAGCCATGCATAAAACGCACAACCAGCTCCGGTGTTGTGGTTGTTCATCCTATGAAAATTCGCTCACGCACAGGCCGCTGTTGGCGTTTTAACATACCCGGTTATTTCGATGGCCGGAAACAGCATCATTTTGGCTGTTGAGAAACGTACAGCTAAAGGATGACGAAATACGGAAAGCACGGCAGTCTGGTTTTCATCGGTTTGTTGGCTTCTGGCCCATTACAGTCTCCTAATAGGTAGGATGCTGAAATGTGATAAATGGGGCCTAGTGTGCACGCCGTCGTCTTTAGATCATATCCTACCTACATCTTCATCAGCTCTTGAAGCCAGTCTCTTTCAAAACCAAGATAATGCCCTCCGATGATGACCCTCAACAAAGCAGCCCATGGAGGCTATTCCACTCGACGGTCTGGTAACAAGGCAACCTGTGAGTCTCTTGAGATGATGTTGGATATATCTCACATGCCTGACTCATTTTGTCAACAGAGTGCGGAACCTCAACCTGAAGTGGGCATGCGTGGTGGATTTGTGGAAGAGTGCGATTGCTGTTGCTGCGGCGAGGAGTGTGTTTGTTGCTAGATACCTGGAGAAACGAGATAGTGGAGGTAGTGGAACTTCGCTGGAAACAAGGATGTGGTTATCAAAATATCATGTCATTGATCTATGTTCATTTATGTGTCGTTGAGGTTAATCGATCAAGATATGTTGCAGCCAACACAGATTTAAGTTGCAAGGGACCTTAGTGACGTCTTTCTTGCAGCCCTTGACGGCTTGGCAATAAAGCTTGGCAAGAGCTGGACGCTTGGCGGACTTGGCAGCGCTTGCCTGGAATCTCAGCAGAGAAGCTGCCTGTGGGTTTAGGTGAGAGTACAGACTGGTGTTACTAGAAATATGGGCCGTGTCTACCTAACGATCAGTCAGTAGACAGCTCGAGAAACCATCAAGCTGTGATGTTTAGATGGTGATTTGTTCAAGGATCTCGAACTTCGCCTGTGTTGTTGTGGGTTTTGAGCGGGACGCACGGGCCACACCCGTATCCCACCCACCTTCCACAGTTCACGAACAGGCGGAAACAAATCCACTGGAAACCAGTCACCATCTTTTCAGCCAGCTTCGGTTTCATCAAATGCCATGACGCGACAGATTTGTTGTTCTGGACTCTTCACTAGCTGTGTGGAGCTTTCAATCTCCGTGTTGCGCTGCGAAGCGACACGATGAGCACAATTGGATGGACGGGTCTGAATGCAGCCGCGACTAGGAACCAATCAACATCAAGTTCAAGACCATGGGTATACATGGGCGCTTCGCCGTGGCCAATCCCTCGGCGCGAAGCAACCTCGCAGCGCTTATTCCACACAGTTCTCATGCCCCATCAAATGGGGCATTTCCTTCTGTCCACAGAGAGCGCTCTGCTTAACGACGAGCCCTTTCTCGCAAACATGGGCAGATGCAGTCCGGCCAGAGGCGAGCCACTCAGACATCCGCGAATGGATCCATGAGTCGGATTCCCGGTTAGGTGGTGGTGAAATGGCTGGTGGTGACTGTGTTTGGTTTCTCCTTGCAAATTATTCACTTGCCTCTCTTTTCTATCTGTCGTTCTTCTCGTGGTTTTCTCTCTCCATTGTTCCTATTGTTCTGGCTCCATTGTTCCTGGTGGACTTGCATTGTTGGCTTTCTTTGAAACAGCCACCTGCACCGAGAAATGCCGGTTCTTCCTCAAGGTGCTCCTTTCTTTTCTATTGTCTATTGATTGGAAGGATTCTAATCACCGGGACACAATTCAATCACGTTGCCACTCACCTGTGGCCATATCGAAGTCTTCTACAAAGGTCTTGTTGCCAAATGGCCTGGTTCCATTTCGACTTGCAACAAATTTCCTCTTCCTAATAATATTTCTGACAAGAGCCCATCACACACCAACCATCGCTACATAATCAAGCACAATTTAATCAATACACCCAACATGGACAACACGAACGACTTACGGACCCCTCCCTATCGTCCCAGCAGCCACCTCACTGGCAGGACCAAGGAGGACTGGGAAGAATGGGAGGATGATGAAGTGTTGACTCCCATGACAGCTGCCCCCATGGACGGCCCCTTGGTGGACATCAACACAGACCCATTTCCATCTGGACAGCCAAGTCAGACAACAACCGCCTCTTTAGCACCACGCCTGTCCGTACAGAAGGTGAAGAGGTTAAAATCTCGACATAGACAAAAGGCACAAAACGCAAGGGCGGGCATCAAACTGGTCACCGACATGTCCAAGTTCCGTCAACAGAAGCAGCAGCATATCGCCAACCAAATGAAACTGAATTCGGCAAATCGCGAGAGTCGAACAGGGAAATTCGTTGATGCCGCCGCCTTGTTAGCTTTGGAAGGGCAACAGAACGGTGAATCTAGCAGCACTTTCGGCTGGCTGAAACGGAAGCCGACAAAAGGCAAAAGAGTCGATAGGCTAGTTGCTGAGTCTTCGCCGCAGGTTGATCTCTCACCTAGTGCCGGGCCTATTATGATCGGCTTCGAGATGCCTACAGACTCGGATGTAGTCATCAGCCCCCATACAGCTGTGGTCGAGACACCAGTGGACTTGCCCCCCTATTTTCGCCAACCACCAACATCACCGCCATCAAAGCAGCCGGTATCTGCATGGTCACCGGATACCGAGGACGATTTCTCCCCTCGGGGTCTCGATGGCATGATCCTTCCACAAACGGCCTATGTCCCAGCCGTTCCATCCATCCCTTCTGGCTACAGAGGTCAGGAATTCTCTCCTATATCTGACCGCGATCGTGTGGATGGCTTTGGGATGAGCAAAGAGGGCAACAACAGACGAGACACGGCAACAACTGCATTTTATGTCAGTGACGATGACAGCGATATGGACACACCCGTGACGCTTTTTGAGGAAGATGGCAGTCCAGTATTCACCAAAAAGTCATACAGCCACACTAACAGGCAGAGGTCAAATACTGGTGGGAGTACGCGATCTCAGGGATGGTGGGATCAAGTCACTTCCCCTTTTGTACCAACCCCAGCAACACCAAGACTCCCGACTGTAGGAGAAGCTGCTGAGCCAAAGGTGAATACTGAATGGTGGGAAACGACAAACCAAAAGACGGGGCTCTCGCCTGTTCTCACGAGGTCCAATTTTGGCCAGTCTAGCAGTTCGAAGATTGAGACAATTCCACAGCAACGTCCGCCACGCATCATTGTTCAGGACTTTTCACCAGTTGAGCCCACGCAATCAACTCCAAACCCGCCAGGATCAGCACCAGCACCAGTACCGACACCTATTACAGCCCCGAGAGCAGCCCCAGCTCCAGCTCCAGCTCCGACACCGGTACCAGCATCAACAGTAGTGTCTCAACCCGAGACCCAAACAGAAAAGTCACGCATCCTGGTTGAGGAATCTCGAACACCCGAGTTCCCGCCTCCCTATTCACCTCCACATAGACAGGAGAATGTTCGTTACCAGGCGGTGCTTCCTCCAGGCCACGCTGCGACCACCATGTTCCCCCCATCACCAGGTCCCGTCCCTGTTGGTTTATCGCAGACAATGACATCCCAAGGCGCCATCGGTCTCCAAAATGTTCCTCTAACACCACCTCCGACACAGATGCGGCTGCCAGACCGGCCGATAGGGTCTTTTCTCCCAGCAAACTATTTGCCCAACTTGGCGGCAGAACGAAAGCGAAGGAGGCACGAGAAAGAAGACTTTGTGGCGAGGAAAGTAGGGCGTGGGTGTTTCCCATGCTGCGGTGCTCTTGGGAAGCCAGGGCCCGAGGGACGGAAGCGGAGACGAGTGTGCTTTGGCATCCTTGCTGCCCTCATCTCCATGATCATTTTGGGGGTTGTCCTTGGAGTGGTTCTATCACGGCGCACAGTGGCCGAAGCAAGCATCCCATCACGGTTTCTCAACCTCACCGACTTCCCACCAATGCCCACTGGCATTTCGACAGTGATAGGAACTCAGTCAGACTCAAGCACAGTCTGTATCCAACCGGCAACACTTTGGAGTTGCTCGCTCCCAAAAGAAGAGGCCGATTCCGTGGCCCCTTTCAACGCGGACCAGCCAAGCTTCATCCTTCAAATCCAGTTCGACAACAACACCAGACAGACATGGAACGTCACCGGTCAAGAACCCCCCCGGCCTACCCCCATAGACCTCGGAACCGGAAGACCCCTAGATGAACTCAACCGCACAGTCGGCCGGAACCGCACCACCACCCGCTCCGTCTCCATCCGCAGCAACGGCATCAGCTTCTCAACCATCCTCCGCCGACTCTTCGTCACACCCCGCCAAACCCCCGGCAACCTCATCCTCAAACCCGTCCCCGACCCCCCCACCTTCCAAGACATGTTCTTCCTAGGCAACACCACCGACGGTGTTGTCTCTGACGACAAAGCCGGCGAGCCCACCCCCTTCTACATCTCCATCCTCCGCTCCGTGAACTCCACCGTCGGCCCCAACCTCCTCACCCGCAGGGGGGGATTTGACGACCATCAAAACCAACCCCGCCAAGCCTCAGGCAACCTCTCCCCCGCCCTCAACATCTCCGACCTCGTCCCCCCACCCATCCTAAACAAAGACGGCACCGCCGCGCCCGCCAACCACCTCCACTTTCCCACTCAGCAACCCCTCCGCCTCTACGACCGCGGCCTACCAACAGAACGATACTCTTTCTACTCGTACTACAACAAAACAATCTACCTCTCCTCCCTCAACGAGCGGCTTCCCCCCTCCATCGACCGCAACGGCGGCTCCCCCATCTCAGAAGCGAAATTTGTCGTTACCTGGCTGTCGGTCCGGTATAAAGTCGAGATCTGGACTCGCAAGTCCAACACCACCAAGCTAATCGGCGGGTTTGGCGGTCGGGAGGCGAATGTAAACGGGACACAGCCCGGCACGTTCCCTTACCCGATTACGGTCACGCTTGATACGCACGGGGGTATCCCGGGGAATAAATTTGTTTTTATGAGGGGGGTGGATGAGAGGCGGAGGGTTGTCACCAGTGAGGCGAAACTGTTCCTCAATCAGATGAACAACACGGGGGATTTGGTCAACCCGGGCGGGTTCTTCAACCCGAGCTTTGGGGGGATGGATGGTGGTACTGGGGGTTGCAGGTGTGAGTACACCAACTTTGTGGGGGTGAATGGCTTGAGGTCTGCGGACTGAGGGGAGGGAGGGAGTTGGTTACAGGAGTTGAAGATAGTAACAGGGGTTCGAGTGCGGAAGAGAGGGGGTTGGTTTGCATAGGATATTTGAATCACCAACTGGAAAACGGTACATACACATCGCATGAGGTATTTTTAAAAACATTTGAATAATATTTCCCATACTTATAAGTGGACTGCTTGTCAAGGATGTTATGATACAGCCATTGTGGATGAAAAAGCTCCTGCAAGTGGCCTAAATAGCAAAGCTGTCGATAATGTACATGGACCACAGAAACCCCCATACCTACAACCCCCATCCATCCTTCACCCATATCTGCCAAGCTACATCGTCTTATGTGAAGCAAATTTCCAGCAAATTTTCGTTTCGCTCATACTTCGTATCATTCCATCCACCGCACCATTCTCATCATCATCAATGTCATCAATCTCCTGGTAGCCACATTCACTCCTTCAAATGCAAAGCCGCATACTTGTCAAACGCCTCAGAGAACATCTTCCAGGTCACTTTCCCGGATATCGTAATGAAAATTCTCTGGACGCCGTTGACTTGTGTCGCCAGTCGACTTCTTGAACCCAACTTCACGTACTCGGGCAGGGAGATGACAAGAGACTCCTGAAGATGCTTCGCGACGTCGGGATTCTTTATCTGGTTGATGAATCTCCAGATGCCCCTTACTTGATCCTGGGGCGGGTTGGTGTCATACCGGCTCCGGAACCGGTGGTAGAGATCCTTGGTGTCCTGGGCATCAGCAGGGGCCGTCTTTGGTGGGTTAACGAGGCTGGTTTTGGTTGAAGATGTCCCCAGTGGCATGGCCCTTTTCGGACTGGGTTGTGTCTGGGGAGGCTCTGCGGCCTTCCGTTTGGGCTGCTTTCGAGTGATAACCGCCATGCGGGGCTGACTGTGTTTGCTCACTGTGTTCTGCCTCTGCCCTCTGTCCGGCACGTGGATTTGAATGTCTGTGATGGATGGTGCTGAAGTGGGTGTGGTGTTTGTGTTATCGAGCCTAGGCGGGTTTGTCGGTATGGTAGTAGGTTCGGGGTTGGCAGTGGCTCCAGTGACTATAGGAGGTAAGCCCAAGGTCTGATGGAGATTTGTTCAGGCGTTCTCTCACCATGGGTTTGCCGCAACTGTGTGAACTCTTCATGGCAGGGGAGGCTGAGGATTCTCATCACTTCAGCACGACGAGAGACGAGCTGGTTGAGGAAACTGACGGCCTCGTCGGGCAAGGGTGTTTGAGGCGGTAGTAGAGCAGCAATCTGGCGTCCCAATGCCGTGAGTTTGTTTTCAGTATCTCGCTCTAGCGCCGTGAGCTTGTTTTCAGTGTTGACCTTGTCTGATCTCATGTCTCGTAGCTCCCCCTGCAGGTATTCGACCATGCCGAGCGCTGATAAGTACTTCTCTTGAACGTCCTTGATATCATCAGATGTGAGAGACCGGAGATGTTCAGTTCTCTCCTCGTGAGATGTAATTTTTTGCGAGAGCTGAGACATGCTCTCCATCATTTCCTGCCGCAATGATTCGAGGTGGTTTTCAAGGCTGGCTTCAGTAACAGGAGAGCTTGGTTTGGACTGCACAACAGCAACGGACAAAAGCTCATGCTGTGTGCTTGTCTGCTTGATGTGCTCGTTGAGGGACCTTCTGAGGGCATCTACTTCCCGGGACCAATGCTGGGCAGCGAGAAAGGTAGCCCAGCCGGTGGCAACGGATTGTTGAAGCTGGTCTGGACCTGTGTCCTGGGTGGTGTCCTTGGTACACTCCATATTGGGATTGTTGATGGGTGGTCCTATGGTTTGCACCGCACAAAATGTTGCTTGAAATTTTGACATGAGTCTGATGTAGGGCATGGCAAAAACTTTTAAAAGGAAGGTGCATCTTTGGTCCCGTCCGAGGCAGTAATCATGGAAGGCACTCACAACACACCCGACCACTCCCTGTCATTGGAAAGAGCGACTGGTCTTGCATCTTCCTATGGAAAGTACCGTTACATATTAATCACTACCGGTAAATCTTTTCAGGAAGGCCGTGATATCATCAACCTCCTCTGGCACCTTGATCCAGTGACCTTCCAACTCTGCACCCAAGTACTCCTTCCACTCAACCCGAAACCCTACTTTGGAGAGCACATATCTGGCCTCACGTCCGAGCTGAACATCAACCATAGCATCGTCGGTCCCGTGGCCTAGAAAGATAGGTGTTGACAAGAGAGAGCGGCTTGGTGCCGTGATCCATGCCGATGTCATGCTCTCCACAAAAGCATCCGAATCAGACCTGTCGTCCTGTGAAGCATTTCCTCTCCCAGCAAGAATCTTTTCGATATTCTTGGCGAACGGAAGCCATGTGTTAGTCGCTACCAACCCTCCTAGTCTTCTGTCAAGCCTTGTTTGGCATAACAATGTCCACATGGCGATGGCTCCCCCTTGGCTGATTTCCCCTCAACACCAGCTTGTCGGAGCGGCCTTTCAACAACTCGAGTTCTTCATCCATGACAGATTTGATGTATGATGTGGACTCTCGAATACCGTCAACCTGCAGATCCTGCCTCAATGTTGTCTTTCTCCGGCTTCTCCTCTTTTCCCTCTCCGGTTCACATCACCTTGAACAGCCATCATCACCACCACCAGCTGTTGCGCCCCTCGGCAACATGCTATTCCGAAGTTACAGGCCATCAAGAATATTGACATGATCTCGTTGTCAACTTAGTAGGTCATTCTGTCGATTGGTTCATTGCCTGAGTATAACAACAAATTGTTCCATCTAGATCATGGCTACCCTTCTATTCACCTGAAGCGTGTCTGCGCCCGGTCAACATGACCCTCGACGCTTTCAGCTTTTTCGCGCACACGCCCCCGCCAATCCGAGTCGCCAGTTCAGTAACATGAATGTCAGCCGATCAGCATACTCTGTGCCGAGGCGTCGTCGCTCTTCCCAGAGAGTTGGCCCCGTCATATTGCCCTGTTAACACCAACATCTTGGCAACATGTCAGCCCTGAAAACGGCTCCTGTCACCGCCCCATCTTCGACTTCAATACGATTCCACACGTGTCTTGGGCAGGACTCTAAAAGGCCCCGATTGCGATAGGCGCATCGTTTCTTCAGCCAACGACAGGCTAGCAGTTAGTCCTGGGCATGACAGTTAAACTGCTTCAGTCCGCTCTAGGTGTTGGCGTACCCTAGAGTGTGTCCATATTGGACCCGTTGACACGGTGACTTCTTGCGTTGTCCTAGGCATGACTTTGAAACTGCCATTTGCGTGTTCCTCCGTCAGCTCGACTGCTTTCGACATCGACTGTTTTCAACTGATGTTGAGAAGTAAGTCCTGGGCATGACCTTTTAAAAGGCCCCGTCGGCGTGGCCCCAGCAGAGATTGCTCTTCACGCTCTGTAGGGATTGGTATTCATCCCGCCGGCAGTCTTGCCTTGGGCCCTTGCGTCACAGGGTACATCGAGGTTATATCTCACGCATTCAAATCGATGTTAAGTCCGCCAGCAGTTTCAACAGAGCATATGCGTTGGCTGTGAGGACGGTTATCGAGAGGGTATATTATTGCAACGACTGCGCGTGCTCAGGCATGCGTGTTCGGGAGTAACTAGGTTGATAACTGACGTCGCGTCTGTACTGAAGATCACCTACTTCACTCCAGCACCCTTTTGAGACTGGAATCTTTTCTGAAGGAGGCAAGCGCGATGGTAAGGGCAATGCGCCGGTGTCTTTTCCCGCCACAGGCCAAGTTCAAGGCGGGGGAACAACTCGTGCAGAAGCTACTTTGCTCCGGAGCCAGCATCTCGGACTCGGCCGAGGAAGATTCACTTGGATATGTTCGTTCCCGCTCTGGTTCGACTATCCCACACTCTCTCTAGGGCAAGGGCCAAGAGGTGGCTTGGGCTGGGCTGGTCGCGTCTCCCAGCGGGCAACGCGCTACATGTCGTTCTTGTCCGCAAAGCCGTGCCCTTCTCGCACTTCGCGCCGTCTCACACACCATATGCGTACCGGCAACCGGGAGTTTCGGGTTGTGGATTTGTGTTCAAGGTTTTATAGAACACTCTCAATAACAAACTCGCCGTTTCTCCCATTTTAGCTCCTTTGTGCATTGCTCGTGATCTGTAGACAATTTGTGACTGGTCCTAAAGAAAGTGAAGGATCCCGCTGTTGACGGTGTCCAGTCTGGCAAGTTATCAAGTTGACAGGTTAGTTGAGTTAATACGTCATTGTGTTTCTCAGCTGGCCAGCTTTCCCAATTACAGTTTCATTCAACCAGAATCATCAACCCAAAACCAACAGTCATCCACGCCCAAACATCTCAACAATGCCATCGTCCGCCACCGTCACACTCTTCCAAACACTCGACGTCGAGTCTCTCGACTCTGGCAATCAACTTCCGGGAGATGCTGTGGCCAAAGTCAAGTCCCAGCCTGATTTCCAGCAAGGTTTCTTTGGCCAAAAGCTCGAGGATCCAAAGACCTGGGTGCTGGCAACTGGTCTGTTCGCCCCCATTTTTCTCGGTATTCTGTTTCCAAGTCACGAGGTACTGACAACGCATATACAGAATGGTCATCCGCCTCTGCAGCAAAGCAGTGCATCACCAGAATCAAGGATCATGTCAGGGCTCAAGAGACATTTGTTTATCAGTTTGACACGGCTGTGTTGAAGGCGCCATGCACTGAGGTGTTTACTGCTTTTGAGACGGAGGAGGGGTTTGAGGAGCAGGTTGCGCGGTTTGTCAGTGCTGTTGAGGGGGATAAGCTGGAGGGGTATAAGGGTGCGGATTATGGGGCGGAGGTGAAGGTTGATGGGGATGGGGCTGGGGAGAAGAGTGTGAGGATGGTTATTGGGTGGGTCAGTAAGGAGGCGCATGTTGAGGCTAAGGGGAAGCCGGGAGGTGAGTGTCGTGATGATGTCTTTGTTGATGGTGGCTATGGTGGCTAATATGTGTGGTGTAGCTATTCAGGAGAATATTGGGGAGTTGAGAGCGAAGAGGAAGGGGGTGGATTTGTTCCATGTTAACTTTAAGGAGCTGTGATGTGGTGGGATTTGGTTCACGGAATGGATTTGAGTTGTCTTTGGCATCTGGCAAATAGCTTTGAATTGCACTTTCACCAGCATTTCCCTTATGAGAATATGAATCTACCACCACACATCGCCCATCTCCCATGTGCCCGGGAGGCATGTAGTCAAGAGCGGGGAGCTGGGGAAGCGGGGGAGGGGCAGCCAACTCCACCATCTTGATCACCCCACACATCCGGGTTATCGTCCGTCTTTCTCTAATTCAATCCGCCATTGGCGATGTCTGGTACGCCGAGGTGGCTGCAGGGACCGGGAGATAGTTTTACCTCATTACCCGGCATCAATTCAACCACCGGCTGGGCCTTTCCGTGTCTAGACCTACATGCCTAGTGACAGAACCTCAACTTCTTATTCTATTCTCACTTCACCTCATCACTCACTTCAGTCTTTGTTGTCATTGTGACAATCTAGTAATCTTAGTTGCGAGCACTACACCAGACAGTCAAAATGGCATACCAACCAGACATCGAGACATACCATAAGCACCTCCCTGACTTGTCCATCCCCCGCTTCACTGAGATGCAAAAGCAGGATGCCCATGAATACGCCAAAGCATTCATTGAAGGGGGGAACCCCCCATGGCTTCATGGCCTCTACCTTCACTGGCTGAAGCTCTACCAGGAGCCTTTCAAGGGCGTAACCAGCGATGGTCTGTTTCACAACCCTTTAACGCTCATTCAGAGCCGTCCATTCTAACCCGCTTCCCAGGAAACGTAAAACCAAACCTCTTCCACCTCTCCCCAGAAGAAATCCCCATCTCCTCCATAGTCACCGCCACCACCAACCTCCTCTCCCTGTTGTCCCCTTCCCAACTCAAATCCACCCTCTACCACATCGACTCCCCCGAATGGCGCACCTGGTCCAACCCCGAATTCCTCCTCTCCAACAAAGGCATCCGCCTCGACGAGCTCACCCCCCTAATCCGGGATGCCGTCCTCTCAGTCCTCCAATCCTCCCTCTCCCCCGAGGGCTACCACAAAGCCCTCTCGGCCATGCGCATCAACCACTTCCTCGGCGAGCTCGTCTCCGCCCCGAAGATCTGCAACGAGCACTCCTACAACTTTGTCCTCTTCGGCTCCCCCTCCACCACAACACCCTGGGGCTACTCCTTCTACGGCCACCACCTCTGCCTCAACCTCTTCTTCTACAAAGACCAAGTGGTGATAAGCCCGTGGTTCACAGGCGCAGAGCCAAACATGATTGACTCGGGCCCCTACAAAGGAACCCAAATTCTGCAGCGGGAGGAGAAGTTGGGGTTGCAGCTGATGCAGTCTTTACCGGCCGAGAAACAAACACTCGCGCAGGTGTATAAGAATTTAGAAGATGACGCCATGCCAAAGGGGAGGTGGAACCACGACGACCAACGCCACCTTTGCGGTGCCTATCGGGACAATAGGGTTGTTCCTTATGAGGGGGTGTTAGTCTCGGAGATGACCCAGTCCCAACAGGATCTCGTTGCGGAGATCTTGGACGAGTACCTCCTCTACCTCCTCTCCACTGCGAGGAAGATCAGACTTGAGCAGCTGAAGGAGTGGTTTCACGAGACGTACTTTTGTTGGATTGGCGGGTTTGGGGATCACGATGCGTTTTACTACCGGGTTCAGAGCCCCGTGATTTTGGTCGAGTTTGATCACCACTCGGGGGTTTTCTTGACGAATAAGGAGCCGGCAAAGTTTCATATTCATACGCTGCTTAGGACGCCGAATGGGGGGGATTATGGGATGGCGTTGAGGGGGTTGGTGAAGGAGGGGGTGGTGGAGCAGAGGTATCTTTGGGAACCGTAGGACAAAAAGGCAAAGCAAAATAGGGGTTGGTTATGGTGAAAAAAGAAAAGAAGTGATTTCAACTCATTAGAACTGGCTTGTGTATACACGAAATGAAACGGTCATGCTCAGGTTGGCAGCCACACGTCAGTTTTCGTATCCCCAACGAACGGACAATTTGACCGTGAGCTTGTGAACGATCTATCCAAGCGCATAAACTTCCATCTCTTCTACCCCAAAGCCCCGTTCGCAACCAGCGCCCAAGCCCCTCCACAACAGCACTTCCGCTGCTGCGCCAGCACATATGTAAACCCAGGCCGCTGGTTCATAATGTCCTCCATAACCGAAGCACACCTCACACACCGCCTCCACCGAATAGCATGCCCACCTCCCGCCCCTCCCGCTCCCTCATCCCTCGGGCTGTGAACCTGCGTCATGGCAACAGCAGCACCCCCGTTCGCCCCATTGCCAGCACCGGCAGAACCACCACCACCACCCCCTGCCAACCCCAACGTCAACGAAGGCGTGCCCCCCAGTTTCACACCTGCCGCACCCCACACACCAGCCTCAGTCTTGACATTCTCCCCACCACCACCCTTCCCCTGAGCCCCATTCGTCACAGCAGCAGGAGGGAAAGACTGCGTGTTTTGCTGCTGCTGCCCAGCAACCAACTCCACCCTCTTAAAAACATCCACATACTTCCCCGCCTTCTTCCTCGCCCTCAACGTCTTCGCATCATCATTGACTTCAAGCAGGTCATAATTGGCAAAATACAGCTTCGCGGGGTCCGTCAATGCCTTAAACGTCGTCAGCGTGCTCGTAAAAAGGCGAGCGAGCACCTCGCGGAAGATATTAGGCGGGTTAGCCCCCGACAGCATCTCCAGCTCCCACCGGTTCTGCGCCGACTTTACAAAAAGCTCCACCCGCTGCTGGGCCTGCTGCTGCTGCTGCTCCGTGGCCCCGGGCTGGGTCTGGTCCTTGGACTTGGCCATCGCCGTGAGCGTTCTTTGATAGGCAGTGGAAATGTCCCTGCCGAGGGTGCTCAAGAGGCGTTCAAAATCCTGGGGTTTAACCGGGCTGCTGGAGCTGGTGCGGTACATCCTCTGATAGGCATGGTGAAGAGCAGCCCCTGTCTCAGTCACGCTGTGAGTCTTGTAGTACGTGAGCGCGCGGCTGCTGATTTCCTCCAAGCCCGCGACCCGACGGCAGGCAACCTGGAGCAAGCTGCGTGTTGATGAGCAGAGGAGAAGATAGACCGAGACGTCGTTGCGGGTGTGGAGGTAGTTCGCCAGTTCCTGGAATCGTCTCTGGTCGGAAAGGAGCGCCATGAACTCGGGGTCGTCGAGCAGGTTGAAGAGCGAGTCGATGAGCCACGAGAACAAGCTGACGGCCCATTCTGCGCACCCGACAAGGGTCTCGACCACCTCTGATTCATCGAGCGGGTTCAGTACCCCGTTGGACTTTTGTGGGCTGTGGTTCGCAAGCACAATGAGAACAATGATGTTTCTCAGGTTGAGGGCGACCGAGGCGAACTTTCCGTGGAAAGACCTGGCTTCAAAGTTCCCATTGAAGCCAAAGTGGTTCAGAAGGCTCAGACAGGACTGCAGCTGGTTGTTCCGGATGAGCGTGTCGACAAGCTGCTGCTGTTCTTCCGAGTAGTCGACCACAGTCCGAAGCAGAGTTATGATTTCCTTAAACAAGGCATTTGTGAACTCTGAAATGGAACTTTTGTTAGATCCAGGCGTGACCAACCCTTCCAGGGGGTAAACTTACTCGGATGCTGGGTCAAGGGACGGACAACCGCCAGGATGTCATCAAAGGTCATTTGCTGTTGCCAGGCAAAAGAGATGGGCATTGTGAGAGATGCCAGAACAGCCCTTGCTTGGACTAGATCACAGATTTAGTTTGGGGTCTCTCACATGGGCCGAAGGAAGCATCACCACACTAACCGTCTTGAAGGGAACCTAAATCACCCATTGTATAATGGAGTTTTCTCAGCTTCAATGTGTTATCCTCACACACTTGGACGAATGCAAAGTTGCTCGGAGAGAAAGCGACCTGAAGACCTGAACAGTGGGAAAATTAGTCACCATGGAGCTAGTACCTGCAAACACACTAGTATGGAGGACTTACAGGGCGTCGGATCGTCAAACTGGAACCCAACCTGGTGAGGGCTGTTGATGTTCTCGGTGTTATGCTCGTTGTAAAGTTCAGCCATGGTGAACCTGTCACGGTACTGAACGGTGCCGTCGCTAAAGGTGAAACAAACGACTCTTCCCAGCTGTATGGTGGTCGTTTGCATCGAGATGACCACTTTGGGGATTGTGACTGGCTCCAGCTTCCGCAACCTAGTCATGGTCTGATTTACCCATTAGCTGCGGCTTTCCTATCATCAAAGTTCATAGAAACTTACCGGGGGGGCAGCTCCAGCACCGTTCCGGGGACCCAGCTGCTCAAACGCGGGATGTGGTGCTTGGGCTTGATCGTTCAGAACCTCCCAGCGATCGATGATGCTCTGGGTTTCCTGATCGTAGGGCGAGGTTTCGTTTGGCAGATATGATCTCACCGTGACAACAACTGCTGGGGCGAAGGTTGGAGGGTTACTGGTCTCCATGAAAGACGGGAGTACTAGGAGGTGAGAGAGCTGTGCCATGGAAAAGTCTAGAGTCGACTCGCTCGGGCCATGTTGTAGCCAACTGGTGGTGGCTACATGTACCTCTTTCATCGATGGTCTTAACTGTATACTGCCTGGGTGCACCTGCTTATCACTTGGGGGATTCCCCCAGTTCACACCAACACGCACTACCCTCAGCTGCTTCGACGCCGTAGCGAGAGCTATGAGAAGGGTGTTTGCTGACCAAAAAGATTAGTTCTGCTGCAACACATTTCGAGTCTGGCGGGGTCTTACGTTTATCACAGCAGAAAGAGGCGTGCGTGATGAGATCATCGGCGGCTGTCACACTCTCGAGCTCGAGAGCCGTTTCCTCATGCCGGCTGCTAATTTGATAGAACAGCCTCAGAAGACCATTTGTGGTAACACACACCAGCGCGCTCCTTCCAGGGTGAGGATGTGACGGCCCAAAAGCCGGCTGAGCCATGTGGTTGTATTTGTATTCAGACCCTGCCCAGTGTGCACCACTGCATTGGGTGAGAAACTACCGAGTGTAAGCAAGACTGCCAAAAATGTGGCCCTGAAAGAGAACGGCATACCCCTCGGCTCTGGCTTGCTGCGTTACCGATTGGTAACCAGTGACAACCGACGACGCTGTGGAGGTCGTCCACAGGATCGGAATCCCATTTTCTCATAGGATAGGGTCTGTTGATCTGCAGTGGGAAGAAGAGAATGCTGATGCGGCCGAGAGCATCAATGACGGCCAAGTCAGCCATATGCGTGGTAGGGGACCAGGCGACGTGGACTATGGGGGCGCCGGCAGAAGGCAGCGAGATGAACGAGGGCGGACCATGAACCAGTGAAATGGTGGCAGAAGAGCTTGGATCATTCATATCCCATTCACCGTTCTCGGGATTGCAACGCATGTAGCGAATGTCAACCGACATGCCATCTTTGGAGACGCAGGCTATGTTCCCCAAGCGGCCCCAAGCAATTCCCTGACAGCAACCACGGGCTCGGAGTTGGTCCAGCCGCTGCTGAAGCTGCTTACTTGGAGGAGGGCGAGAGGTCAGGGGCAGGGTACCCAGAGCATTGTCCATAACAGGATCTCCGAAGAGGTCGACATCATCGAGAGCCATGGCACCGTCCATGCCTTGAATGCTCTGCATCACCTGGATTCCAGAGTCGATGCTCATGGAATCCCCGCCCAGGAGGGACATGTCATGGGCACTCATGATGTGGGCCGCCGCCCTCGGCTTGTTGGGAAAGCTTCAAACTCAACGCCGTCGACCGTTTTGGTGGGTTACCTTGGCAAGTCTGTTCTGATACGATAATGAGCTTTGGGTTCACGTGTGCTTGAGAGTGTTTCAGACTATGGAATTACCGTGAAATAAAAGCTGCTGCTGTATTTATGTTGAAGGTCCCACTTGCTAGGTGTGTATGACGTGAAGCAGCAGTGACTGAAATGGTATTGGCGCGATGATGGACTTCAGTATCTATGATGGAGCTTATGGAACACTGATGGAAGTTGATGATGGATGCTGATGATCGTCTTGTTCTACGCGGCTGCAAGATGAAGATGGCTTCTCATAGATACTTACTGAGTGAGTGTGCTGTGGCGGCTTGCAGCATGTACTGCGTACACCTTGTAGAGCCACTGAGAGAACGCACCCGGAGTGAAGTGAATGGCACCTGGCAGGCTGAAGGGAACAAAGCCACACGTTGTGGCTGCCAGCCCACCGCCCATTGCAAGTGCTGCATGCCAAGCTGCCTGGTTTCCGAGCAACGCTAGGTCACCCACCCAGCTAAGGTACGTACCTTTGTACCCACGCAGCACACGCACGTCATCTTGCTTCTGGGTAGTCAGGATCAGCTATCCTCACATTTTGTCCTAGTTGACATTGCTGAATCTCAAAATGCTTTTCGGGTAGTCACAGCTCGGAAAACTACCTGCCCGCCCTGGATGTATGGATAAGGAGAGCAAGATCGCCAGAAGATGATGGGTTGGCCCAACCAAGCATCAAAGTGCTGGTGACCTTCTTACCTGAGGAATTTGGTTCTTAACATCCCGAGCCTCGCACGGGCCACTTCAGTGCCCAAAGACATAGCCCGAGCCATCGTGGCACGTCCATAAAAGTGTCGAGGTGAAAGGCCATAGTTGAAGGGCCTTGGTTGGGCCTAAATAACCACAACTGCTCCAAGAGTCCTTTCTCTCTTCTCGTCCATAATACGAGATACCTAAGGTGGGCATCCGATATCTAAGCCATCCCTGGATCTACATACATGTGGATGGATACCTCTAACCGTTGCCCCGATGAACGCACAGTGGATCGTAGGTGCCAGGGGAGCGGTATTTTCTGGGGCTTTTGCTTGGCTGTTACGGCCTGCATCTGCCGCCAATCGCAAACTCGCATCCTCCCCTTTCTGCGCTTTCTGCGCCCCGGCAAAGAACGAACGTCAACCTCGAACAATGCCCAGCCGTGGGTAATTCCAAGCCTCAGGCACTCAACCACCCTCATTTTGTCCCATTTCACCCAACGACGCGTGAACCACGGCCCACCGAGCGCGCCTTTTCACCTATTGTCCACGCGACCTGCTATTATCCGCCCAACCCTGGGGGAAAACCTTTTTCTACACACTGTGGGCTTTGGCATCTCGTCATGATATAACCAACACTTGGCCAACACCGACCGCCCTCCGCTCGGCTTGCTCCTCTCACCCCGAGGGTCCTGCGAAACCCACAAACTCTGCTCCAGCCACACCATTGACAGACTGTTGGGTTTTCTTCGCTCTGACGCCAACTTAGACCGCCACCATGGCGTTTTCCAGACGCTCAACAGCGTCCCCTCCATCGTCACCTCTCTCGGTCCTTTCACAGTCTCCCTCGCCCCCTTCACCCGCCATGGATGTTTCCAATCGATACCCATCACCGAGTGCTAGCGCAACTACCTCGGGCAGCGCAACTCCACGGAAGTCATACGACATGCCAGACCTTTCGGGAGAGATCCAGGTGCGGACAGACGGTCCCCCACCAACCAAGCGCCGTCGCGTCGCAGCCCCACGGCCCCGCACAACCAAGTATGTCGACCTGGAGAATTATGACAATGAGGACCAAGAGAATCTTCAGAGGCTGTTGACAGCCCTGAGAAAGAAGAAGAAGATTGTGGTGATTGCGGGCGCTGGAATCTCTGTTTCTGCAGGCAGTAGGTTAACCCTTCATCCACCCAACATCTGTACCCCTTAATGCTGACTGAGATGTGACCCCCAGTTCCCGACTTTCGTTCATCGACAGGACTCTTCACGACACTGCGCGGCCAACACAAGCTCAAGGCGTCTGGGAAGCACCTTTTTGATGCCTCCGTCTACAAACACGACTCCTCCACCACCTCCTTCCACGACATGGTCCGCGAATTGTCGCAGATGGCATCTGAAGCCAAGCCAACGCCGTTCCACCACATGCTGGCATCCATTGCCTCAGAGGGCCGGCTCATGCGCTTGTACACTCAGAATATCGATAGTTTAGATACTCAGATGCCACCGCTCGCGACGAATGTTCCCCTGAACAGCAAAGGCCCATGGCCAACGACGATTCAACTCCATGGCGGCTTGGAGAAAATGGTGTGCACAAAATGCAACCACTTGGAGACCTTCAACCCGTCGCTGTTTCAGGGCCCGGAGCCCCCACTCTGCGAGAAGTGCAAGGAGCAGGACGAAGTACGAACCGCTTTTGCGGGGAAGCGAAGTCACGGCATCGGCAAGTTACGCCCACGGATTGTGCTATACAACGAATACAACCCCGACGAGGATGCGATCGGGATGGTTTCAAAGGCAGATCTACGGAGAGTTCCGGACGCTGTTGTTGTGGTGGGGACTACGCTCAAAATCCCTGGCGTGCGAAGACTCGTCAAGGAGCTATGCCAGCTGACCCGGAGCAAGAGAGACGGCCTTACTGCCTGGATCAATCTTGACCCGGAGCCACAGGGCGTCGAATTCAAGGATTGCTGGGATCTGGTCATCAAAGCGAAGTGTGACGACGTCGCGGAATTGGTCAACTTGCCACGTTGGGATCAGCAAGATATAGGAGATCGGGAATCCTACATGGTCACTGGGGATGAGCTGAAGGAGAAGCGCTACGCCGCCAACCTAGAGCGCAATAGAATCGACATCCTACTTGAGCGCAAGCGGAAAAGGACAGAAGACGATGACGATGGGTTCGAGTCATCGCAGTCTTCGCAACCATCTCAATCTTCGCGGTCCTCGCAGGAAGTACAGACTCCCGGCAACCGCAAGTCGAAACTTTCCGAGCAAGGCGGTATGCCGACGCCGATTGCCAGTCCCAAGCTTCGCAATGCCCTCCTTCCAGCGCCCAGGCTGAGGGGCAGACCCCCTAAACAGAGCACGCTCAGCTTTAGCACCACTAGAGCGGCCGAGCCCGCGCCTGCGACGCAAAAGGCCGCCCCCAAGAGAAAGCCGAGACAACCGAAGAAGGCAGCCCCCAAGCCCAAGAACAGGATCAACCAGACGTTCAAAGCTACCAAAGCGGTGCCAATCAGGGAAATAAAGACCCCTAAGAAGCAGTTTTTGGACCCCGATTCATCCGACTTGTCCTCCCCGCCAGACGACTCACCTGCCGGTCTCCCATCATTACGGCCCAAGGATCAAGTTCGACGGCCAGAACCGCTTGTACTCCCAGCTGCTGGGCTTACATCTAGTCCACCGACCACGCCTACCAACCAAGAGTTTGTCGCTTCCGCTATGAAGACGATCTCCCCTGGTAGCAAGCCGAGGAGTATGGGCCATCTCATTGATTGACTGGCCTCGGTGGTGGGGGTTGTTGTTCAGTTTCTCCCTTGAGCAAATCACTTGGTTTCTATTGGCGCTTTTTTTCGACAACTCACGGCATTCTTTTGTTTATAAGCAACAAACCGGTTGGCTTTGTGTTTTCCGATCCCATCATGGCCCGGCGTCGCATCATTCCCATTGCACAAGATGGAGTTTCTGTTTCACATTCGACATGAGAGAGGGAAAAAATAAACTGGAAGCTGGTCGGTTTATTAATTGTCCGGGTGGCCTTTTTTCTTTTATCAGGCATTGGCGGTATTATTGAGGCAGCGTACTGTCAACTGGGAGGTCAAGCCAGCAGGGTCTCGTCTTTCCAGGGGAGGATGGAACACAAACTCCGTGGATTTCTTATCAGTGTTGGGGAGCAAAAAACAGGGTACATGAAAATTTCGATTACACACGTCCATTACATTCCATCGTCACATTTACACATATAGTACATACCCCCGAACTTGGTACATACCGTTTTTATTCACCTTTCTCCGCAAGAGGGAGAGAGAGATCATCACATATATGGGAGCGGAACAGGGAAGAAGAAGTCAAGTCTGGTGTTTATGGAGTTTGAGGGGATAGGAACAATAAGAAGCAGTGGTTCAGTCGCCCTTTATTTGTCTTATGGGGTCCATTACTCGGGAGACTTGGAGTTTATTAGATTCAGCCTTTTTTCACCTTTTTGGAAGGAGAACAAAATATTATTGGTTTTTTATCACTTACTGTTACGATTACAAGGGGAGATAATGAATAAAACCGTCAGTGTGGTATCATCACTTGATCCTGTTGCAAGCGAGGGACGACGACGGCAGCGTCGAAATAATTCACGTGACTTTGTTGTTGACGGCGGCAGCGTCATTATCAGCCGCCGCCAACACAGCATAGATAGATAGTCAGATATTAATTGTTTTACCATCTTCTCATTATTTGTAACAATAACTCTCTCTTTTTTCGAGACTTTGTATCTATCTCTTCTCATCTCACATCTCCAGCTATACTCTAAATGACATCCATACCTCCCTCTCATCTCATCTCACGTCTGTATACTTATCATGATCTTTTGCACCACACCGCACACACTCACTCACACACACCAAACACCAACCAACCAACCCACCTTTTCGTTCATCTTCCCATGACAAAAAAAAAGTAAATAAATGACCTCCCCCCAAAAATTATAGAGTCTCAAGGCGAATACAAGCCCTGCCACCACCACCCAGACAGTAGACAAGATAGACAGAGAGACAACAATAAGAATACTAGGTAGGTAGGTAGGCAGGTACCCTTGAAACTCTCAAGTTACCTCTCTCCCTCACCCCGTCATATGTTCACCCTGCAAGACAAGATAAACAAAAACAAATCACACACACACAACACGCTCTAAGTGCCCACAAAAAGACAACGAGAAAAAAAATTACAGATAGAAGCAAAAAACTACCAGAAAGCAAAGAGAACTCATCGCTAATGCCGGATCAATAAACATCCCCCTCCACTCTTGTTGTCCCTGCTCTCTCTCTCGGTTCTCTTTTCCTCGACCCGTCAAATCATGGTAAAAACCTCTCGATACACCCACCAAAAACACTCCTTATTTTGAACCCCAAAAATGCAATACCCGGGTATGTAAAAAACGTTTATCAGTTCTCGCATATGTGTGAGCAAAGAGACGAGATGAACACAACCCCTCGCGTTAAAACACACTCCCTTATGGTGCCCAGTACGCCAGACGAATGCAATAAATGCCGGTTGAATGCTCAATAAACAATTGCCAACGTCCATCCCCCCCTATTTTTTCTTAATATCAGAGAAAGACGTCGCCTTTCGACCATCGCTCAAGAAACCTACTAGTAGGGACTGTGACGGGTCGTTGGGCTGCGGTTCTGCTGCCGTGAGTGACGGGCAGGTTGCCCCTGACTGTTCTCCGCTGGCCGACGATGCCTGTGGAAGTTGAGACGGTCGTCGTCATAGTAGTTGCTGCGGCGTGCCGGCTCATCCCGGCGGCTATCCCGGCGGTCATCACGACGATAATCATCGCGGCGGTCATCGCGACGGTCGTCCCGGCGGTCATCTCGACGATCCTTGCGTTCCTCCCTGCGCTCTTCACGGCGGTCATCACGGTAAGGGTGGCGCGCCCGGCGATCGTCACGGTCGCTTGCGATCTCGCCATCCTCAAGATCCGGATGCCTGCCTCGTCTTGGTTCTGTGGGCTGCTTCTCGTCATGACGGTCCTTGCTGCCCCGTTCCTCCAAGTCCCCGTACATCTTTTGAAGCCTCTTGCCCGAGACCTTCACGTCGCCAAGAGGCCAGATCGAAGACAGGAATTCCCTGATGGAAATGTTAGCAGAATATTCAATTCAGGTCCAACGAGTCGACCAGACTTACCAAAACTGCGTCTCGAGGCCCTCTCCCTCAAGTTCTGGGTTCTTGGCCCGCAAATCTTTCAGGAAGTTGCCAAACTCGCGGATCTCCGCACCGAGAACCTTGGCCCGTTGCTTAGCGGCAGGGAAGAGCTCTTTGGAACACATGATACGCTCCATGTTCTTCTTGAGCGGGCGAAGAAGCGACCACACCAGCTGAAGGTTGTCCGAGTGGTTGATCTCTTCGTCCTTCAAGTTCGCCAGTTCCCAGAACCGATCTACTGCCTTTTGCCTGTCACGCTTGTACCTCTCCATAGTCTCAGGATCCATTTTGGGCCTCTCCTTCTCCCGGGGCTTCTTGTCGTGCTTCGCATCAACCTCTACACGACGATGTTTGGAGTTGCGATCATCGTAGTCATCGGCATACTTCCGCTTGTCGGGTCGGGGCGTACCGCGGTCATTCCCGTTGCTATAAGACCGATGGTGTTCGGCATGGGAGTAGTTACGATCACGGCTATTCTTCTTGGACATCTGCGGGGCAGGAGACGCCGAGACAGACCCCCCATCAGCGCGGCGACCGCCGTTCATCAGTAGCTTCTTACTGCGATGGTGGTTCTCGACGGCCTTCTTGGCATTGGCGTCGTTGGAGTACTTGGCCAGAAGCACTGAAAGGAGATACTCGGACCGCCGAACCAGGTGGACAGCACCGGGAGACTGTATCCCCTTTTCATCCCCTTTGCGACGCTCCTCCTTCTTGTCGACACGATGCTCCTCGAGGAAGAACTTGTCTTGCATGTTCAGCTCCGGGTCATCTCGAATCTGAGTCCAGGCACCAAACCCATATCGATCAATACCGACAAGAAGCATGCCATCTTCCCGCGCACCCCATTCACAGCTGTAGGCGGCAGACTTGGCTGCCTCAGGAAGACGGAAGGTCAGGATGTCGCCGTGCTCTGCAAGCACGCGACGCAGAAGCTTAAGCTGAGGGGGTCTCTCCACCACCGTCTCGGCGTTGACTTTCCTAACCTCGCCAAAGTCCACCAGAACGGCCTTCTTGTCCTTCTTGGCAAGCGGTTTGCCAGCTCGTTCTTCTTCCCCGCGAAGCCTTTCGTTGTTGAGGTCAACAGCTTGCTTGCTCACGGCCACTAGATCGTCAATGATACCTTTCAAAAACTCGCGGTCTCGGTCACTGAGACGGGCATCCTGAACGAGTTCGTCTTCTCGGTCATCAAAGTCGCCATACCGGAAGAATGCTCGGATAAGATTGCGCGTTTCCTTCTCATTAAGTGGGCGCCGAGGATCGGAAGCCTGCGCACGCTGTTCCTCGAACTCTTCCAACTCCAGCTTTTCGCGCTGTCGCTTCTTGGCAAGACGTTCGGCCCGTTCGTTCTCAACATTCTTCTTAGAGCCCTTGATGGCGGCCTTGCGTGGTGCAGACTCTTCCATGGCTTTGGCAAGATACTCTTCATGCTTTTTCTTGTCCTCCTCTGCCTTGATGGCAGCGAGCTGGTCGGCGGGAATGATTTGGTCCCAGTCGAGAGCCAGATCGTCCACCTTGACATCAGTGAAGTGCATCCAGTTGTCCCAATCAATACCACCACTGCTGAGATTGATCTTGTCGTCAACATCTGTCTTGGTGACCTCGGCGTTTTCGAGGATGGCGTCAATATCGAGCTGCTCCAACTTCTCTTGGTTGCCCGACTGCTCAAACAGGTTCTGTGAACGCATCTTCAGAATCATCGATATATCCTCGGCTGTCTTGGCTTCGTCCATCTTCATGCCCCGTTCCTTGAATTGCTCGCGAAGAGCCTTGCCCTCATCCGTCACGCCGGCCTGGATGGTCAGGTACTCAAGGAACAGTTTGTTTCGGGCGCGCTTCACGACCTCCTCTTCGATGGTCTGCTTCGCAACGAGACGATAGACATTGACAGGTCTCTTTTGACCGATTCTGTGGGCACGAGCCATCGCCTGCAGATCTGCTTGTGGATTCCAGTCCGAATCGTAGATAATCACAGTATCGGCTGTCATCAGGTTGATGCCGAGACCACCGGCTCTTGTTGACAGCAGGAAGCAGAAGTCGTCACTATCTTCAGCATTGAAGTGATTGATAGCCAGACGACGAGGTCCAGCAGGGATCGTGCCATCAAGACGCTGGAACTGGTAGCCGCGAATCCGCAAATAGTCTGCCAGGATGTCGAGCATCTTGACCATTTGGCTGAAGATAAGCACGCGATGGCCATCTTTCTTGAGCTTTGCCAAAAGCTGGTCCAAGAGCATCATCTTGCCACTGCTTGTGATCAAACCCTTCACCGCATCCTCCCGGCGGCCGGAACCGTTGGCGAGAACACGCTCCTCGGCACCCTGGAACATGTATGGATGATTGCTGACCTTCTTGAGTTCCATCATGATATTCAGGAGCGATTGCTTGTGACCGTTGCTAGCGTCGCTGAGGGCTGCATAGTTTCGCGTCAAGATATTCTTGTAATACTCCAGCTGAAGATCGGAAAGTTCGACGCGAATGATCTTTTCCGTTTTTGGTGGCAAGTCTGACTCGACAGTCTCCTTTGTACGACGCAAGATGAACGGCGCGATGGATTTATGCAGGTCCTGAAGCTTGGCCTGTGTCTTCAGCCGCTTGGCCTCGTCCAGCTGCTCGTCGACCGGCTCCTTGCTGTCGGCCGTAGATAGAAGCTCCAACTCCTCGTCGATCAAGACCTTGCCTGGATTCAGGAAATCCAAAAGAGCCGCAAGCTCGGCGAGGTTGTTCTGAATGGGCGTACCGGTGATAAGGACCTTGCTGGGTATACCAAAGCCGTTCAGCTTGACGTATAATTGGGACTCGCGATTCTTCAAGCGATGCGCCTCGTCCACAGCCAGAACCTGCCACTTGATGCCCTTCAAATGATCCGCATCTGCCAAGATGTAGTCGTAAGACGTGACCAGAACATTGAACTTTGGCTTCTTTGGGTTGCCATCGACAAACAGTTCATATTCCCGAATGTTGGATCTCGCCGCCTCTGGGCCAAGGTAGACGACGTAGTTAATATCGGGAGACCAGTGGTTGAAAGTATCGCACCATGCCGGAATAACACTGAGGGGTGCCACAACCAGGAACGGCCCTTCTTGCCCGCGTTCATTTCTAAGCCAGCTGAGAAACGACACTGTCTGGACCGTCTTGCCGAGACCCATCTCGTCGGCAAGGATGACATTGTTGCCGCGGGTCCAGTTCAGGGCAAGGAAGTTAAGCCCCTTCAGCTGGAATTCGCGAAGCTGACCTCCCTGGATGTAATCTGGCTGCTCCTCAAGCTTCTCCATTCGTGACCGGGTTTCGAGGTTGGTTTCTTTGCGGTCCGATTGCCAAGACCGTTGAGAGCGCGCAGTGTACTGGTCGATCTTGTCCTGAGCCTGCTCGCTCACCAAGGATTCAACTTCCCAGGTGCAGTCGTCATACTGAAGACCTTTCCACTTTACAAGATATTCTGTCTCCTCATCCCCTTCGCGGACGTGGACGATGCGCTCAACCTTTGTGTAATCTGCGAGAGCCTCTTCCTCACGCTCGCGATCTAGAAGCCACTGCTCGCGTTGTTCAGGGCTTACATCGTCTCCACCAAGCCTCATCTCTATGTCGTACTCGACAACCTTTCGGTAGTAGTTCTCGAGACGACGGAAGCCACGATATCCGGCAACAGTCGCAGTGGTCTCCCATGTGTCATGGAGATGTGACTTGTTCTGCCATTTGATGAAATACTCAAAGTCGTTGCGGTTCGTGTCTTCCGAATACTCCAATCCCTCCTTTAGACGGTGACGGAGAATCTTTTCAATGTATGGTGAATTGTCCTCCACGTCTTGGGCCCAGTAGTTTGGTGTGAGCTCTGACTCGTCCTCTTCTTCAGCTTCGCTTTCTTGGTAGGCGCCGGCGGATACTTGGGCAGCACGCCGGCTCGACCACCGCTTCTCCGCCAAGGCGAGGGCGGGCTGCAACTCTTGTTGCCGCCGAGCCTTTTTCTGAAAGCTCCGGGCTCTCGCGCCGCCGTACGTGTCTGATTCCGAGTCGTCAACCGAAGTTTGGCGCATTGGTGTGCCGCGTTTGGACACTGTTTAATTGATTGATCGTCAGCGACATGCCCTATATAGACTGCTTCTTCGTCGAGGGTCTTCAACATACCAGGAGCTGAGCGTTCCAGCCGGCGTCGCTTGTTCCCTTTACGCGGAGCTGGTGTAGCATCCGAATCGGACGCATCTTCTTCCTCATCTGAATCGACCTGTGTCATCAGGTTAGGGTGTATACCAGGTTTCCAGAGGGCGACCATGTACTTACGACCTTGCGGCGCTGTGTAGGACGCGACTAAAAGGGATGTTAGCTGTGAAGTTACCCTGAGGAAATTGGCAAGGCCGTACGCTACGTCTCAACCCATACAACTCTGGATTCTCCCTCATGAAATCTTCCTCGACTACTTGGGCAGCTTTCCGCTTCGGGGCGGGTCGCTCTGACACCGACATGGTGCGGCGGGGATGGTCATCGTGACTCTGAACAGAGGCGGGACTGCCCGCCGCGTCAAAATCTCCGTCGTCTGACGCATCATTGTCCTCCGAGTCGGACGGCCCTTGAAAGGTCACCTCGGGGTGCTCCACCGGGTTTTCGACGTCATCGGCATCCGCGTCCGCGTCGGCATCGTGATACTCCGGGGAGCCAGCGTCGGCTGGCGCATGCTGAACGTCGGAGAGATCGCTATCGCTTTGGTGGCCGTTTCCATAGTACGAAGTGTTCTCGTCCGGCGAGGGCGAGTGGTGCCCGTTGACAGGGCTCCGTTCTGGAGATGTTGACATTGTGAAGTTCAGACCGCAAGCTGCCTGCTACATGGCGACGATGTCAGTTGAGATTCTCTAGCAGTAGACCAGTCGCGAATTGGGGGGTCGTGGAGAGGCCGCCTGGGCGACCCAAAATCACTCAACAACTACATGTCATGGGCCAGGACGGTGCTTCAATGATGCTTGTCGCATAAGGAGGGGTGTAAGTGATGAAGGCGAGGCTGGGTTGATGAACAGGAACGATTGCGTGTCCCAGCGACCGTGGGAGCGGTGTACGTTGGTTCTATGGCATCGAGGACAACGCGGACAGCGGAATCCATCGAAAACCAGGCGTCACCGACACCAGGGAGGCAGCAAGGGGTAGCTGTTGATGGGCATGTGCCCGATTTGATGATAGGTTTGATGGACAAGACGCGGCGAGCTCACCGCGTAGGCAAGCGCGCAAATGCAGGCGATGTAGCAACTTACAGGTCATCCAATCATGCCCTCCAGGCAGCAGAATGTATTACAGCTCTGCTCTTGGTCTGTAGCGACGGTGCTGGGGTGGGGTTGCGTGCAGAGCTGGAGACCCCGGTGTGGTTTAGTGATGATGGTGTCGCTGAATTTCGCAGTGGGTGGGTGTCAGAGGAGAAGATTGGAAAACCTATGGTGGACGGAGCCCAGGTATCCGTGGTCCGTGCTTGCGTCGAGCCTAAGCCCCACCTGACGGTCAGGTTAGCTCCCACCCACCCACCGGATCGGTCTTTGGATGCACCAACTCGCTCATTCGATGAGGCTGACAGCTGGTCCGGCCTGCGACTCGCCGTCTTCCCGTTGCCAGCCTCGCCATCGAAGCTGACCGCGATGTCGCCGCTTGGTCGAACCAACAGGCACAGCTCGCCCCACGGTCACGCGTTGGCCCTTTTGCTTTTTAGGGGCCAAGGGAATGCAATGAAAATCGAAGAGAGACAGACTTACTGAGTACCTCAATATCTCCCGGACAGTAAATAGCACGCGTAGCAACAGCTTGTTGGCCAAGGACAAGGAAGAATATCGTGTGTCTGCAATGAAGGTGCAGCCAGTAGGTGAGTGATGGGTGGTGGTCAAGTGAGAAAAGGAAGTCAGCGTGAAATGGAGTTTTGTGGTTCCAACCCGAGGGCAGCGAGGGTGGCCTGAAGTGGATGTGCCACATTCACCGGTCACTCTTCCGTCGTTGCCGACGTGCATGCCAGCTTGCTGGAGTCCAACGCCGACAGAGTCTAAAAGCCCCAATCTGACGACGTCGTAAGCAACGATCTTTTTCTCCAGCTCGTCCGACCATTCCATTATCATCACCCAAGCTCTCGGTCTTTCGCTTCGGGGATGCATCTAAAAGTCCGTCAACAGTGGGCGCAGCAAAGTTGCCCTCGAGAATAGCAAGTGAAAGTACGTGTCACAAGAAAAATGAAAGCCAATGATGTTCCATGGGTCTACGGCCTCTTCTTTTTCTCAGTGTTGTCCCTTTGAAGACTCGATCTACGCGTGTGATATATATGAAGCTCTCTTGGAGGTGGGATCAGGAGCCAACCACAGCGGGGTAGGAAAAGTACCAATCACTTGAAACCAAACAAACTATGACTGCAAACACGCCATTAAAAGAGAATAAAGACAACAAATGGGATTGGTGTTTTGTCCCAAGGTAGGTAGGTTCCATTGATCTTCCTATTGTCTTGGTCATTGTGCTTGGTATCGAAGGTCACCAACAAGGCTGCTGCTGGATACCTACGAAAGAGCAGTTACAGGGCAGCTGGCCTATCAGCCAGCATGGATTGTAGCTGACTTTGCCGCCAAGCCCCGTTGCTGTTTGTGGCGAGGACAACCGTTCAACTTGATTTTAGAGTTGCACCCCCCTGGTAATAATCTTGCCCTGCCCCTCCTCCACAACTGGCGACACCAGTAACATTTTCGCGGCAACCGTCTGACCCACGTTGCCCCTCGTCTGGCCTCCATATTTCTCTACCCAATCCTGATCACAGTCGACCTGCGCCGAGCATCCCCGGACTCCTCCAGATCCTGCCGGAGTTGGCGTTTTTTGCGCTTCAAGTTGTCCCTTCGTAGCAAGTCTTGCTTTTATTCCTAGACCACCAAAAAAAAAAACCAAGCAGGTTCCAGCCTACGAAGCTGGGGAAAATATTGCGGCACCATGTCCGACAAACTTACTCGGTATGCGAGAAGCAAATTCTTCAGAGGCCTTGTTCCTCTCCATAATTTCGCGTATTAACTGTTTGTGAATAGTGTCGCCATTGTGAGCAGCGACAAGGTGCGTTCGAAGCCAACACCCCGCTACCCCCCTGCTGCCAGACAGCCAAAGGTTGAACGAGGCTAACCACGGATGCGAACAGTGTAAACCCAAGGTGCGCGCTCATGAACTCAGGATGGTGTTGGGAGAGTTGTGCTGATGGAAGTAGAAATGTCGTCAAGAATGCAAGAAGTCGTGCCCTGTGGTGCGGTCCGGCAAACTTTGCGTAGGTTCGCCATGGAAGGAATGCTCAAGAACCGCCAACTGACCCCCAGCTATAGATCGAGGTCGCCCCCGAATCACGAATTGCCTTCATCTCCGAATCCCTTTGCATCGGTTGTGGTATCTGCCCCAAACGCTGCCCCTTCGGCGCTATCACTATCATCAACCTGCCTACGAACCTCGAGAGTCAGATCACCCATCGTTATTCGGCCAACAGCTTCAAGCTCCATCGTCTGCCTATGCCCAGACCCGGAAATGTGTTGGGTTTGGTCGGAACAAACGGTATCGGCAAGAGTACTGCGCTCAAGATTCTCAGCGGCAAGCTTAAGCCCAACCTGGGCAGATTCGATAACCCGCCAGACTGGGAGGATGTCATTAAGCACTTCCGTGGTTCTGAATTGCAGAGTACGCAAAGAAAGCGGAGGATATTGAGGAACTGTGCTAACGATATATCTAGACTACTTCACCAAGCTTCTGGAGGATGACCTGAAGTCCATCGTCAAGCCCCAATACGTTGACCAGATCCCCAAGGCTATTCGTGGTACCGATCGTTCTGTCCAGTTCTTGCTCGAGAGCCGCCACACTCTCGGTAACCTGGACTCTGTGCTCGATACCCTTGGTAAGACTGCACAGCCTTCCTGGAACCTCTCTGAGACTTGATACTAACAGGAAACAGAGCTGCGTCACATTCTTGATCGTGATGTGAGCCATCTTTCCGGTGGTGAGCTTCAGCGTTTCGCCATTGGTACCACTTGCGTATCCAAAGCCGATGTGTATGTGTCTCTAACCCGTATTTGGTGTTTGTGTCAAGCTAACAGCTTCTAGCTACATGTTTGACGAGCCCTCTTCCTATCTCGATGTCAAGCAGAGATTGAGCGCTGCCCGCATGATCCGGTCTCTTCTCCGCCCAGATGATTATGTCATTGTCGTCGAGCACGATTTGTCCGTTCTTGACTATCTTTCCGACTTTGTGTGCGTTTTGTACGGACAGCCTGCCGTCTATGGTGTCGTCACCCTTCCCTACTCCGTCCGTGAAGGCATCAACATCTTCTTGGATGGTCACATCCCCACCGAGAACTTGCGTTTCCGTGATGAAAGTTTGACTTTCCGCATCGCTGAGGGTACCGAGGACCTCCTCGTCGAGAAGTCCCGTGCTTTCAAATACCCCAAGATGGAGAAGACTCTGGGCAACTTCCACCTCAGCATCGACGCTGGCGATTTCTCTGACTCTGAGATTATCGTCATGATGGGTGAGAACGGAACCGGAAAGGTTAATATTTTCTTGCTGATTTTGAGGTGCATCTTGAGCTGACTCTCGATTAGACCACTTTCTGCCGCATGCTGGCCGGTGTGCTCAAGCCTGATGGAACCCAGAAGGTCCCTGAGATGAAGATTAGCATGAAGCCCCAGACGATCACGCCCAAGTTCGAGGGTACCGTTCGCATGCTTTTCTTCAAGAAGATCAAGGCTGCTTTCTTGTCTCCTCAGTTCCAGACTGATGTCGTCAAGCCCCTCAAGCTTGATGATTTCATTGATCAAGAAGTCAAGAACTTGTCCGGTGGTGAACTTCAAAGAGTAAGCGATCCCTTCGAATACATCGCATTAACCGCAGCTTGCTAATACCTGCTAGGTCGCTATTGTGTTGGCCCTCGGTATCCCTGCCGACATCTACGTCATTGATGAGCCCTCTGCCTGTAAGTCAACCTCTGTCATTCAAGAAACGAAGTCACATGCTCACAAGTAACAATAGATCTCGATTCCGAGCAGCGTATTGTGGCCTCTCGTGTCATCAAGAGATTCATCATGCACGCCAAGAAGACTGCCTTCATCGTCGAGCACGATTTCATCATGGCCACTTACCTTGCCGATCGTGTCATTGTCTTCGACGGCCAGCCCGGTATCGATGCCCACGCCAACAAGCCCGAGTCTCTCCTCACTGGTTGCAACACCTTCTTGAAGAACTTGGACGTCACCTTCCGTCGTGACCCTACCAACTACCGTCCTCGTATCAACAAGGCCAGCTCCCAGCTTGACCAGGAGCAGAAGCTTTCCGGCAACTACGTAAGTTTGGTTCCGATCCTTTGACTCTAGTAACACCTACTGACACCATGATCACAGTTCTTCTTGGAGGAGCCCGACAAACAGTGAAAAGGGCATCCCAAAGGACAACAAGAAACAAGACTCTCTTCCCCCTCCTCATGACGATGCATCGGATCCTGGCGTTTTAGGCGTACAAAATGGTGATACCTGTATAAATCGAACCGGCGGCGCCCGGGGAGGTTTAGGGGTTGTATCTGAGGAAGGGGGCACGTCCGAGGACGACGATCCCGACATAGGACAGCGGTGGCGGTCTATCCCCTCTTGCCTGGTCCTACCAAGACGCCACTTCCGGGAAGTAGTGGGCAAGTATGTCTTCTGTCGCAGATGGATCACATCTTGGTAGATTGAGGGGCAATGGGACAAGCGGGTGACCGCCGCCAGGTTTCTGAGCAGGGTATTCCTGACCTGCAAAAGGGACCGCACGAGGTGAAAGGTGATTTACCTAGCTATGTGGGCTGTGATTAGATAGTCGCCGTTTCTTCTAGAGAAATATATAAAGGGTTAGAAATGCTGATATTGCATACCCGGTGAATCTTGCCATATTTAGTGATAAAACACGGTTAAAGGTGTGGTGTTTGATGTTGATTTCTGGTAAATATGGACACAATTGGCGATATGAGTGCAGGCCCTTGACTCATTCATTTTGGATTACAGGATAGGAATCACTCAGGCAACAGCCATGTGGAAAGACACATGGTACAACACAAGGACTTTTTGGTATTAAAAAGCTACTACACAACGTTTTGTACTTTCAACTACACTACCTAACCAGCAGCCACTGCTGATCAAAATGAATACCATGACAGAATAAGAGTATGAGAAAGAAAACACCGACTACTCAAGCCGAGTTAGAGCATCTTTTTGCGGGTGACAGAGACGTACTTGTACAGTGTATACTGCGGCCGAACTTCCCCCATATCGAGAACCAGAGGCAAGTTGAGCAGGAAGCTCACGCGGCTGTGAGAATTGGCGTCTGGGCGTTCACAATTTCATCCTCTTTGCTGCCAGCAAGGGTAGAAGGGCTGCCAGCAAGAGTACAAGGCGAACTGGCAGGTGTTTAATCCTCCTCTATCTCGCCCTCTTCACTACCAGCGCGGACACTGGGGGAGGGCTTCTCTTCCTTGATAGCTGCCGGAGCTGCAGCGGCAGACTTAGGCTGGGCGGTGGCGGTGGCGGCCGAGGGGGTAGCGGCACGGTCACCCTCAACCTTGATGCGCTTCGCCTGCCGGGGAGACCTTCGGTCGTGGTCGTCTTCTTCGGGGCGCGGGCGTCTAGATGAGGAACTGGGCCGCTCGTCACCGTATGGCAGCTCATCAACGTCGCGCTCAAGTACTCGCCTGCGATAAATACGTTCCCGATCCTCCTCACGTGTGCGGCGCTCACGATCGTAGTGGTTGAAGTCGTCGGCGGGGCGAGAGCGCCGGTCATAGTCGCGATGGTCGCGGTGGTCTCTGTCACGGTCTCTATCGCGGTCACGGCCGTGATCCCGGTCGCGATCTCGCTCACGGTCCCGGTCACGATCACGATCCCGATAATCGCGGGCCCGATCACGATCCCTCTCACGGTCGCGGTCGCGGTCGCGGTCACGTTCACGATCACGCTCAGAGATGCGATCCCGATCACGGTCCCTGTCACGTTCCCGATCACGCACTGAATCGTGGTGGCCATCGGCAGAACGACGATCTGAAAGTAGAACCTCGGCCGCACTGGTTTTTCTGTAGTTACGCTCGCGGTCGGCCATGGCGTGGCGACGATCGGCCTCGTAGGTGTTGTGTTCGGGGCTGCGGCTGCGGCTCCTAGCAGAACGTCCACTTCGGTAGGATCGCTCACCTCTATCACGATGCCCATCTGGGCGTTCCCGACGGCGTTGGCGCTCGTTTTCATTTTCCTCATCCTTCTCCTTAAGGCGACGAATATACTTGTCAAAGGCGCCCCGACGAGCTTCCTCAGAGTTCACAGTCCGGAATGCCTCAGACTGGGCAAGCCTGGCCTTCACCTGTTCGTAAGTATCAGTGACGGTGATGGGAGGCTCCAACCGTTTCATGGCTGCACGAAGGTCATCGAGAGCGCGGCGCTGCACCTTGTCTTCGTCTGTGCGCTTTGTGCGCTTCTGCTGGACCTGTCATGGAAACGTCAGCCCTGTTCGTCATGGTCGATTTGCGATGAAAAGAACCTACCCGTTCAAAAATAAGCTCAAGAATTTTCCGTTCAATGTTAGCCGTACGAGCATCACCCCTGACGACTGCCTCAAACTCTTCAAAAGTGGTCTTCGGGGTGACTTCGAACCGTTTGTCCTGAATCGACTTGTCAGCTTGCATTTTGTTGGAATCCATATCGGGAGCACTTACACCAATAACGTCAAGCACATCATTGCGAGTGCCCCTGAGAGCGCGCTCTTCCTCCTCAACAACATCCCAAAACAGCTCCATGGCAGTAGACCCGGGATTACCGGCGACAGCTCTGTAGCGAGCATCGTCTGCGATCAGGGGGTGTATCTGGGTCCAGGTGGTGCCGGCAGTGATTTTGCCATCCCTCTTCAGCTCTGTGAGGAGGACTTTGAAGTTATCACGAGCTTTCCGCTCCTGGCGGAATTTCTTGTTCTTCTCTTCCTGCTTTGAGTCGTTGAAGTTACGTTCCAAGGACTTGACATGATTTTGGAAGACGGTCAACACGTCAAACTTGCTGAGTGTCTTGTACTTCTCATCACTTTGAAACAAGGGGGTGTTCTGGATGGTACCTTGTGCTTCAGCCCAGCGAGTGTAGGGCTCCAAACTGAGAGTGGGAAGCAGTTCGATCAGACCATCCATAGCGCTCTTGCGCATTGTGACCTGCTGCTCCTTGTGAGCCCGTTTGAGGTCACTAACGTAGTCCTCGAACAACTGACGGCGCTCGTTCTCGTCGTTAGTCGAGCGGAAGATGGTCTCGCCCTCGATCATGGGCCGGGCTGTCTTCCACCGGGTGTAGTGCTTAATCTCTGGGTGGCTCCGGAGCATGGTGGCGAAGTCAGCGCGAAGTTTAGTCAGTCTTTCCTTGGCACGTTCCTTGTCTTGCACAACGACATCGTGGCAATACTTCTCAAAGGCAGCTTTGCGATCCCTCGGATCTTTGATGGCGCGGAACTGGGGATCTTTGACAATGGCGCGGATAGCCTGCTCCCAGGTCCAATCAGGCTGGACTTTACTACTGCGAAGGAGCTTCACGAACGCCGCCTCTGCCTCTTCGGCGGTGGCATACTCAGGATCGTTGCTGGCGGAGACGAAGGCTTGCGCCTGAATGTTGCTGCCATAGGTGAGTTGTCTGGACTCTCCCATGGGCTCCCTATGGTCGCGATAATCCCGATGATCGCGTTGCTGGTGGTGGTGGTCATACGAACCGCCATGATGACCACTACCTCCTCCAGCCGCACCAAATGAAGCTGATGGGCCTCTGTAAATAAGTTAGTACAATATGTCACAATCAGGACAAGGTAAAAACTTACGTAGGTGTGGTGGCAGCAGAATCACCAGCTCCCAAGGCTCGTTTGTAGACATCGGGCATCTCCCAGGAGCTCTGCTTTGTTTCAGTGTTATACCAATACTTCCGGCCTCCCTCTGCCGTGTACTCCTTCCATGGTTGGTTTGCCAGCGCGCGCTGTGAGTAATATATGTTAGCTTAATATATTGCGATCTCTTCAGACTCCCATAGGGCACATACCTCGGCGGGTGTCATCATTTCCTCCGGCTTGGTCCATTGCGTAACCTTGGTCAAGGTATTGTAATAGTATGTACGGCCATCGGGAGTCTTGTGTTCTGTCCAAACTGCGGGCGCCCCCGGCGGTGCAAAATGTCCATTCATTGCGACCGGATCGTGATGCGCTCGCTGGCTTGCTGGTTGCGGATGGATATCGAAGTCGTCGGCGACAGGCAAGTTGTCGTATTACAAAATACGAATAGCGGAGAATGTCAATAGGATTAAGAGGTCGTCCCAGGGGGGTATTCGTGATGAAATAACTCTGGCACTCGGGTTGCGAAGAAAACCCGTGGTCAACAACCGAGAGGATTGCAAGCTTGAAGTCGACGCGGGCTGGTAAAATCATAAAAAGCCAAGCACAGGCTTTAACGCACGGTCCTCTTTTTACCTCGCGCCACGCTAATACTTGACATCAGATGCCAAGTGCACCCCTGACCGTTGGAGCTGCTGTGAAGCTCCACCAGCTTGGGACTTCAACTATCATGAACAAGCCCGTCTTCACATTGTCTTTTAAGCTGTTACTGAGCTGACAGAACACATTACCTACTGTTATTCAGGAACTAGTAGCCAGAGAAATCGGAACCTTGTTTATATATCGCCTCGACTCCCACCAGCTCATGCGCCTAGTCACGACCTCGAAACCTCATGATCCCCTGAGAAACAGCTCCCTATAATTGCAGAGCCCAACACCCAGTCCAAGAGAGAACGATGGCGGTACCGGATGCCCCAGGGCGCGATGCCAACGATGTCTTCCTCGAAAACGCACACCTAACCTACATTGTACCATTTACTACAAAATTCAACCCTGACGAAGCCCTCCGGCAAGGTGAAGGCTCCTTCGAAAGTAAACTCGCTGGCATCGAGCTACGCGACCAGTTGTTCTTCGGTATGAGGTTCGCGCAACATCTCTTGTTCCCACGCCCATCTTACTCACTTTCACTTCAGATGAAACCGTCGATGTCTACTTAATACTGCGAACACAATGCGCCGACGAACAGACGCTCCGCCTACATTTGCGACGACTCGTCATCACCTTAGATGCCCAGATCGTCAATAGCCATTCGCAAGACCTAAACAGCCCCCCTGCGTCCGAGATCATATTTAGTGGTGGAGTGGAGGATGTCGAAGACGTTTTCATAGTGCCAGACGAGGTCGAAGATGGAACCAAGTTTGTCTATGCTGTCTGGAAACTGTCAGTGTTCTTGGGTCGTCCCAGGATCCGGCTACAGATTCCGTCGGTTGTCTTTTCAGGGACAGCAGGTCTCAAGCAAGCAGACCCAGAAAACAATCCTGACCAAAGAGATGGCTACATGCTAAGCTGTGTGCCCTCCGGCATGAATATGCTCGATTCCTTTGCCAGCGACCCAATGCTGGGCGGCATCAAGCCCCATCTCTCAGCCCAGAGAGTATCCCGAGTAGCGCCAGCAACCCAATCCAAAGAATCCCTCCGTCGCATCCCGGGCCTTCAAAACCTCAAACTCAAGATCTTCCCCCTCCTCCACTGCCGAGTCCGTTTCTCCCGACCAAATACCTCACCCCCCAGCCCAGCCCTCATCGCCCTCGTCGAAACCGACTTCACCCCCTACTTCGACTGCGAAGCCTCCCTCAACAAAATCTCCCTCGACGTCACCAACGGCACCGCAGAGGACCTCAACAACCAACCCGGGATGCGCCTCCCCCTAAGCTGCGTCGCCCACGACCACCTCACCTTCCTCTACAAGCTCACCCCTTCCTCCCTTGACCTCGCCACCACCAAAGGCCCCATCCGAGACCGCGACCTGGTCATCACAATCGAAATCTCCATCCTCGTCCGCCCAGACTCGGAATCAAACCCTTGCACCCCCAAACTCTCCATGACGTGGACAACACCCCTAGACTTTACCCTCCCCGTCAACCCCGGCTTCGGCCAACCAATGACGCAACCCATCCAGCGGTCCCACCGCCCAAGTCAGCTGTCCATTTCGGGGGGTGTTGACTCCCAACCGTTGGTTTCTCCTTCAGTCATCCGCCCGGACGCGCTTCCTTCTCTCGAAGCGGCAACTAGATCAGCAACGGAAACCACCCTCCCCGACTTTGGGATTACCCTCACCTTTACCGGGCCGGATAAACCGGTGTATGTAGGCGAGGAGTTTGTCTGGACGGTGTTTGTTGTTAACCGCTCCCGTCCCACGTCGATGATTGCTCCTGCTGGGATGCATTTGTCGTATTCGTCCATGACGGCTTCCATGACGGCATCGTCCCAGGCAAGGAAGTTGATGCTTTTGGTGGTGCCGCACAGGAGGAGGAACGAGGGGGGGGCGTTGGGGAGACCGACGATGAGGGGGAATATGGGTGGGAAGAAGGACAGTGGTATGGCGGATGCGGTGCTGGATGAGAATGTGGTTTATGCGATGCAGAAGGCTGGGGGGGTGGATAATACCGAGGTGGTGTGTCTGTCGGCGGATGTGAGGGTCGGACCGTTGGCGGCGAATGCGTGTAGTGTGGTGGAGTTGAGGTTTTTGGCGTTGAGGGAGGGGGTTGTTGGGGTGGAGGCGGTGAAGGTGGTCGATTTGGGGAGTCAGGAGCATGTGGATGTGAGGGAGTTGCCTTTGGTGGTTGTGAGGAGGAGGGAGTAGAGGGTAGGTAGGGGCTGCTGGGTGGTAAGATAGGTTGTTGAAAATGGTAATGATAATAACAACGAGAGGGTTGAGAGGGAATTAACAATCAAAAGTAATAATACCATTAGACGCCATGCTTTAACCGCTAATATCTTGACATCCCTACCTATTACCCATTCCCTTTTTTGTGCCAGCTAATGGGTATCTATATACGTGACTTATACAACACAAAGTTTATGAACTAAGGTATCCTCTTCTGCCGACAACGCTCCCAAGCGAAATACTTCTTTCCCCCAATCCCGAACCTGCTCAGTAAACCCCTGATGCCATGCGAAATTTTGCTTATGCTGTGATGTTGATTGTTTCATGTCAGGTTCATTATATAATGTCATCGTCGTCGTCCCACCCGAGTTGGGCGTATATGCTCGCTGTCTCCTTCGTGAGAACTGTCTGTCCGAGTGTCCCCGGCGGTGGGGCTTCCTTCTCCTTTTGTTTCTGTTGGGCTGGTGCCAACGTGAATAGCTTTGACCGAATAGGGCTGTCATTGATAGCCGTGGCCGTTTTATGAAATTTAGGGTTGACCGGTGTCTCAAAGAGCGCCGGTAGCCCGGGCGAGGAGAGGAAGTGGTCTATCGCTTCCTGAGGTATAGATAGGAATTGTGTAGAGGCTCTTTGGCCCTGAGTCGGTGCGGGCGCTGCCTTTCTTGCCATGATGGGTGACGAGGCCAAGATGGGGCCCGGTGTCTCCTGGATTGCCCGCAGGGTGTGGAAGGTGCTGACCGCGGCTGGTTTGCGGGCCGGAGTCGCGTTGATCCTGATCGGTGTTGACGATGGCGGTGGTGCCAATGCATTGGTGAACTTGCGAGGTAATGTCGATGCTGGGATCATGGAGGCGCTTGATGGTGGGATGGCTTCAAAAGATAGAGATGTTTGTCCACGCGCATTGTCGCCCGCAAGGACATCCTTGAAGCGGCCGTTTGCTGGAGTTGCTTTGACAATAGAAGGTGTCCGCGGCTTCTTCACCTTCTTCACCTGGTTGACACCCGCAGAAGCTCTCTTGTCCACTGCGTCAGCAAATTCTTTCACAGCCAGTGCCCGGTTTGGCTTCTTAAGCGCCGAGATGGCATCCTTCAACTCGGCATCTACCTGGGCCTTCTTTCTCGCTCTGAGATCTTCCCCACGTGGGAAGACATTTGTTGGCTTCTCCTTCAAACTCTTGTCTTGGCGGGGGACCATTCCCATGAGCAGGGGCTCACTACCCTCCCGCTTCAGTCCAGGAATTGCCGTCGCGCTCGCAGATCGCATGAGGGCGATCGCCTTGGATGGCTCTCTTGAGACACTACGTCTCATACGCTCGTTGGAAAGCGCTCGCTGGAGCGATCGATCGCTGTCCTTCTTCAGGGCGGCAGGCCGCTTTGCTAGCGCACCAGGTTTCGCTTTTGAGACAGCAGCCGGCTTCACAAACTCCTTCTTCGGTGGCGACTGAGCCACAGGGCCACCCAACTTTCGGTTGATGGAGTCGCAAAGCTCTGGGAGACGTGCAGCGAAAAAGGGTAGGATGATTTCCACACAAAAGTCCTTCAGGGGGTCAGAGTCGATTCGCTCGGGCCTGGCACCCTCTTTGGGTGCTTGAGACTCAGCCAGCGCTTTGACCTCATCCAGTGTTACCGACTGCCAAATACAAAGGCGATCAGCGTGAACATCCAAAAGTACAGGAAGATTGTGCTTGTTCCGTTTCTTCGCTGTCGGCTCTTGACTTGCTTCGCGGGATGGTGCTCGAGACTCGCCAGGCAGCAGGTAGTCACCAACAGGATCCTTTGGCCGTATCAATGGTTCCAGCGCCAGAATTTCCATGATTAGGATCATCTGCAACTGAGTTTCTCTCCGTCGAAGGCAGGAGACGTGATACCTGGCTTCGGTCTGGGAAACGGTCTTTGCTTCTTCCTCTTCATTCCCAACAGCAATCGGCAGATGTGAAGTCCACCACCTCTTAACGTGGTCCACTTCACTTGGGTACAAGCCATCTTTCCCCATCTTGGGCTTCTTCACCTTCCGTTTCTTGCGCTTTGTCTGGGCGTTGTCCGAGTCCTCGAGGCACGTTTTCATTTTCTCGATGATAGCGGGAATTGTTTCGCGGTACTTCTTGTCCACCAGGATAGTTGTCATGATGAGACTCTTCAAAAACTCTACCAAGTCAGCCATTTCGAGATCGGAGCCTGTATCGGGGTGGAAGGCGGCTCGAGCCCTGGACAGTGGGCCCTTTGCGAAATATGCCAGCGATCCCTAGGCCAGTGAGCATATTGACAAACGAGTAGGTCGGACACCAAGATTCTTACCTTTGAATGATAGAGAGCTTCTTGATACTGTGTTCTAATGTTGTCCATGATGCCTTCGGCGGTCGGCTTATCCTGCTCCTGCTCCTGTGGCTGTGACTGTGGCTCTGCCTGGCAACCAGTATCTGAGACCGGAAGAGGGGCTTGGGTGCTGTCTCGCGTGCTGGATAGCAAAGTGAGAGAGTCGGCCAAAATCTCCTCTGGTGGCTGAACAATTTGAGTTCCAACTCCTCTGGAGGCCGGTCTAGACTCAACGATTCCTCTTGAAGCAGGCCTAGAGTTGGGCAATGCCGAAATTTGACTGTGAGAGTCCATATCGGTGAGAGTTCCTGATCGTCTGCGAGTGGCGGCCTGGAGTTCTTCGATGGCGAGTTTCCTCCTCTTGTTCTCCTTGTACATTTGTGGTGTTATAAAAGGCGCGCCGGCCGGATCTTCGACTTTGACCTGCTTTGGGCCTTTCAATCTCTCCTTGCAGACCACGGTAGCATCATGACTGAGCTCTCCAACATCCACCCATGAGCCCAGCTTGCACAGCACGTATAACCCAGGGCTTTCGCTTTCGACGGCATATACCATTTTGGTGATCTCTGAACGGGCAATGAGGACACTGTGGCCCAGGCGTCCCTCGAGGTCGAGAATCTTAATCTTGGACTCAAAAAGACGGGTGGATGAAAGTTCTCCGTGTGGCTTGACGAGGTCGAGGGCGGACAGCGGTAGGCTCTCGCGGGGAAGCATCATGAGCGGGTGGAGCATACACGGTCTCGATGTAAGGCTAGACGGATGGGGCTATACAAAGGTTAGCTACCGTCAAACATGAGGGATTGAGACTGGTTTATAAAAAAAAGGCAATACCTTCAAAACAATTGGAGCTTTTAGTAAACTGTCAGTGCTCAGTCCTGGTGTCGAGACATCTCGCTTCCGTTTTCTTGAACCAAAGACATCTTGATCGTGGATGCTCTGGCGACGACCTGGCTGGTTGAGCTCGGCATCGCGGGCCGGTGTGAGTATGCCACCACCAGCTGAAGCCCGGCTCGCAGGCCGTGACAAAGGGAGGGGTGGCAGTGAGATCGAGGTGGAAATGGAGTCTGAACGAGAGTGCGACAGTGACGCGCCGCCAGAACTCGGCCTCACTGCGGAGGACATATTGATAAAAACGGGAATGAGTCGGCTAGCGGTACATGTTGAGAATATAGACACCTGGTAAACTGTGAACGGTGGTAACCAATGTTAGGACGCAGGTGTTGTCAGGCTCATGTGTAAGTCTCTCGAATCTCGAATTCCAAAAATGTTCATTGGCAGATGCTTGTCCCGCCCTGGCTCTGGCGTCACGCGTTGTGATCCATGCTCAACCCAGCGCGACAGACGCGTTCCCTCAGCCAACGGCGTAGAACCCCTGTCCCCCGCACAAGCCATCCTGTCTTCACTTAACCTGAACCCTGAGGCGGGAGAAACGAAACATCTTTAAATCCGCATTCCCATCTCGAGACTGCTGATCTTTGGGAGAATCTGTTTCACATGGGCCAGTGGAGAGCATGTGTGTACTAGCGCATTCTCTTCATACATAATCATTCCTTTCCTGAAACAGCGCTGTGTAACTTGCACCCAGCGTTGGAGATGCTTGGCAGATGTTGCACTACCAAGCCGATCCCGATGAGCCTACTCAAGCTTCGATCAGCTCGAACCACCATGTTTTTATTGAGCCGCTGATAACAAATTCTCCTCGTGTGCCAGTTGCTTAAGCTGTTCGACTTTGGCCAATGAGACCTTGGATGCACTGTCAGGGAGTTCCTTGCAAAGCTTCCTTAACCTTTCTTGGCCGCCTTTCTGCTCGCCATCTTTTGCCACGGGCCCGCTTTTGTTGCCGTTAGTGTAACGTCCATCACCAGCTCGTCTTGACGGCTCTTTCCATTGAATATCCCAGCCATAAATCAGACGACATTTGGGCCAATTGCCCACATACCGCCGACTAATCCCCCCTTCTCCCTCTGTGCGCCGATGGCCAGGACGAATTGCCGCCTCAATAGCTTGGTTTCCGCCAGCAGTGGGCATACGATCGATTGATCACCGTACCTACCTCGCTCGATCATCGTACCTGGGCCTCGAATTCACCAACAGCAACCTGCCATCGCAATGGCCAGCGAAACGTCACCCCGTACCGTCCGCTTCTCGCAGACCGAAGAGGACCAGTTTGTGCGGCCCGAGAGGTTCAATGGCCGTCCGATAGCGGTGCCATCTGACTCGGAGCTTGCGGTATCATCGGGAGATCTGCATTTGCTTACAGATCGCCATGTGCTAGAACAGCATGATGAACTTGGCTCTCTGGCTCGCTATGCCGACGCTCCAGTCCACTCCGGCATCGTGCAGCCACATCCTTCCACGGGCCTCGCGAACGGCGCGGCCAGTCGCCAACGTGGCACGGCCGACTCGGCTCACTATGGGAATGGCGCTACTCCACGACCTCAACGCCCCACGGGACCTGCTAGAACACCTTCGAATACCTACCAGCCATATACCGCGCGAAGGCCACAACAGCCCCCACCCTCGTCCTACATAGGAGCTACTCCAACCCACCCCCGAGACGGATCGCGACCACGACCGTTAGCAGGAAGCTCGACATTCCGAGCCCAGGAGCGAGAGTACGTCCGAAGGTTACGCCAGCAAGACCACGGCAACAGCGACTACTTCGACGCTTACGGCTCTGGCGAGCAGTACGATTCAGATTCTGAGGGCGAAACCCCATCTTCAGAGGGTCCATTCGACAGCTACGAAGATGCGCACATCATGTTTGTCAACAGCGAAGAGAGTCAGATCACAGAAGAGGACCTAAGGGATCCCCAGAATCGGGAGCGGTTAGAATGGCACGGCATGCTCGAGGCGGTACTGACTGGCGATGTTGTCCGCCAGGAGAAGAAGCGTCTTATCGGTTCGGCGGATGAGGAAGCAGGGAGAAGCGCTCACAAGGCTGAGCTATGGTTGGCCATCCGCGCAAAAATATGCGACAGACACTTGCCGGTTCAAAAGAGGATGACCGAGGAGGCTCAGGCGGGCTTGGACCGCTTGGTCAATGAGGTCATCAATTTCTCCATTGCTGGACAGAGTGAGGCCGGAAAACCTCCCATCGGCCAGGTCCGCGACGCCATCGCCAAGATTGACAAGATCGAGAGTCTTTATCCCTCCAGCACAGCCCTCGTTGCGGCGCTTAAGCCCGGGACCTATGAGGCGTACGAAGAAACATGTGAATCTGTTATATCTTGGTACAACGTCAACGAAATGATCAACACGGAATTGTCAATCTTGAAGAGATGGGTTGGCAATGAAGCCCTCGATTTCCACAAGCCAGGTGGCGGAAACGGTCTGGGCGATGATACCTCGTTCATGGACCGTCTCTTGAAGGAAGAGGGCCTCAAGTCGCTTCATGAGGACAATGGTGCTGATGGCAAAAATCTCAGGAGGAGGAGCATGCTGGACGGAATCTCGCGAGTTATCGAAAAGGCGAAGCGCACCTTGATCGACAAGGCCCAGGGCTTTCAAAAGCGCCATCTCCCCCCTTATATCGAGGAGCTGCTCACCTTGATCAGCTTTCCCTCAAGACTTATTGAGGAAATCATCAAGGTGCGGCTAGCTTATGCCAAAAAGATGAAGGACTCGGCACAGCAGAACCCTCTGATGCAAGACCAGATGATCTCACAATTCCAAATCATCTTGAAACTTGCCATCAAAATCAGGTCCGAGTACATGATGATCTCAGCACCAGAACCTTGGTGGGATTTACCCCCTTGCATCGACGAAGATTTTGACAGGGTCATTTTGGATGCGCTCAAATACTACTTCAAGATGCTGAACTGGAAGCTCAGCGGGAACAAGAACACCTTCAAGGAGGCAGAATTGCTGTTTCAGGAGTGGGAGTTTGGAAACGAAATTGGCAGTCATCTCACGCGCGGAGATATTGAGGCTGCTGAACAGTTCAGTTCGCTGACCTTCAAGGCCTTCAACCGACTTCACCAGACCTTTGAGAAAGAACTGCAGAGGAAACCCAAAGAGAGTGTGACCGAGATGACGAAGCGGTACAAGCAAACTCTGGACTCCGTTCGTGTGCGTCAGAGAATGCTGCAGCGCTTCTCCAGGATGCTCAGCGAGAATTACGAAAATGCCTGTGATTTCACCATTGCCTGGGGCCCAGAAAAGCTCCAAGACCTCTATGATCGGCTGATGGACACGCACCACTTCCAAGTTTACACGGGCAGCCCCGAACACAAAGGCATCCACATCATCGCATCGCCTTCGTTAGCAAACCGCCCGGACGTGATCCAGCGTCTTATGGGCACCTTCTCCTACGATGTCATCGCAGAAGACCCCGCAGAACCCTACCTCCTGATCATCAAGGCTGAAAACGCACCTAACTGGTTCGGCTCCAAGCTTAGCTTGTCAGTGCGGGAAGAACCACTCGATATCAAGTTGGGCCACATGAGACTCATTGCGGGTGGTTCACAACATGTCTTGGTGAACGCAAGAAAGGCGTTTTTGGAGACGATTGATATGCACATTGACATTGTGGTCGAACAGAGGTCAACTTTGCACAAGGTGAACCTTCGCCTCATGGAGATCCGCAAAGTTGCTTTCAAGCTGTCAAATGCCTTCATGGACAGTGTGGAGACAATTCGACGGCAGACCAAGGGTCTGAACTGTCAGGAGCTCATACAGACCTGCTTCATATTCGCTACTGAGTTCGGTCAGCGCTCCTTGCTGTACATGGACAACAACCGGAGGACGATGAACAACATGAAGCTTACCAAGCTGGCGCTGGACTGGGTTAGCTTTATCTGTGATGATTGCGTTCCCTCTGATCGCAAGACATTCCGCTGGACTGTACAGGCGCTTGAGTTTGCCATGGTCATGACCAGAGGCAAGCACATGCTAGCGCTTGGCGACGATGAATATGTCAAGTTACGGACCAAGGTTGCTGGGTGCATGGCTCTGTTGATTTCGCATTTCGATATCATGGGCGCCAGGTCAAACGTTGCGGCCCAGGCTGAGAAACAGCGCATGGAGACGCTTATCAGCCAGATGAAGCGACTGAACAAGGGCCAAATTATGGATGACGAAATGGCCGCGAGCTGTGTAACAGAGCGCCGCCTTGAGGAGCTGGTCAAGGTTGACGATATTCGAAAGCAAATCCTTGTAGAACGGTCAGCAATGGGCCGAGTCTTGGAGGTGTCAAACGAGGTCGACCGCTCGCTCGCCTGGCTCTCATCAACAGCCAACAACTTTACCATCCGCTGGCAACAAGGGCAGTTTGTCGGCGGTGGCACGTTTGGCAATGTCTACGCTGCCATGAACCTTGACACAGGCCAGCTTATGGCGGTGAAGGAGATTCGCCTGCAAGACCCCAAGCTTATTCCCAACGTTGCTCATACGATTAGGGACGAAATGCGCGTTTTGGAATCTGTGGATCACCCCAACGTTGTATCGTACTTTGGTATTGAGGTACACCGCGATCGTGTCTACATGTTTATGGAGTTTTGCTCAGGTGGCTCGCTTGCCAACTTGCTGGAGCACGGGCGTATCGAGGATGAGCAAGTCATCATGGTGTATGCTCTGCAGCTTCTCGAGGGTTTGGCGTACTTGCATGAGTTGAGGATCGCCCACCGTGATATCAAGCCAGAGAGTAAGTCTAGCAGACCATCTGACATGTTCAGAAGGTACTAACAAACGCCACAGACATCCTCCTCGACCACAATGGCATCATCAAATACGTCGATTTCGGCGCCGCCAAACTGATCGCTCGCCAGGGCCGAACACTCGTGCAAGACATCACCAGCACGAAGCCCAACAAGTCCATGACTGGAACGCCCATGTACATGTCTCCCGAGGTGATCAAGGGCGAGAACCCGGGCCACTTTGGTGCCGTTGACATTTGGTCCCTCGGCTGCGTCATCCTCGAGATGGCGACCGGGAGACGCCCCTGGGCCAATCTCGACAACGAGTGGGCCATCATGTACAACATCGCCCAGGGAAACCCGCCGCAGCTCCCGACGTCGGACCAGCTCAGCCCGCAGGGGATTGACTTTTTGAGGAGGTGCTTCGTGCGCGACTCGAAGAAGAGGGCGACGGCGATTGAGCTGCTGCAGCACGAGTGGATCATGACGATTAGGAACCGGGTCGTGGAGCCCTCGACGCCTAGTAGCGATGCGAGCAGCACACAGAACACGCCGACTACTGCGTCTGCTTCCACGAGGGGGAGTGCCGGGCCGGATGGGTTTTACTGAGTTGGGTGGGTGATGCTTAATGGCCCCATTGTTTTCTTTTTGTATGGGGTGTTATGGTACTTATTTACTCAGCACTACATGACCAAAGGCAGGCGAACCATGTTCGCTTTTGAAAGATGTTTGTTGTACACATTGAGCGAAACCACGAAACGAAAACGAAATGGATACCCCTTGGGTTTTTTTTGGATCTCATTCTTCTCTCCTATTTTTTTTAAAAAAAATTTAAAAATTTGGTGTGTGTGTGTGTGTGTGTGTATGTATGACTGAAGGGGGCAACAAAGGGAGGGATGATGGAGGGTATTTCTACATTTTTGGCATGTTGCTCTTTTCATCAGAGGGGAGTGGAATTGATAGGGTGGTCAATATTGGTCAGATAGGTGCTACAAGGCAACAAGAATTTATGAACTGGTATATGAAGTGTGCCAATTTCCTCATGCTACCTACTGACCTCTGGATCTTGTTGTTATATGGTTCATCGGCTTTTCCACCTTTGGCTTTTGTAAAGGGCTGCATGTAGGCCTTTTTCGTCTATCGCCACCCACGACGTGCAATGGAAGTTTATTGATGTAACAGGTGGGCTTGTTGTTAGCCAACTGCTCCAACTTCGAGGTTATGTGATGAATAATATTGGAATCTGTTTGATGCTGCCCACCTCTCTATACTTACTCAACAATATCCTGGGGCTATAATACCACCCTCAAAGGAATGGCAACAACCCGCACTGATCGTTACCTCTAAATTTATAGCCGTCTGTTTTGGGCTAATCAAAGGCGAACTTAGCAGTTGTTGTTGGTGGTGAATGAGTACCAGCAAGTACCTAACCAACAGGCTCAGAGAGATAAGCTATTGCCTAGGATCTCAGCCACGTACATAAGGTAGGGCAGGTACGCATTAAGCAGTAGGATCGATCTCCTCGCAGTGTGATGGATCGATCTCAAATCGCCAACTAAAGTTAGGTATGTTATGCATGTCTAGATCTAACAATCCCACCACTCTACCTACCTAACCTGGCGGTAGTTGGTCAGCGCTTAAAGGCGAGGGGTTTAGTTCATAACTCCGATCCAAAGAGCAAAGTCTCTCCTCCTCTCCACAACATTTAAAACCAAAAGGCCCTTGCTTCACAGCATACGGCCACCAACACCAACCAAACACGTCATGGCAATAAAGTATCAACATTTACCCGGCGGCTATGCGCATACTACCAAACTCCCAAGGGTCTTCCTTTCCCCAAGTGTAACCAACCACCAAACCAAAAAACTCCCACAACCCACAAAAACAACCGGACGGGTTACAACATCCGCCCCGCCCCCCTCCTCAGAGAAAATCAATCTATTTTATCTTGGCGAATTGTTACACTTCTAAGGCACTTGATGCAGATCATTGAATTCCCACCCCCAAAAATCTCCATCCACACTATCAACTCGGCTACCTTTACCGAGCAGATCATACATATGCTTATTTGACCCCCTCCCACTTCCCCGCGGCCCGGGCCGCAAGCAGCAAAAACGAAACGCAACACAATATATTGAAGCTAGTAAGAGTGAAATCTGGAAAAGGCAGAATGCCACCACATGTTGACAGTATGGGAAACGGAAATCATGTTCAAATATCAGCGGCCGCGGCCAAACTGTTGTTTCTTTGTTCTTCTTCAACCATTGCGCCTCAGGCGGATTTCTCTGCCAGTGCTCCATGTTGTATATATATCAGGTACATAACAGGTTTCTCCTCCCGCCTTCTTTCCTGTGTCCCATTTTCTGTCCATTTCGTTTACGACGGACTTTATACAAAATATGCTTCCACATCTTTTTTTCTCTCCCGCATCCCTCTTTCATCACAGCCATATCCTCCACCATGTCTGCTGTGTGTATGCTCCCCCGAAATGCTACCAGCACCACCGCTGCCGCTGAGATGATGCCTATACTACAGCATTGAATCCATCCGACGCCAGGTAACGCAAGGTGAGAGCCAAGGGATGGACAACCCCTTTCTCTCATGCCCAGCAGGGGTATCCAAAGCCAATACCAATTCCGTTGACCAAACCTCCCCCCCACCCTCCCAGAAAGAAAAAAAAAGACATAAGAAGCCAGAAAAGACACATATCCGTATATCATTACATTAAGTGAGTCCACTTTTCCGTGTGTGTGTGTGTGTGTGTGTGAGAGAGAGAGAGAGAGAGTGTGTGTGTGTGTGTTGTCAAGTAATTGTTGCTGATAAGTCGTTTGAAGAACCGAAGCCGTATCCCACGTTTATAGGGGCTGCGCGACTCCAACCGTCCCGACTCCGAAAACAAAGACAAAAGAAACTCGGTCAAGACGATTTTTGTTGCATGCATAAAACAAAACAAAAAATGATAATGGTACAACGGCCCGCTTCGATTTCGAGGGGCCAGAAATCAGAACACTGACGGTTTATGACTTGTCCGCACTGAAGTCCTGGGGGGTGATATTTTGAGCAAACTGGAACTGCTTCGATCGTGGCATGTTGGTGGGCGAAGATCGTGCTGATGGCTCAGTTGCATAAGAGTCGGGGAAGTGATATTCGGTTTGGGCGAGCGAAGGGCCAAAAAAACCGTTGTATGTTGGGCCCATGGACTGTGGCGGAAATGAGGGTGTCACAGGCTGGCTGGCCACATAACCAGGCATCTGAGGCGCCATCGAGAACTCAAGCTCGGATCCCCCGTGGCTGCAGAGGCTTGGCGTGGGAAGGGGTTCGTCCTGTGGGGCGAAGTTCCAGGCGTGGTCCATGGAGCCTGTGAAGTATGCGTCTTGCATACCCATTTGTAGACCCGGAGTCCCTGGTGGTGTCTTCATGGTGGCCTCGGATTTATACATGGAAAACCCGCCCACGGCACCAAGGGACCCATACGCAAAGCCAGCCTCTTCATCTGAAGAACTGATACCAACTGTTCCTTCGCGCGCGCTCTGATTGTGTCCCCCAGGGCTCAACGGTGACATGGCGCTGTTCAAAGAAGCCATTGCGGGAGATTGGCCGTCCTGGAGACTCTGAAGAAGCGCCTCCTTGTTGCGCTCCATCGCAAACGGGGACCTCGGTCCACCTGGTCCCATGAACGACTTTTGTACGCGCCCACCTAGGCCTCCCGTAGCGGAAGAGATGCGTCTCATCGGGCTTGCTGTTTCTGATCTTCGAGGAGCTTCAATGCCCGCCTTCGGCCCAGCGCCACCTCTCAAGGAGGATGGTCCGAGAGGCGCTGGACGTCGCAATTTCCTGCGGCCAGCGATATCAGCTGGGGGTGGTGGGGATTTGAAGCGCAAGTCTGACAGTGTCAAGGGCGACTCGGGCAAGGAAGTCGGCGACAGAGCTTCACATTTCACCAAATTTTCCTCGGATACTCGGCGTTGGAGAAGCTCGGTTTCGGCGCTGACCAAGTTTTCGGGTATCATTTCAGACGGGAAGCGCGGGATGGGAGGTGACGCAAAATAGTCTCGGTCAGGGAACGAGCCGAAGTGACTTGTTTCCCCTGTATCGATATGATCCTGGCTTTGGACTCTGTGCAGCTCATGGCCCGACAAGCCATCCAAAAGCTCCGGGTTCGCCTGCCTGAAGCTGAAAGGCGTCGGCTGCTGAAAGTTGATCTCCTGTTGGGGCGTGGTGAACGCGCTCATGGCTGTTGACGGCTGGTCAAGGTCCGATGTGTCTTGTGAGCGGTGAACGGGCGATTTGACGTGTTCATACTTGACGTGAACGTAATCACTCCCTGGGCTTACTGGAGTGTCACCTCCAGGCGTTACTGTGGATGAAGCGCCCGCTGACTCGATGAGAGGCTGTGGTCCTGAAGCGCCATCATCGCTATCAGTGCCATCATCGCTCCCCCCAAACTTGGCAGTTGATAACCCAAGAGGTTGGTGCTGGTTGCTCAGGCCGTAGAACTCGGTCACGGTACCCTGCTCTTGGTCACCGGATTCCTTGACCTCCGAAGCCTCCTTTTCTCTTGCCTGTTGCGCCTCGAATTCGGCTGTCTTTCTCATCTGCTTCTCTTTTGCCCGGCGGTTTTGGAACCAATTCTGCAAAAGCACGTTAGCATACGACACTTCCTACGCATTGCGGTAGACCAACGTTGATCCTGGGAACCTCCACTCCCATTTGCTCAGCGAGCTCGCGCTTGGTGCTGCTGTTTGGCTTGGGGTTCTTGTTGAATTCGCGCTCCAACAATTCCACCTCGTCCTTTGCCAGTCTTGGCTTGGGCTCTGTCTGTTTGGACATGTGCATGCCTCCCTGTCCCATCATCACTGCTCTTTGCTGGTGTTGTTGGTAGTAGGCCACCATATGCTGACTCCAATACGGATACTGGTGGTCCTGGGGCTGTGTTTGTTGCTGGATGCCATGATAGCCCTGCATCTGAACGGCGTATCGGCGGTAAGGGTCCATGTAGTCCATGTCCATGATGTCCAACTGGGTCGACCCGTCCGGTAGAAGGTGTCGTCGTCGTCGTCGTCGTCCGGGAGCGTGTCGTGAGTGAGGAAGATTGATGCTGTCTCGAGAAGACCCAGAAGACGAGGCAGCGTCTTTGCGGGCTCAGAGATGGTGGACACAAAAGAGTGACTGGGGTGAGGCGGACTCTTGAGTGATATGGACGGGGGAAATGTCAAAGAACGTGTGGGCCCGATCAGGACACTAAGGTACCAGGGGTGAGGAGCGCGTGGATGGGGTGGGCACCCGGCCAGGAGGTCTTAACCAGTTTAAGACTGAGCGATGAACTGAACGGGGGTGGGAGGGGGGTGGGCGAGGCGAGACCCGGAGCGGAACGGCAAGACACAGCTCGTGTACAGGGCTCTCCCCGTCTCACTTTTTCGCAGCTTCTTTCTGTTCCCTGCTGAGGACTTGCTGCTGAACAGTCTCATCAGTCACAACAGGACAAGACAGGGCAAGGCGAGAGGGAACGAAGGGGGGGAGGGTAGCAGTGGAGAAGGGGCATTGTTATTTGTCCCGAACCTGTGCTCTGCTGCGTGCCGTGCATCACCCAGGCTCTCGCCGTGTAAGAACCCATCAAGACTCGACACTGCTCCAGGACGTGTCGCGGGTCATGAAGCGGCAGGAGGGTGGTGTGGTTCGGCATGCAGGCGGCGGGTGCTGGGGCCACAGGCTGGGCTTGGAAGGGGATGGTGGTGATGGGGGCATAGATGGTGAGGTGGTGTGTGGGCGAACGAGGAGCGAGACCCTCAACAAGGGTAGGACCAGGGAGACAGCCAGGGACCCAGGGTGAGTTCTCTCCACGAGGTACCACTGGGTACGAAGGACGAACGTGGGCGCTCTGATAGGCACCTCGGGCAAGCTGTGGACCTTTTGGTGAGCAGCACCAAGACCTTGGGGTGTGCTGGGGCGACCGGCTCCCCGGGGCATTTTCACACAAGCCAGGGTCACTTGCAGCGAGCAAGGAGGAGGAGGGCAGCGCGCTGTCAGTACAGACTGCAGGCGGGTGGGCAGGCGGCGTGGGACTGCAGAGGCAGAGGCAGAGGCTGGGAGTAGGAGCTTGAGCGTGAGCGGACGCCGGGCACTGGGAGTGGTTGGAACCTCTGGGTACCCCTTGGGACGAGAAATCCCACCCTGGCCTGGTCCCGAGCTCCCCGCCTGGACATTCTTGGCGTCCCTTACACATCCTTGCATCCTGAACACCAGCTCGCACAGAGCCACAGCGTCCCTGGATCAAGACCCAAGTGGCAGCGTCGGTGCCACCCTGCAGGCTACCTATGTATGTAGACCCCTGGCGGCTTTTGGTTGCTCTGTGATCGGGAGATTTTGCGAGTTGGGCATCCGTCCGTACTGAAGGCATCTGGACTCCTGGGCCACAAGACCCTGCAGCTCGGAGGGAAAACTCTGAGGTGATGAGCCTGAGCAATAGGAAAAGCCGTTGGCGGAGCCGGAGCCTCGTGGAAGGGATGCCGGGCGGGTCGAGCGCGAGCTAGAGCCCCTGGGGAGCGGAGCTGTTGCTGTGGGATGGGTGCACTGTGTGGGGTTAAAGATACGGTGCCGAAGCCGAGAACTTCTGAGAGGCGGAGGAAAGATGGAGGAGTGGAATCGTGTGGGAGAGAGAAAGAAAAGCCAACCGCCCGAAGCCGGGAGGCACCGTGCCTCGGGAGCCAGAGAGACCAGGAGACCAGGAGACCAGACCAGTGCTAGGGACAAGGGAGAGACATCGAAGACATTCGCGTGACGAGTCGAGAGCTCATCACTCAACGCAGGCGTGGCAGGGAACACCAATCGGGGTGCGATGGCTGCGGCTGGCTGCGATCTGTCTGATCAGTTCGATGCCATCTCAAAAGGGGGTCGACGGGTTTGTAACACCATGGTTTCCACAGCATAAGATTGCTGAACGAGAAAGAAAGCAAAAGGCAGGCAACACCCAGTGGAATTTGCACGGGCCATATCGGATATGGTCTCTGCGCTGCCACCAAAGTGTGGGGTTATGCCACCCTCAGCCACTGCCTCCACCATTGCTCATCAGCGAGTCAGCGACATCTCGTTGTGATGAATCTGATGATAACTCGCTGCTGTTATTGTTGTTGTCCTGTCCATCTCATCTGTTGAACTTGAACCTCGAAAGAGAGCGTCACTTGATTTCCGAGACGACTCGGAGTTGCGCATCTTCCATCAGAGCACAAAGCACAAGAACGGCGTGGCAGGATCTCCTGTTGGCTGTAACTTGCATCTCATCCAATTTCCTGGGAGGCGACACGCCGTGAACAGAATGCCAACCCGTAATTCGGTGCCGAAGGGTCGTCCTATGCCGGCGCCTCAGCCTCAAGTCCAGCCGCCGCCGGTTGCTGCCGGATCGACACCAAAACTAGTGTAGGCGAAGAAGCCCTTTGGCCCTTCTCTCACGATATCTGTTAGGGAGGTCCTGAAATCGGCGAGGCGGGTCCTTCAACGTGTTGCTCCACGGTTTCTGACTGGATGACCAGAGACATGTCCTACGTCTTGACGACAGTGTCTGTGTAACCGAGCATCTCACTGCGTCTTTGTACGAGTCTGTTGGTGTTGTTGAAGAAGTTGAGGTTGAGTGCCAACTCCACACCAAGCATTTTTCCCGGCTCCCACCCCATTGGGATTTCTCTAGAAGCCGTTGAGGGAATAGCTTCGCACCAGTGTTTCGTGAGGGAGAAATAGCGGTGGAGTTGACAGTTGCGGCAAAGCAAACAAGCCTCGCGCTGCAGCTGTCTGATGCAATCGGCATCCTTGCAAGGTCAGGAACAATTATCGCGGGGTTGTCGAGAAGTTCCTTCTCTCTTCCTAGCACTCCCCGCTGAGGTGGCCGCCAGATGGCAGCGGATGCCAGTCCACACCGGCCGCTTTCGCTTACCGCCTCTTCTGATTCGCCTGATGCACCGACGACCGCCAAACCTTGCCGTTTCCCGCCCTGCTGCAGGAAGAGATATCCAGAAGTCGCCTGATGACAGACTCCAACTCGAACGAACTCCACCGACAACAGCAGCACTGGAGTAGCAACTGGAGCAGCACTCGAACAGGCAACACGGTGACATCCAACACTTCTCGATACCACCCTGCGATGGTGAAGAGGGATAAAGAAGAAAAAAAATACCGTACGACTTTGACAACCCCCAACCCTCCCAACCATGGGATTCTCTCCTCCAGGCACGCGCCTCGTAGATTACCCCGCTCAAGGATGATGTGCATCCTGCTCTGCAGATGAGGTGATGAGGTGAAAGCTCACCTCACCGAAGAGGCACAGATACCGCCCGTCGGCGCTGCCATGACGGCAACCAAGTTGGACGGGTGCGGCAGCTTATGTGGTTCCCGGGCGTCACTTGCAGCTGATGATTTCCCATCCATCAGAATTCCACAACCTGACGGAGATTTGTTGGACAAGAAGTCGAAGACACGGCGCCGCACCGTAACACCGCATTTCCCAGCACTACGCTACAGTCCGAATACAGGAGACGTGCTGCTACAGTGGATGCACATTTCTATTTATGGCGCCCGTTCTGTCGCACTCTAGAGTGGGGGTGACACTCTGCAAAAAGACCGTTCGGTTGGAAAACCACCATGCCGAAATCTTCAGACATCCCGTCCGATCAGAATGCTGTCCCCTTTTCTTCCTGCTTCTCCTACCAAGCATTCGGCACTTTTCAACACTCCGAAGCAGGAAGATGCTGCGGTTGGAGAGCAGATGCATACTCGGTTGGCGCAACAAAGCAGACCGGAGACCAGAGGCTGGTTCGGGTGCATCCCGCTCTGCATCTTGTGGCTTGAGGATGGCCTTCTCTTTGGCTGATGGGTCTCAGCAAGTGATTACGAAATTGCGGGCGCTCAAGCCCAAGCTCCCCTATCCCGGATTTTCTTAAGATGTGCGATATAGGACAAAAACCACAGTCACATCGGCCGTCTCTGAGAAGTTACCTAGGTGGGCCCGTATCACCAGCCGTACGTCACAACCCACGCAGCTCATGGGCATCAGAACGACTGCTCAGACGAAGAAAAGAAACAGCAATGAGCCTACGGCAAGCGATCGAATCAGCTCCAGCAGCACAGTTTCGATGTCATCAGGCGAGCCAAGGCCAGTCGGTGTCTCAACAGATCATTTCGACATGTCAAACTCAAAGGTCTGATCGGGAACTTTTCTTGTACATTTCAGCGTACGTATCTCCCCAGCGTTATCCGTATCTTGCTGACACACGGAATCACAGCTTTGAACGACAAGCAGATGAGTAGCATTGCGTCGAACTCCCACGCCAGCCTTGCTCATTGGTTCGCGTACGGGTCAATGCGTGGGATCTGTGTGCTACGGTGCTGTACAGCCTTCATAACATAACACCCATCCTGTGCCATCCATGGTTGACTGCCATGAAGAAGTCGGCAACGAATGTTCGATGATAGTAGTGAGCACCGGCAGTTCGTAGAGGAAGCCAAAGCTAATGCAAGTAGCGGCCAAGATGACGGTCCAACAGTGGTGGTAAGCAGTGTCCAAGGCAAGCTTAACAACGGTCTAACATTTTTGTCCGCAGCGCCGGGCGGCCAAGAGTGGACCTTCCTTCACCTTATCGAAGCTTTTGATCCGGCTCCAGAGCCGCGGCGGGGCGGGGGAGCTGGAGAGATGGGGAGGACACGACTGAATCCGAGTGTAACGCTGTCATGGATGACGGGGCTGCTCAAGCAGGAAACCAGCTCGTAACCCGCCGCGCGCGCTGCCAGCAGTCACAACCAGTCCTTCGCGGTAGACAATCACAGTGAGTGACTGAAGGCGAATCGCTTCCACCAGCGGTCTCAATGGACGGCCAAACGCTGAACCACGGCGAACCTTTTGTGCTCATCCAACATCGGTACCTGAATCAGAGGTTCACCGCCCACGGTCAGAAAGAATAGTGTTTGACGCCCTGATGGAGCACGTCCCAGGGGCCAGGAGATTAGGATTATTTGCTGGCCCGGGCGGCCACGTGTGTGTCTGGAGGGGAGCCTTGTCCAAAGCTCCCTGTTGGATAACATGACCAAAAGGTACAAGCAGGTACATGGTGAAAATCCCTGCATCCTCCAACGGGCACAGTGTTTATCGGCAAGCCCACACCGTTCTGCCTGGTGCGAGGACGAGGACACGGGAATTCAACCTCTTCATCTGGGCGGTGGGTTGTTCATCATCATCATCATCATCATCATTTTCATCATCTCCATGACGACAGGCAAGTTGGGATATTTGAACGACTGACTGACAAGCCTTCTGACGGGGACGCTGACAGGCGATCAGAGGTTAATCAGATCGGTCGTCGATCGTCTTGTTCGGCAACGGGAGCTCCCTGGATCCCGTCGAGGGCAGCAGACGAATCAATGATGGGAGGCTGCAAATGCAACGTGGGGGAAGTAATTTAAGATTCATTTACGGCCCTCACAGACTTTACAGATTCTAATTCTGTGGATTTTGAGCCGCATCTATGGCATGGGCTAATGAATTGACTGCAGATACTCAACATAATGCGTGATGGTCGATCCTGTCTCTTGTTCCTGCAGGAAACGAAGTCTCAGGTCGGAAATCAAAACCACCCAAATGCTTCTTCTTTTTCCTGCAGGGGAAAAAGGGGGCAGCACAGCACTCGTCGTCGGACGTTTTCCCTTGCCAGTTTGTCCAGGGAAAACGCCACGCATCAGCCCTCGTCCGTCCATCCGTCCATCGGAGTTTCTTTTTTGTGTGTTGTTGGAAACTTGTTGTTGTTCGCCATTCCAGTCTTATATGCTGTGTTAGCTCAACGGCCCGAGGCTGTGTTGATCTGTTTTTTTCTTTGGATACCAAGATTGATTTGAGACGTCTTCTTCGCACGAATGCCTGACGGGTTATGCAGGAACGATAACTCTATCGTTACGCAAATCGCCGACCAATTTAAAGAGGATGTGCAAGATGTTTACACAACAGTGAGATTTTCAGAGTCGGACTAATTTTCGATATGTCAGGACGGGGCTCACAACTTTTTGCCCTCCCCGCCGTCATGCAAGCGGCCGCAACAAATTCCGCACTCTTTTGCTCTTTTATACCCTTTCGTCACCTGGGTTACACATCTGTATGTGTGTTCTCTATCAGTCAGACTCACTCTTCTTGTACCCGAGATCCCGATTTCGTTAACCGCCCCCTCCCTCTTCTTCTCGATCCCCGGGTAAGAGCTGAGATAGGTATCCCTCCCAACGTGAACGCGTGAATGAAAGGTATCAATCGGTTATCGCCGCAGCCGCCGCCACGGGACAGAAGGGTGCTTTCTCAAATTTCCCCCTGGTAGACTGCAGAAAGGGAGGATTGATGAGCATCCCGCACACATTTGACGCGCGCGCCTTCTCGCACGGTTGTGATGGACCCCCCCCCCCTGTCATGACACCCACACACACCTTTGCTTTCCCCAAGATTTCTAACCATGAGGTCAGCGCGTTGTGTGTGCTTGTGCCATTTTGCGAGTGCAAAGACGGTGGGGGGTGGGTTGGCCGCCGTTCATTGCCGCCTGACTGCGTGACTGTGTTATGTGTTATGTGTGTACCTGCTTGCTGCTCTTTTCTTCTTCTTTCTTATTTCCCAAAAACATTTTATTCCATGCGGGCGGCAAGGGGAGGGAGGGAAGTGTTATTTCCACCTTTTTTCTGCATTATATGCGGCCTCCGTTGACGGGAAAGTGAAAGGGATATCATCATGTTCAACATTCCTCTGGATGGTGAAGGGATGTTTACACACCACTTGCCGGTTACTAGGAACTACACTAGGACAGGTAAAAATGATGAAAATGGGATGGGCTGGTTGTGTATACACTAGCCCAAAGGGCACAAGGGAGGTAGGATTGTTGTGTTTCCCCCGCATCTTTTTTCCTCTTCCCCTCCTCGCGTGGTGTGTTCTGCAGTAGTAGACTGGAAGAAGAGGGTGATGATCAGCGCGAGGCGAACCGGCACCTCACCGGGGACGCCGCAAGACATCCCGGGGGCAGGCTTCGGTTAGGGTTTGGGCTGAGAGGTGGGAAGGAGGGGGGGGGGGGTTGGCCTCGACTGGGCTGGAGTGAACTCGGCTTTTATTGCAGCGCAGCAGTGCAGTTGATGTGTGTTTTAGTGCCACGAGGAGGAACTTTTTAGTTTTGAACCCGGTGGCCTACATGTGCCGATCGGCTTCTAGACTTCTTATGTGACGTTGTTTGTCGTCAGTTTTTTTCCTCTTCTGGGGGGGGAGGGGGGTTTAGGGGGGGTAACCTCGCACTGTTGTTTTCTTGAGCTGCTGTTGTTGTCTTCCCGCTTCCGAGGGGTGGCGAAAGGATACATTCATGGGTTAGAGGAGGAGGAGAGGAGAGCGGAATAATGTAGTGTATGTACATGGATGGGTGGGAAAGGATGCCGTGGATAATGCTAAAGTTAGCTCATGGCGGGTGGGGAGCTGGAGGAAGACACAGACCGAGACACTCGGGGACGGGTGGGAGGTTTGGGAAGAAGAAAAGGAATCAGGTGGGTGGATGTTGAGTTAGCCGAGACATTGATCTCGTTCTCGGTGAGTAACGGTGAGGAACTTTAGGATGGCAAAAAGGACATTGGGAGGTTTTGGTGGTGGTCTTTTTCTGGGGGAAAGCGTGGCGGCGAGGTAGATAGGTATCATGTCGATCTTGGATCGTCGGCGAAATGTGTCAAAAGAGCTTGCCGCCGTCATCACTGCTGCTCATGTCTCGAGTTGGATTTGCTTTTGTTGATCTTGATGATGTTGACGTAGAGTTCCATGAGACAGCCATCGTCAACGTCACCGTTGAAGCAAACGTACGTTACTGAGACTGCGTCATGCTTTTCTGCTGATGATTCAGGGTACAGATCATTCGTTTGTCTAATCTCATGGCAAGGCCTGAGTCCATGTCAGCTGTGAGGGTCTATGGCGTTGTTCTGTTGGATGTAAGAACTGAAATGTGAGAGTAGATGTGTACCTTGATGAGACATGCCTACCAAGCGGCGCATCTTTGACTGTTGGGCCGTTATCTTTACTGAGTTCTAGCTACCGGGGTTTGTCGGCTATCAGGTATACTTGTCGGCATTTAGTGAATATGTAAGGTATGGTTTAAACAACAGTGGACTGACCTCTGTTTACATCTCTCCCTAGCCCCTGTAATATCTACTATGGATGACTTGGTGACCTATGTCAAAGTACCCAGGGCCTCCATATGATGAAAGTTGAAAGAACCAACAGGTTATCCAAAACGCAAAGCTTCATTTTGGTCCTGCTTATTGTCAAAGACCTCAACCTGACGCCTCATAGGGATACCGTTGAAATACTTCTTAAACACCCGCCTGAGACCAGTTTCCGATCTCAAGGATCATTGCTCATATCTCCACTAGCTAAATGTAGATTTTCTTGAGTTTTCTGCTCTTTCATTCACCGCGACTAAATATGCAGCTCACATATCACGCAGGATCTTTAACACTTCACATACTTCCCTAATCCAACACGCACCAAATAATTGCAGGCATTTGCTGGTAAAACCCATGAAAATGCCGATATTCCATCTATTAACAGCCATACCATGTCCCATAGCCCCGAACAGTGATCCTGTAGCATCTATCCTCCTTCCAGTCCATCACCCAAACGCCCCTTTCCCAACTCTCACCCCTAATTCCTCACCAACAACCCCCCAATCTCCAGCACAACCCTCCCATCCTCCTCCCTCCTCACAATCCTAACCTCCGTCAGATCCTTCACCACCCAATCCGGCCCAGCAGACAAAACCTCCTCCACACTGTGAGAAGTCACCAACCCAACAACCCTGCACCCAGCCGCCTTCCCAGCCTCGATCCCAGCAGGAGCATCCTCAAACACCAAAACCTCCTTCCCCTCACCCGCCGACTCGCCTAGCTTCTCCCTCCCCAAACGATAGCAGGCCGGATCTGGCTTGCCGTTTTGCACAGACTCCGCCGTGACGAGGTGTTCCGGGACAGGCAGGTCAAGGACCTTGAGCCACCCGCTTACGAGGGGAAGGGAGCCAGACGTGACGATTGTCCAGGGGGCAGAGAGGGCGATGAGGGAATCGAGGAGGGAGCGGGCGCCGGGGATCTCGACGGCGTCGGAGCCGTAGAGTTTGGGGAGGAGGGCTTCCCTGGATTGGACGTATTCCCAGGTGGCCTTTTCCGGGGCGAGTATCTTGAGCATGTCTATTGTTCGGCGGCCGTGGGAGGTTTGGAGGATGATTTCGGAGCTTACGCCGATGTCGTTGCCGATGCTGGAGGGGTAGTGGTTAATTTCTGGGTTTGATATGAACAAGAGGGGGTGAGGGCTCTTACCCTTCCCAGTGCTTCTCTACGGCGGCGGTGGAATCAATGATTGTGCCGTCCATGTCGAAGAGGAAACTGTCAAAGGAGACGGTTTCGGGGCCGGCTGTGAAGCTGTAGCCGGTGGTGTCTATGCTTCCCATTGTGACGTTTGGTTACAATACCTGAGGCTGGTGGTAAGACTGTGTGGATGAGTCTCTCAAGGTGAGAATATGTGATGAGTCTTTAGGAAACAGAATGATGTAACTTGATCAGGTTAGAGTCAGAATGCAAGAGGAAAAGAAGGGAGACAAGATAGCATTTCAAGAGTTGGCATGGGAACCAAAACAAATCAAAATCCACCACGGCGTCGTCGGGTCGGGTCGGCAACCAGTGTCGGAGTATCCCAATCAGGAAACATCAGATTCCACTTTTTTCTCTTCGGCGGTGAGATTGACCGTTGTTGGAGCCCAATACTCTGGGAAGTGGCTAAATGGACATCTCCGCTTTCTTTTCTGGTTACCGGGTGACCCATCGGAGGCAGAGACAGCGTTCTTTAATTTGAGAGACGAATCACGAGAATTGAAAGATATCTTGTGAGAATGAAGCTGCCTATATAGGTCTGTCATATGTGTGTACTATATAAGTGATCAATGGACTACCCATGTTGAGGGACTATGTGGTATTCAACAGGGACCCTCCAAAGCCTCGAGATTCCTTGAATCATTGACAGTGAATGAAGACTGAAACAAAAGATTTTGAGATGTTCATCCGAAGAATCGACGAGATGTCAACCCCACAATGCCATTGACGCAGTGAGGGGCGGTGGGTCCGATAACCACGATAAGCAGCACAATTCTGTCTTATCGTAGGCGGTGAGGGGCGGCAGGATCAGCGCTCCACCATAATTTTTTTGAACTTTTACAATCGCCCTGCTTTGCGACCCATCTCCAGGGCAAGTAAGCAGACGATCGAAGCCATTTTGATCATAAAATTAAATCAGTTAAAATGGCAGGATCAATAACCAAACCGAAAAGTATGCGCTCTCCCCTCTATCTCCTCGATCTATTGCCAATTGATCTTTTCTAACCCGCCCGAACCCTACAGAGCCGAAATCCAAGCGCACTCCCGTTCGCTTGAGGCACAAGATTCAGAAGGCCTCGGCCGCGAAGCAGCGCAAGGCGAAGAAGGAAGCCAAGAAGAACCCGCAATGGAAGAGCAAGCTCAAGAAGGACCCCGGCATCCCCAACCTGTTCCCTTACAAGGAGAAGCTGTTGAACCAGATCGAGGAGGACCGCATCAGGAAAGCTGAGGAGCAGAAGCGCAGAAAAGAGATGCTCAAGGCTGCCAAGGCCGCCGGATCTGAGGAGAACAAGGACGAGAATCGCATGGACGACGACGAAGAGTTTGAGGGACTCGAGGAGGATTCCATGATGGTCGATGAGGACGATGACGACAGCGAGGGGGACGACTCCAACCCTCTTGCGGCTCTCATTCGCAGCGCCAGGAAAGCGGCCGAGCAGTATGACAAGGAGCTGGAGAGCGGCGACGACGACGAGATGGACGACGATGAGGATGATTCTTCCGATGATGAGGAGTCTGGCGCGATCGAGGTTCCAGGCGGTGCTTCGTCCCGCAAGGCCTTCGACAAGGTCTTCAAGCAAGTTGTTGACCAAGCCGACGTTGTTCTCTACGTTCTCGACGCCCGCGACCCCGAAGGCACCCGCTCGCGCGATGTTGAGAAGGCCGTGATGGCTGCTGCTAGCGGCGGCAAGCGTCTCATCTTCATTCTCAACAAGGTCGACCTGATCCCCTCACCAGTTCTCCGCGCTTGGCTCGCCCATCTCCGTCGCTTCTTCCCTACCCTCCCTCTCCGCGCCTCCAACCCTGCGCCCAATGCGCACGTCTTCAATCACCGCGATATCACCGTTCAGAGCACCTCCTCTGCCCTCTTCAAGGCGCTCAAGTCTTATGCCGCGTCACGCAACCTCAAGCGCGCCATCTCGGTTGGTGTCATCGGCTACCCCAATGTCGGAAAGTCCAGCGTCATCAACGCTCTCCTCTCCCGTCTCGGTGGCCGCAACAACCGCGCCCCTTGCCCCGCCGGTGCCGAAGCCGGTGTCACGACCTCTATCCGCGCCGTCAAGATCGACCAGAAGCTCACCCTCCTCGATTCCCCCGGTATCGTCTTCCCCTCTACCGGCTCCATCTCCAGCTTCACCCCCAAGAACCCAACCGAAGCCCACGCCCACCTCGTCCTCCTCAACGCCGTCCCACCAAAGCAAATTGACGACCCGGTTCCGGCCGTCACCCTCCTCCTCAAGCGCCTCTCTGCCCAGCCAGAGCTTCTCGAGAAGATGATTCAGCTCTACGACCTCCCCCCTCTTCTCATCAACCCCGAGAGCGGAGACTCGACAACCGACTTTCTTGTCCAGGTCGCGAGGAAGAGAGGACGTCTCGGGAGGGGCGGTGTTCCCAACATCCAGGCTGCTGCCATGACGGTGGTGACAGACTGGAGAGACGGCAGAATCCAGGGCTGGTCGGCTGTCCCACCAGCGGTTCAGACCGGCGCCCCGGCTGCTTCGGCGAAGGGGCCGGCCAAGATTGCCAACGAGGAGGTGGGTGCCGATCAGAAGAAGATTGTCACCGAGTGGGCGCACGAGTTCAACTTGGAGGGCTTGTGGGCCAGCATGAAGGCTGGTGCGCAGGAGGAGGGGGGTAATGAGGTTGAGATGGAATAGATACCTTTTTTTCTTTTCTTTATCTTTCGGTTCAGTTGGCATTTATTTTGCAGGGCGGTTCATTCAGCTTTCTTGTTTCGTTAAGTGGCACAAAGGCGTTTTGGCGTCGAGAGAGAGAGAGAGAAGAGAGAAACAAAAACTGGGGGGTTTAAATGAATGAAAGATGGTATATTATGTACTTTTGTGGCCTTTGATGTCGTTTTCTTGTTTAGCATGATGGAAAATACGATATCCGAATCTCTCAAAGAACTACGAAAACGCAGGAAAATTGGTCCAGAGAAGAAAACAACCATACATGTACCCTGGTTTACTCTTTTACCACTTCCCTACAGTAACCTTCCTTTTCCCCCACCATCTAATAGGTCTTGACCAACTCCATCCTCACCCCCCTCTTCCCCGTCGTCTCATCCTTCTGATCCGTCACCCTCACCCTCACCTTCTGGAACAGCTCCACCCTCACCTCCCTACTCCCACTGACCCGCAGCACATAATTCTCCGCGTCAAACTCGGCCTGCGGCTCCGTCTCAGCCAGATCCCTCAGCCTTATCAAACTCTCAATCCCAAACCTCGGCACCAAAACCACAAACCCGTTGCTAAAAATCTTCATGACGAACCCGTCCTCCTCCGTCGCCTTGCCGCGGAGCGCCTGGCCGACATAGTAAGCAATGCTCGCCCTCCCCGCCAGCTGCGCGTTCCGGTGCCTGACATTGATATTCTTGCACACAGCCTCGAGCTTGCCCCTGCTGCGCGTGCTGGGGTGGATGGCCTCGTATTCGATCGCCGCGGCGAGCTGACGGTGGGCCATCAGATCGGCGTACCGGCGGATGGGCGAGGTGAAGTGCGTGTAGATTTCGGACGCGAGACCGTAGTGGCGGAACTCGGGGTAGGCCTGCGTGCCGGAGCAAAAGTACTCGGCCGACATCATGCAGCGGGTGGCCATGATGCGCACCAAGGTGTTGAAGAAGGGCTCCTTTTCGTCGACGCAGCGGTCGAGACTGTCGGCCAGGGCGCGGGAGGATTCGACGCTGAGGTCGAGGCCGCGCTTGACCTTGAGCTGGTTGGCAAGTTCGTCAAAGTTGGTCTTGGGGGGCGCGCCGTGGCGGCGGAGGATGGCGGTTTGGGGGAAGGCTTCGTATATCCTTCTGGCGACCGAGGTGTTGGCGAGAAGCATGAACTCTTCGACGAGGGACATGGTGTCGAGATGGACCTTGGTCTTGACGTCGATGGGGTCTGAGGTCTCGGACTCCATTTGCACCTTGACCTCTGGGGAGGAGAGGGACAAGGCACCGGCATCGAGACGCTTCTGCTTGAGCTTCTTCGAGAGAGCCAAGAGAGTTCTGATGCTGGTGGTGAGCTCGTCCTGTTGAGAGCTGTCGTCCACCCTCAACTGCGCTTGTTCGTAGCTGAAGGCTTCACGTGACTTGATGACAGACTTGGTGAAGCGGGAGCCCACGATGTCGGCATCAGAGGTCATCTCCCAAATGACCGAGAACGCATAGCGCTCGACGTAGGGCTTGAGAGAGCAGAGGTCGGTACCGAGAAGCATCGGAAGCATGTCGATACGCTTGTCGACCAAGTAGACTGTGGTGCCACGAATGCTCGCCTCGGCGTCCATGGCGTTGCCGGGCTTGACGAAATGTGAAACATCGGCGATGTGGACTCCAACCTCAAAGTTGCCATTAGGTAGAGGCCGCGAATGAAGAGCGTCGTCGATATCTTGGCACCCGATGGGGTCAATACTGCAAATCAAGAGATCTCTGAGATCCTGGCGGTCTTTCCAGCCTGGATCCTCGAGACTCTGTGGCACCCGCCAGTCGTGACCTTCCTTGGGCAGACAGTCGAGGACGGTCTTGGGGAAAGGCCGGTACTGAACGTCGTACTCCAGGAGCAGGGCTTCTGTCTCGGCAGCCTTCGTCTCCAGTTCACCGAGAGAGCGCACAAAGTGGCCGGACGGGTGGCGAGAGCTGCGGTCCCAAGCATCGATCGTGACCAAGATGCGCTTTCCGAGAAGTTCGGAGACCTGTCTGGTGCGGAGGCGGATCTTGGGGATCTTCTTGTCCATAGGGATAACGAAAACACTGTCTTGTTTCCTTCCTTGTTGCGCCGACTGGCTGACGGAGGACTGATCGATATGTCCGACATATTGACGCCAATTCCGCTTGATCACACCGACAACCTTTGCAGTCGGCTGAGCATGTCCTTCCGTCGTCTTGCTGTGTGTTCTCTTGACCTCCTCCTGCAGTGCCTTGCGTTCCCTTTCCGAAACAAAGTCATCAGACTCTTCGGCATCTGGGTTCTCGTTCTTCGTGATGGCATCCTCCTCGATGACTTGCGTAGATGGCTCCTTCCACTGATCCTTAGGCAGTACCTCCACCACAACCAAGTCACCATCAACAGCACGGTTGATGTTCTCCCGCCCCAGAATAAGCAACGCCTTGGGGAAAGCCGGTACCCTAATGGACCCCTCCAAATAATTGTACGGCGACACATTGAAGATGCCCTGATGAAGGAAATTGCTCTTCACCCCCGTCATCATCTTCGACATGCTGAAGTACTCGGGATACAAGTTATCCCCCGGCCTCTTCTCCTTGATCTGATCCCGATCCTGCGTCTCAGGAATCATATCCAGCAACTTCTCCCCATCCTTCAACTGCCTGACATAATCCGCCAACGAACAAGCGTGAATCCCCTCCTGCTTGGCCTTCTTCAAATTATCCCGATCGTTGCTCAGCATGACAATAGAAGGGGCATCCTTCCCCTTGATACGGGCCAGATGCTCGCCATACCACGCCACCGCCCTCCTCACCGCACGATCGTTTCGGTCATTGACCGTCTCGCCCTCCAAACGGGGCACATGAGTCTCGAGTCGGAACTCGTTGAAAAAGACATAAAACCTCTTGTCCTCGCTCTTGGTCAGGCTGATGAGCCGGTTGTACAGCGGGAGCGACCTGTTCCTCAGCTCCTCGAGCACAATCTGCAGGACAATCACGTCGTAAAAAGCAGACTCCTGCTCGAAAAGGTCCATGGCTGTGAGAAAGGCATTGGTGTCTGGTACCAGGTAGTGCCCCTGGGGGAAGACCTTTGTCCCCGCCGGTGAGTCTGAGAGGACAAATGGGATCGCTAAGATGACGATGGTTAGCGATGAGATGAGCCTGTGAAACAGAGGGTATGAGAAACGCTCACGCTTGCCCAAGGCATCTTTCGGAATGAGCATCTGATGCTGGCACTCCCGACACAGCTTGGAAGAACATGGGATGTCCCGACGGAGGTAGACCTCGCGGACGATTTTTTGGACCTTGCCGCTCTTGGTGGATCTCACATAGATCTTATTCGAGATGTTGGCCGCGAGAGGGTCCGACTCGACCGACCGTTTTAGACTCGCCATTTCCTAAATTTGTTTTCTCTGTTGTGCCGACTGTGGGTTTTCAAGACAAATTCGTTTCTTCCTGTCTTCTGGTTTGAAGGGGTCGCCTTGAAAATTCGTTGATGGTTGCTGTGGTTTGGTGAATTTTTGATGGAGAGGTTGCGATTACCAATGTCGAATTCCTTGGTGTCGCTTCTCCGACCAATCAGTGCAGCTTTAGCGCTTATAGCTCTTATCGATAGCGCCTCACAAGCGCCTGCCGCGGGGTAATGCGGGCAGCCGACGACGACGACATCCTGAGTGGGACATAACTATTGGTTGTTTTTTGAAGGTTTGTTATGATACCGAGTATTTATCTCTCAGATGTCCCATAGGACCCGCTCAGGCTCATCTCGTGTCGCGATGAGAATATCTACACCTACCTCCCAAAACGCACCCACAGCTTCTGAGCTTCATCCTCTTCAAAAGTGCGAGGGGGTTCAGGTCCCCTGCCCAGACCTAGGTCCGAATTCTCGTCTCACGCACTCTGTTGACACCCATGTTTGTTGGTGGCATATCAGATTACCTGGCCGATATCTGTTGCACTGCAGGTCTAAGTGTCCGTCTACAGCACTCTGGCACCGGGTACACAGCACTTCAATATCACAGCTTACTGTCCATACTGTGTAATCCAACAAATCTCCCAGCCATGCTGGAAGCAACATCAGCAAAGAACTTTCACCACCAAAAGGCCGCGTCGGTACCCGGAGATGCATCACAAATTACAGCAGCCACGGGCGTCAAGCTCTCTCTTGATGACACCGGTCTAGACAGAAAGCACTGTAAGTGAAATACTCCCAAGCTGCATCATATGATCTGCACCAATTCAACCGGCGCATTTTGCCAGATTGCAACCCCTTGGTTCGCTTGTGCTGCAGTTTGAATCTTGGATCTATCTGGCGACGGGCAGGAGTGACAAGAGAGAGACATGCTTCGGTCGGACCCAAGAAGGGGTCATCAAGGCCCTTGTCTTGTCCGGCCGCTCGTTGGGCCGTCGTCAGATTGCGACAGCCGAACACTTGATCAACTTGATCCCCCATTCCCCGCCTTCCAAAAATAGCAAGCAGACACAACAACATGATAAGATAAGTTGCCGAAACAACTTCCAGAGCTTCGACCTTGCCCCGCCTTTGGCAACAGTATCTGGAAGAGGTCGTCAAGCAGCCAAATCCACCCGCGAGGTAGAACCCCCTCTCAAAGTTGAAGAACTCAAGACACAATCGCCGCATTGGTTTCTCCGTGGCGAGAGGCCGTGTGTGTCGAAAACGCAATGCGTAAGCGAGAGACACAGGCCGCGGCATCACAATCCCAAAAGAGGATATCTCGCGTCTCTTGAAGTTTCCCCTGGCCTCATCCACAGACCCAGCTGCAGCAAAGTGGGCGGCGGCCGGATAGGTGCGCGCCCATCTGCGCCTCGGGTGTATACATAAGCCGAGTCGGATGGAAAAGCGAGACGAGGGTCAAGAGGGGTAGCTAGCCGGGCGGTTTCCTCTATCGATATCTTGCATGCTCGGCACCGTTTGGATTCGACTGAGATGACGATACGTTATGGGAAATTCCTTGAACGAAGCATCTTGGTAACTTTGAACGCTCCCTCATGCTCTCGAGGGAAATCTGTTTCTGTGGATGGTGACATAGGCCGGACTGGTCATTGGATACCTCCATGCCTGCTGAAGCATGCTGCTTTAGCGCCCGTCGATGCCAATCCCGTCCTCGTTTCCTGGAAGCAGCGGGCCTTGGTTCTGGGCTCGAGCAGCATCTGGAGTGGGTATACTCGGAATGGGTCCGGGAGTACGCGAGTTGGAGTGATAGATCCGTGGATCTGGCAAAGAACACAGGAGCTGTGACAGCAGCTCTGCTTCGGTACATGGAAAGAAGCGTTCCGACCTATGAAGGCCTGTCTCTCTCGTTGATCCCAGGTGGGTCTCTCTCTGATGCCGTTCGAGATAGTGGTGTCTACCAGCGGATGACTTACATGGAACCCGCGAGTGCAGCTGGGGGAGGTGTGTGTAGGTGCTCTGGAGGGTGCGTGGCCTTTGAAAAGGTGTGTGTGCCAGTCAGGGTGGGCCGAGAAGGATTCTGCGCGTTTAGAAAGCCACAAGAACCGAACGCCCGCGCCCAGCGCTGCAAGGAAAAATGAAGGTCATGCTTGAGAGGGGAAGAGAGTGTTCGCTAATGGCGCACTCGCTGGGGCAGATCGTGAACAGCATCGCTTGAGTGGCCCATGGGAAGGGCCTTCGGGAGGAGGTTGCAATGGCCAAGAGGGGACACGGCCTGGGGACAAGGAGGCTCCCGCCGGCCATGGTGCTAAGGATGGTGAGGGTGTGTACACTGTGTGTCGCCAGGTGCGTCTTCTTCTCTGCCCCCCCGGATCGTGCCCGTCCCTCCAAATAGTTCAGGCTGCATATCTGCCGCTGTGGAGGTGCTTCGAAACTTGCACAGCATTGGAAATGCGAACGCCGCTCCTCCTCGTCGTGGCCGGCCCGGGCTGGATCCCATTATGTAAAACCAACAGCAAAGAGGGAAAGTAAAATGATATTTCCAGTGCAGCGCCTCAACGGACGGCAGAAAATCTTCAGATCCAAGGCCAGGGAGGGGAGTGGTGATGGCAGTCGGGCGGGGGGTCGGGAACACCCCAAGTTTGTTCGCGGCGCACAATTCAACAAGAGATCAACTTTCACGGTTTCCATGATTTGCAGCCAAGTGGTCCGTGTGCCGCCAGCTCCTTGGCACGATTGCGTCGCAGCCGGCCAATCAGAGAAGGAGACAGAGCTGCCAAGGCTATCAGCAGCTGGTGCAATCGCTTCCATCCTTGTAGCATCCACTTTAATCCCGGTCACGTCGCTCGGCCCTCTCTTCCCACTCACCCCTCCTCTCCACAGCCCGACAAGGATGCCAGGGTCAAGCCTCTCGAGACGACCCCTCCATTTCCAATCTGCCGTCCTTCGAGGACACCACCTTTCCCTCGATCGTCCTGTGTCTATCCCCAGACTGCTGGGCGCTGCAGAACTACTCCAGAAGAACTGAATAATTCTACTCTTAACTGTGTGTCAGAAGCATGCGTCACATGGCGTGACGCTTCACTGCCTGCGATTTCAGATTTCGATATAGTAATACTGGGGGGCTTGTCCAGATCAGACAGTCAGAGACCTAACCCGAAAGGAACACAAGGTCCAGCAGAAGAGCGACCACCTCCTCTGGACCGAAGACGCCATGGGAAACGCCCGGGGTCGTGTTCCTGCGTGTTTGATTGTTTTTCCTTTTGCGAGATCCCGATAGAGTTAAGCCTGCCTGTACCTGGTGCGGCTTGATCTCGGAGGCACAACCGTTACGATGATTGTAGATTTCGACCTTGAACTTGATGTATCTGTCCTGGTCCTAGACAAGTAACATTGTGCAGCACACGAACCAGACAACCCCCGGCAAGGCTCGAAGTTCCTCGTTCGTTTCTGCCTCATTGGGCGAACAGTGGCCACAGTACGACTCCCGGATGACCCGGGCCACTCGAACAACGACCGGTCTTCCGCCACGGTTCTGTGAGGCCCCCGATATCTACCGCTATTTGCTTGAGATCAAGGTCTCAGCCGTGGCGCAAATTCTTGTTTCCGCCTGATGGTCTGCCAATGGGAGCGCAAGGAGCGGCCAATATTTGGCAGCTGACGGAAGATAGTTGTGGGCCTGAGGTTGGAGGTAGGCATGAGAATGATACCTTTGTCGGTCTCCTGGCCTATCATCCTGCAGTCCTGCTGTAGCTACGTTAACCTGGGGCTTCATTAATCAACTTCTGTATGCGAGGATCCGTAGTAGTTGAGATCAGTGTGGCCACACTGCTTGACGTACCCGTCTTTAGGCCCGATGAGGTTTCAGGTTCGGGATAAGCTGTAAGCCAACTAGAGATGTTTCTAGTGGATAATGGTAGCATTCCATTCTCTGGCCAGAAACCACATGAGCCACCTCGAACCTGTGACTATTCATGTGATCCCCTATCCTTCTGAGACAAATGACGAAAGCACTCTGATCAGACGACCAGTCCTGGCTGTGTAAAAGTACAGATAGGAACCAGCGCTTGCGTACGATTTACTGCAGCTCCCGAGGACTCAGCTGATACTGTAAAAGTAACAAAGATAGGGTAGATGACGGTACATTACCAGGACCAACTGCAGGCTGACCTCATCAGTGAAGGTCTCTTGATATCTCGAGATGATGGAAATGCCGCAGGATCCGCATGAACGCAATATCCTCGTCGATAGGCGTTGATGCCCCGGCGTTTGCCGTGTTGTTCACTTGGAAACGTGGTCTCGAGGTGGTATCGCCATGCAGTCAGTGCCCACTGCTTCTCCAGGGAGGAGCAAAGAGTCGGTTGCTATTCTGCTTCAGGTTCTTTGAGGTGTGAAAGGAGAAAGCAGTAGGGTGTCGTTAGAAACAAGCACCAAAATCCCCAACCCTGGCCTCGTGGCGCTATGCATGTGATTGGTCAGAGAGGTCGGGTTTTCGACTGGTTCAGGAAAGCGTCTATGCACGGTTTTTATCAATGATAGAGACCTCTCTTGGGACAAGCGTCATTTTAAGGAATTCCATGACCGGAGGCTTCTTCTTCTTGTTCTTCTTCACCTTCTTCTCCAGGGTCCGCTTGGTAGTTCTACTGTGCCTTTTCCAGAGATCGGAATGATCATCGTCAACACCATCTTCAGCGGGATTCATCTGAGATCCGTGAACTCCACGTCCACCTGTCTCGGAAGCAGCTTGTCGTCACACAGTTAGAGCCGTCGGTAGTCTCGAAGCTGCGAGGCGATCGGTCCGCAAAATCCGAGGCATGGATGTTCCAAAAGGCCTCACGCAGGGCAAGCCTCGAGCGTTCCAGCTGCTTTGTACAGTCCTAGGCCGAGCACTTTTTGTGGTTGAAGGGCATCCCGGTCAGCCTTGCATCAAGGACATTTCTGTCAAAAGAGTGTTGCATGTTGCACACACACACACACACACTGAGTGGAATGTAGATGGGATGGCAGCAAGGGGCAGCAACTTACTCGGATTGTGCCGAGTATCCTCTGTTCTAGCCAGTATCCCATTTGGGGAAAACCACCTCATGGATCTCGACATAAGGGAGGCCATCGTCCGTGTTGCTGGTAAGAGCTCAACCCGAGCCGGCGCTGACTGGCTCAACTTGCATTCCCGTCCATACACTGCTACATCCAGCACGCTCGCGAACGCGCACACCAATGCTACCTCATGTGTATCAGCCTCACCGGCTTTTTTCGAGCCCAGGTTGGCTCTCCAACAAGCTGTATGGGACAACTGAGGTTCCACGACATGGAACTCGACGCTGTCAGCAGCAAGAGAAAGAGCAGCGCAATATTTCAGGTTTGGAGCCACGATTCCTACCGTGCCATTGTCACTGCTCGGAGGAGATTGTGGTATGAGTGATACGGACCTGCATGTCCTGGCGAGCAAGCCATGCCGTCCGTGTTTATAGCAGAACGGGCCCGACTGACTGAAAAGAGACAGGTGCAGAAGTGATCGACAGACTCATCCGCTTCTTGGGCACAGCTCGCTTTGCCTCTGGACTGCACGGCCCAGACGCACCGTGATGCCAGGGTCCTCTTCAGTCGGGGGTTTGCGGTATGTACACCCTGCCCTCGTGCCATAGAGTTGCATTTTCCTGTGCCGCAACGTGTGCAACGTCAAACTTGAGGTTGCGCCGTCAAGCTGCCTCTGGAGCCTTGGAGCTCTGGGGAGCTCTCTGACTGCTCATGAGCTTCCGTCGGAGTGTTTGACTGCTCGGCTCGCACCAGAGCCGGTGTCCAGCATATAGATGCCGTGAGATCCGTGTTAAATTCCATCTTGCCCAGGTTATCAATCATCTTTTGTCCTGCGTTGTCTGAATAGCCACGAGAAATGTCGTTGTCATCCCGGTTATATGGATGGGACTGATGCGGGGCTTCTGAGGACCTCGGTCGGCCGAAGGTACCTCCATCGTTCCCACAAGGCTCCGGTACCAAGAGAGCTGGGCCCGCCAGCAATCGCACTCATGTCCCTGCTCTCACCTTGACCCTTGACCCTTGACCCTTGCTTCCTGCATCTGTTCACTTGTTGGCTTCACACCTGGCGTGTAAGAACTGAGCTCCTCGTTACACTCGAATAGGAGAGACTTACCTACCCAGAGGGAGCCTGTGCTTTCTGTCGTGTTACGGGTGTCAAGATGCTGCTACTAATCTCACAACTATCATAGGATGAAGATAAACATGGAAGAAGAGAGGACTGTTTGTGTTTCTGGCACTGTGCCACTATCAGACCCAGCGTGCTGAATGAGCACCCATGCAGCCCATGCTCTGCTTACCCGTCCGTACCCACATCCAGGAAGCCGTTCCGCCCCTCTCCATCCTCACCCCTCCTTTCGGTTCAACCACAACGAGCATGGGCGTTCCGCGCTGCGGTGCGGTTCCACGCGGCCACTGGGGACGAGCTACCTATCTGTTAACAGCTATGCTCTGTCGTCTGTGTCTGTTACGAAAAGCGAGATGGCAATGCAACACCAGAGCAGGTACCTGTGGTGTTTCATCTGACATGAGCAGCTGCTCTTGCAGCTACTGCACTTGCGGTTGGCATAGTGTAGTCGCAAGAGCGAGCTATAGTACTGATGAACTTTGGGACGACGATGCGCCACCAACCAACGCGCCATCATCTCGCGTCTCGTCAGATTCGGTGCTTTTCTCTTGCGAAACCTGCCATGTTCGTCTCTTCTTCGTATTCCCAGACTGCCTGATGACTCCCTCTACCCAGGCATTTGTTTCGAAATGTCTTGATACGGACCGAGCCAAGATCAAGACCAGACGGTGATCAAGGTCAACGTTGCAGAACAGTCACTCGCGCTAACAGCTGCGGATCCATCGTCACTTTGCAGCCCTCCCGCTGCCTTGCCTTGCCGAACCTGACCGGGGTGCTGCCTTTCCCAATCAGGACTAGCCTTCACCCCGCGTATTGCGTCTGCGCATCAATTCTGCAAAGCGCGAACTGATGAGAGAGTGAGGAGAAAGAGCAGCAGAAGAGAGAGAGAGTGAGAGAGAGAGAGCCTCTTGATCTCTCTCGAGACACGCCGGCCGTGGCCTGCCCAGCTCTCCTCGCAAGTGATAAACACCGAAGGCGAGAAAAAAAAACAGGCTAGCAAATCAAGAGGAAAAGCACGCATATTTCCATTTCGCACCCGTGTTTTTCTATTCGAGTTCCTTTCTCCAACCACATACATGCATGAGAGCAGCAGCAGCAGCAGCATTCCTTGCCTGCATCCTTCCCTCCAGCGCGTGCGTTCCCAGCAGACCAGGACCCAGGACCCAGAGCGAGACCAGGCAGAGACCAGGAAAAAAAAGCTTGAGCGCTTTTGGCTGCGTGCCCCCTTCCACGCCAGCCCAACTATATCAAGACACGTCGTTTCGCAGACCCATTGACGTGGTCGACGACGACGGCACTCATGTACGCTGCACAGCCTATACCCAACGGCGCTGATAGTGCAACAATCAACCCAGCAGCCCTCAACCCAGGTACGTTCTTTTGGCTTTGCTTCTGATCTCTGGACTGGAATATTTTCAATTCGGCAACACTATTTGTCGCCCGCGCTGCCCATCGGCTCCAGCCAGTGTTTGCGCGCGCCCGCCCGTCCGTCCACCGCACACCTGTCAGCCCACACAGCGCAAGGCAAGCTCCATCTAGTGACGCAGGTCGACCTCGAAACCACCGAGTCACGCCAAACATGTCTCAAGAAAGAAAGACCGGTCCGTTGAGCTCTCGAGTCCTGGATCTTGTCGCCGTCGCCGTCGCCGAGATGCCCGGCGCAGTTCATCCAGAGCATCGCGACGTCCTGATCTCGCCATGGTCGTCGCCCAGACCCAGCAAATGAACCATGTGTGGATTGGCCCCCGCGCGTGTCGCAGCCCCTCCCGATCTCCACTTTACGCGTCTCGTCCTCTCGTCATCGCTTCTTTCCACTCACCCAGCCCGCGGCCTTCTCCTAACAACAGCCACTCAGGCATGAAGCGCATATTTACTTTGATTGACGATCACCGATACGAGCGTGCGATACTGATGAGAACAACCTGCCAGAACTGTTAGACGCGACTTCTCGAGGCATCAAGCGGGGCCGTTCTCCGCAGAATTATCCCGACGAAGGACCGCTCGGGTCGACTGGTGAGGACGGTACGTCTCTTCTGTGATTTCTTGTTGCTTCTTACCTGTCTCTGTGTAGCCGCAGCCTTTGCTATCCGGGTCTACACCTCCGCGTTACATGTCTGTGGCTGTGCGACCCGTCGTGTAAAACCTGGGATCAGGGACCACAAGCTGACAGCTCCGTCACGCAATCTTCAGGTAGTGACAAGCCGAGAAAAAGAGGAAGACCGATGAAGTCCAGACAATCCGGGGGTGCCCCCGAACCTGCCACCCAGGCACCGGTACCTCCCTCTCGTCAGACAGCTCCCCCGCAAACGCCACAGAGCCAAAATGCTCCGCTGCCTGTCCAGACGCCCACCTACCCCCCCGCTCCACCACCACCGCAGTCGTCGCCGCCCAAACCCACCCCGACCAAGTCGACCTTGAAGGCGCTCCCAACGGTCCGCGACCACACCACCGACCAGCTTGGGCCCGGCAATGACGAGTACCTACCACGCGAAATTGACGAGGCTGGCGAGAAGAAGGTTTTGCCAAACGGCCAGCTCACAGGCGGCCGCGAGTACCGTTGCCGTACCTTTTTCGTGCCGCACCGTGGCGAGAAGCTTTTCATGCTTGCAACCGAGTGTGCCCGAGTGTTGGGATATAGAGACTCGTACCTGTTATTTAACAAGAACAGGTCCTTGTACAAGATCATCGCCAGCCAGGAAGAAAAGGATGATTTGGTAAACCAGGAAATTCTCCCCTTCTCCTACCGATCGCGGCAAATAGCCATTGTTACGGCCAGGAGCATGTTTCGACAGTTTGGGAGCAGGGTGATCACGAATGGCCGGAGGGTCCGTGATGACTACTGGGAGAGCAAGGCTCGCAAACAGGGCTTCACCGAGGCTGACCCGGCAGGAGAGAAACGACCTGGTGCGTCCAAGGCTCGAGAAGCCGAGGCAAACCACACCGCAAGCATGCTTGGAGCTCCTCACGGTGAAATTGTCTACAGCACCAATCCCGGCCAATTTGGCGGTGGCCCTCAACCGCAACTCGTGCAACCAGGTATGCTTAGACCGACGCCAGGAAGTTCGACCAGAATGCCCGTGATAACACTAGGACCAGATTACAACAATACTCACAGCAGAGACTATTCGAACATTCTCAAGACGGGACCACGACAGGAGATTACCGGCCCAGCATATCAAGATCGACTCCAACCCACGCCCATCACAGAATTGCACGCTCAAGCTCACCATGCTGCAGAGTTTAACCGTTCAGTCAACTCGCAACGCGATATGCGGAATGACTACATGCAGAACATTTGGAGACGACAGCACGACCAACCAACCACCACGACCCTGAGCCAGCCTGTTGGCACAAGCGAAGCACCTGCGTCGACCAGCCGCCCAGCCCCCTCAACGCACACCACCACACAGGGTATCCCGCAGCCTGGCATCATCTCCAACCAAAGCCCCCAGTTGATGATGTCAGCTGCACCGTACTCGCAACCTGTGCATGCTCCCACCTCTGTTGGACCTAGCGGCCCAGGTCGGGGGCTGGCACAGGACCCATCCCAGAGCAGCTCCAGACCAACCTACCCACCAACCGGCTCCACGGGCACCTTGCCGCCAACCTCGCAGAACTACAGCTATCCCCAGACCCAAATGTGGCCACCAACGCCTCAGACGCCGCAGCATGGCTATTCGGCCTACACGGCTCAGTCTCAGCCGTCTCCCCACCCGCAGCAATCCCCCGCTCCTCAGCTGCGACATTCCAGCACATCGAGCCAAGTGCAACAGCCTGGTGGCATGTCGTATCCAGGAATGCCGGGCATGAACCAAGGGTACAGCACCTCAGCCCAGGGGATGTATTCAGCTGAGCAGACGCCCCGGCAGTACATGCACCAGAGCGCACCGCCACCCGCCGTCACGCAGGCGTGGTCTCAACAGCAAACACCTGCGCAGTGGTGGACAAACCAGCCGCAGTGAGCTTGATGCGCGTTTCCGGTATTTAGAAACAATTCCAAGGATTTGTCGATATGGGAGAGGCATTTGTGTGCTTTTTTCAGTGTGTGGGGGTTAGGCAAGGCATGGGGGTCGGTTTCCACAGCATATTTGGATCCGGCTACTTGGGACAGGATTTTATAGAGGAGTCTCGGGCGAGGAGGAGCCCCATCTTTTGCGGGCACTACTTTATATGCTTTTTTCTTTTTTAACGATACCATTTTCTGTTTTGGATTATCCGTTCTTGGGATTATTATATTCTTTGCACACCATCCATGCAAAATGGTTGGTAACTCTTCCGAGGTTGGGGAAGGAAGGACAACAGAATGTCATTGTTGACGGCAGGGGGTTTGAGGCTCTTTTGGACACCGCGTTAGGAAGGGATATTTTTCTGCAATTTCATCATTTACTCTCTTCTCTCTCTCTTTTTTTCCGTGTCTCTATCTCTGCGCTGTCAAGTTGTCGTTGTCATTTTTCTGCTGTTTCTTCGCTTCTGATTTGTGTTGTTTATATTTTTGATTTCATTGATTTTTTTTCTTTGGCATTCCGAGATGTTGTTTGGCACAATATTGGGCGGGCAGCATTAGGAGGGAGGGTTTTTTTTCTTTTTTTCAAGGCTGGGATGGATCATATGCTGCTGCTAGTTGTGGTGAGCAAACGGAGGGAGTGTGGGAAGATTTTTGCACTTGTTGTAGCTGTTGTTTCTGTCTTTGCTTCATTATATCTTGACACTCTGATTTTGTTGCTTATCTCTTTGGATTGGGGATATTGGGGGCATGTTGGATATTAGGTAGGGTTTGAACAAGTTTATCTCTTGTTTTTTTGATTTTGCCAATTCTTGTCGTTGATGTTATCTATGTTTTGTGATGGGGGAAGTGGAGGGTTATGGGGGAGATAACGTGGATTAGTTTGGGGTTTTGGCCAGCGAGAGAGGGCGTGTTTCCTTGTTTCTTTTCTTTTCCCTTTTTTTTCCTCTCTCTTGGGAGGAGCGGGATGGGAAATTCTGCTAGCAAGACTGACTGACGTGCTGCTGTCAAGTGACGGACGGGCAAGGGAAGGGGGTTAACAGGGGAAGAGGGACAAAGTTTGGAGTAATAACAATGAATTTGTGTTGTTTTCTTTTTGGGCTTGTGATGATCTCTCTCTATTGAAAGTGACTTGTGACTGTTGTATTGTGTTTTGTCCTGTTTGAAATGGAGGATCCCTGTGGTTGTTGTGGCGGTTACTTGCAGGTAGGTGGGTTTTGCCTCGGTGAGGGAGTTAGGGGGAGGTGATGATAGCTCGGGGGTAGATAGATCACTTTCTTCTTTGTGTTCAGACTTGCTGGTATTGCTCGTAAAACCCTTATTATGACTTGTTCTTTCTTTCCCGTGTTGAACAGCTGGCTGGCTGGTATGGCAGAAGCTCTTTCCGTCTGTTCCGATTTGACAGAAGCTCTTTCTCTAGTAGATCATAGGGTATACCTTGCTCTTTCCAGAAGCTCAGGATGTCCCCTTCCCATTAAACCGACAGTCATGCTCATAATGGAAGGAGCAACTAACCCGACCATATCCACAAATACAAGAGACCAGACACACCAGGCCGGAAACGGGTCTACCGTCCGGATGACGGGAATAAAAGAGAGAAAACGGAAGCTCTCAGACCACATAAACTCGATTGTTACAAGTGATTAGAGCACAGTAGATGTGAAGAATACGGGGCAAGAAGCATAAAAAAAATGCCACCTAAATACAGTTATCTTACGCAAGAAGTGTGTGCTTCATGACCACCAACCCCTTCCTTAACCCTGCCCCCTATTTCACATCATCCATTCCACACATGAATTAAGTTTTATCTCCCCCTCCGAACCCCCGCCGCCCAAGCTCCCCCACAACACCCATTAATCACTATCATCATCCAAAGCCTCATCCTCCTCCCTCCCCTCCTTTACTTATCATCATCACTACTCCCCTCCTCACCCCCCTCCTCCCCCTCTTCTTCCTCCTCCTCCTCGTCGTCGGCCTCCTCCTCCTCCTCCTCCTCTTCATCTCCCTCCTCCTCTTCATCAGCCACAGTCTCCGCATCCGAAACCTGCCCATCAACCTCCATCTTCGCACCAGCATCCAACCTCGCCTTCTTCGCGCTCCTCTCCCCCGACGGTGTTTCAGCACTAGCAGCAGCAGCCGTCGCCATCTTGGGCTTATTCACCGCCGCGAAACACCTCCCCCCACCACCACCAGCACCCCGTTCTGTAACCTGGGTAGTATCATTCCCCACATCCTCCCCCTCTTCCTCGTCATCCCCAGCATCATTAGTAGCCGTGCTCATAAACGACGCCTCCCCTACACCACCACCACCAGCTGATGCGCCGGCCTTTTTGGCAGCCGCGACTTTTTTGCGGTAGGTGGACCGTTTGGAGGTTTGGATTGAGTTGAATTCTATATGGGGGACAAAGAGCAAGTTAGTAATGCGGAGGGGGTAGCGGGAAAGGGAAGGGGGAGGGGGGGGAGGTTAAACAGACTGGCAAACTCGAGTTCTAATCTCTCCTTCATGAAGCCGTATTCAATGTCATCTAGGGCTTTGAAGACATCAGGGGGCATGATTGTTTTCTTGTTGGAGGCGAGGGTGTTTTCGTTTGCGCTGCAGGGTGGTTGTTAGTTACCGTGGGAGATAAAGGGGAAGAGAGGGGGGGGCATACGCATTCGCCAAGTGGTTTATAAACACCGTCGCCGACTTTGTCAAGGCCAAAATGGCATTGGCCTGGATCTGCGTGTTGGCTGGGAGGACGCCCTTGGCGAGGCGGGTGATGATTGATTTTGGGAGGGCGAGGTCCTTGTTTTCATGTCAATAACAGTCCCCTTTTCCCTAACATAGACACATGATAAAGGGCGAACCTCAATTGTGACTGCATCCTCCTTGTCCTTGTCCCCCTTTTCCGACATTGGGCCACCACCACCACCGCCGCCACCGCCGCCGGATTTTGGTCTCTTGTCGTTTGGCGAAGCAGAGCCTGGTGGTACTACTGGGTGGGAGGTGGGAGCTGGGGTTTCTGCGGAGGACGGCGTTGGTGCTGGAGGGGCAGAAGCAGCAGCTGCTGCAGAGGCAGGTGGCTCGGTCGACATTGGTATATCGGGGGCGTCTGGGACGTCATCGGCGAGGACGAATCTTGCGACGGAGACATCGCTTCGGCGTGCAGCGGCAGCGGCGGCGTCACTCTTGCGGGCTGGCATTGCTTGTGATTTTTGGGCAGGTGTCTTTGTTCAAGGTCGATTCCCAACAGCGGCCGGGGTGGGACTTTCCAAGCGCAAGTATTGGGGACAGTTGAAGCTGAATGAATGACTTTGATAAACGCGACGGGCTGAAAGTGGGTATATCGAAACTATAAGACGAGGCTGGCCGTGTTATAGAAGGATGCTCTGCTCCTTCCTCAATCGGGTTTTCTTTTTTTTTTTCAATGCTTCAATGCGCAGTTCGTTTCTTGTAAATGTCCAGCAATCGACTGCTGGTCGTCGATGTAGTTAGACAAGCCGAAGAAGTGGTTTCGCTAAGCATCAACAATTGACGATGCGTGAGCGGTCTGTTGGATGGTGGAGCACCAATGGAGAAAATTGTGGCGCGTTGTGCTGGTCTTTGTGTCGTAGACGCGTTAATTGAAATTGAGACTCAAAGGTCTCAAGACCCTAACCCTAACCATAACCCTCATAGCTGATCTTTCATGCCCTTTGTAACACCAACTCTGGGTTAGGGTTATTGGTTACATTCCCCTTTCGGACTCTTATCTCCTTCTGGCCCCCCATCATCCACCCCATTTTGTTTCAGCCAGGGCCCGTATTCCCCAGAATCGAAAAACGCCATTGGCGATCCTGATTTCCCTCTTTTCCTCACCATCATCCCATGCCCGTCGTCGCTCGCTCGGGCCCTCTCTCACCCTCCCAAGGCTCGTCCTGTTTCAGGTTACAGTGCAGGAAGTACTCTCATTTGCCCATAACTTGTTTTTTGAACCTTCACAAATCTATCCAGTGTTTGGGACCATTGTTTTCCTGTTTGGCAGCCCGCATGAAACGGTAGTTTTTGGTAGCAGTATTGCCAAACTATCTCAAGGTGAAAAAGTGCTGCTAGTAAGCTACTACTCATACATTTGTTACAGGATGTGTCTCTGTAGTGTGCGTGTGTGTGAAAGTGACGTGACGACGGGTACTCCCGCAAAAGCCAATCATATCCCATGTCCATGATCGTCGTCAACGTCGTCGTCGTCTGTGCCCGCTTTGCTTCTTCTTGTGTCGAGTTGAGTTCGCTCATCTCGGTTCCGATCACCCGTTTCCTTCCAGAAGAGAAAGTCAGGGGTATCACTCACCCACCCGTTCCTCTCCTCCGTAAAAAAAAAAAGGGTGATATGTGGAGTGTAATCCACGATCATGAAAAGCAATGCCAGCACCTCAACCACGTCATTCTTCCATCTCAAGTGGGAATAAACAAAAACTAATTCATCCGTTAAAAAAAAAAAACGGGGGTATATCCATCAACCGCCTTCATCATATCATCAGCCATCTTCAGGGCTGCTATCAAGTAATGAAGTCAAAAATGTTCCATAGAAAACAAGCAAGTCGAGGCCTGTCGTATCTGAACCAGAAAAAAGTCTGCCTCAACAGCCTTGACCGTCCTACACGGTGTGGAAAAAGAATAGGGGCCACATCCCCAACACCAGTCTGATGCTCGAACCAGCCTATCAGAAATGTAAAAGAATAGAAGAGAGAGAAAAAGAAAATATATGCAGTGCCCCTTATAGGGGTGTGTGAAAAGAAAAGCCGTTTATCCAATTGCTCGGCCAATCTCGTCCTCCTTGAACAGCGGCCGGCCGGGAGAGCCTCCGTTATAGTGAGCCTCGTCGCCCAGGGAGAGCCTGGGTGGAATAGACGATGATGAATAAACTCGCGAGTGATTGCGGTTGTAGTGATGGTGGCGGGAGCGAAACTGATCATGCGAGTGGCGTGGAGATAGTTCGACATCTGACCCCCCGTACCGATAATCTCCGAAACTGCGGGTACTGCTCCGAGAACTCCTTGTCCTCCCGTGATGCCGACGGTGAGATGCCGAGCTGGGTGGAATCTTGGATAAGCGAGATGTCTGCCGTTTCGGGCTCGGTATAAATGGGTCGTCGCCTGGAACGGATTCGTCTGTGAGGCCAGCCCTGGCGTTGGGTGCCCTGGCCTGAATTGGTGTTTGGGGAAGGCCCTTATCCAAGCTCATCTTGCCGTAAACCGGGTGCTGAGTAAAAGAGCGCCGTGGTGTAGGCTCATCGATTGATTGACGATAGCCCTGGACGTTGTTGTACACGATGACACTGGGTGGCTTCTTGATCGAGGTCGTCGAAACCTGTCTTCCGTGAGATGGTCCCCCTGTTTCCTTGTTGAAGGCAGCATCGCCTTCAACATCGGTGTCTCCTGCTGGGTAGCCATTCTTCTCGTCCCTGGGCACTTTCCAAGTCGCAATTTCATCGTCATCGATAGGTGTAATGCCTCTTGAAAAGAACAGTCGTCGTCGTTGCCGATATCTCCAACACAAATACAGCCCTCCCGCAATCAAAATCACAGCCACCGCCGAGAGCACCGTGCTCAATATGATAACAAGGTTCTTGTTGCCGGCAACTCCGTCCTCACCACCGGGAGAAGTCTCGTTGGTTACTGCATCGGCGGTGGTTGGGACTGCTGAAGCCGGAATATCTGTGGACATAATATCCGCCACGTCTGTGTCCGGGTATGAGGAGGCGATGGAGGAAGAGAAAGGCGAAGTGGTCGAAATCGATGTAAAAGTCAAGAGTGTCTCTGAAGGTACTGCACCAGTCCTTATTGGTGCTTCGTCTGGTCCTGTGGAAGTAGATGGGACTGGAGCTGGAATTGTCAGTATGGTTGTGATGGGATACGTTCGGCTCTGGTGCGGCAACCAAGGCGGTCCCCTCCACGGCTGCTGTCGAGGTTCAACAGCAGATACGTCTCGGTCCCACGTCACGGGTTGAGCATTGGTTCGCCATGTAGACATGAGCGGCCTCTCAAGCGTTGCAAAGGAGGGGAAGTGCAGAGCATGACATGTAGCATTGGGAGGACAAACTTGAAAGAGCAAAGTTAAGACCATTGGAGACAAAACGACTCCATGTGGTGAGAGAGCATCAGTTCGACGGCACGAGGGCCTGGAAGGCTCTGGGGTGAAAAGGGGAACGAAAGACAAGAAGAATCAAAGCCCAATTCCAAACCTCGACGGCTTCTCGAGATGGATGGGGAAGATGGGGGTCACCACGGTAAGGTAGGTGTGGCCAGCCGAGCCAGCTTGGAGGAGAGCCAACGACGGTTGACTTTGGGGGGGGCCGGCAGATATATTCGGAGCCGTGTGCTCGAGCCCACCTTCACAGCCGACACAACCGCAGTGGTCCTCCCCCCGGTCCCCACCTCGCACAAAAACAGGCCGGGCGGGGTGCGGTGGACAGAGGTGGTGGACAAAATGCAGCCCAGAGGTTGGGTTTGTGGAGACTTGAAATCTAGCGAGAGAACTGGAAAGGATGTGCAGCAGACGCAGAAAAGACTTGCATTCGACTGGGCTTTGGTCGGCTGGGGGTTGGCACTGGACAGGACTGCCTTAGCTCCATGCACTTGCTTAAGAGCTACCTTAGGTACCGTCTGCTTTGTACCTGGCAGAAACAGAAACAGAAAAAGAAAGACTCCAGTCGGAGATTTGGCTGTCTGCGGTACCAACATGCCAGTCGAGGTTTGAGGTGGTCGTCTGAGAGTGCAGAAAGAACCTGAAGCTCGAGAATGGTTGGCTTTCGTTGGCTTGTGAATCTCGACAATTGTGTTGCGGTACGTTGGTCCTTCCAAGCTGGGCATGGCTTGCACATGGGTGTTGACTCTTGACAGCCCACTCCCCCCCCTGGCTTCTCTTGTTGGAGGAGGGGGTCTCTGCCCCGCAGCGACATGAAGGGAAAAAACGACCGGAATGGAGTTAAAGTGCTTGCAGTTTTCAAGCCCGTCACTGAGTCGGGTCCTTCATGTTGTGGTTCCTGTCGTTCCTGAGCTGGCAGCCGACGGTGTGATGGAGAAGCCGGTGTGGTACAGCAGGACCATGACAGATGCCACGATTGATTGTGTGCTAGAATTCTCAGTCCAAGACGGGCCGTCGGAGTCGGGATATTGGTACGGGCACGACGGGTGAGCGGTGAGCGTTTCCATCTTTTTTGTTGCAAGTTGCGGCTGAGGGTCAAGGTGAGGTGACGTGGTTGATGTTGGCAGAAACCGTTGACAGCCATCCATCCACTGGCCGATGGGGCCCCAGGTGTTCCTGAAACTTTGATTAGGAGTCGAACCCTGTACCTGTCGAGGTTTGGAGCGGGGGATGAGATCCTCTTGCCCAAACAGGATGGCAACCCGGAGAGGAAGACCTTGATGGAATTTTTCTGCTGTTCTTCCTCGTTATCAATGATGGAGGATGTGAAATTGTGAATGCAATTTGCTTCGGCATCACCTGGCCTCATCGCTGCAACCCCACCATCGACAGTGGGTGGTGGGCGGGTGGTCAGGTCCCACACACTCTTCCCGAGAAGACTAGGTACAGTAGAGGTTCGTATTCAACAAGTCTCATATTGTCTCATCCATTGATGTTTTCTTCGGTGCTTCAAACTGTGATACACAAGCTGCCCGTTCAGACGACAAAAGCTGGAAAGAATTCTCGCTCAGTCGATCCTCAGTGGGGGCGGGGCCGGGGCACGGTCCACACCACGTTTAACATCCCCGGTCATACCCCTGTTGATCGATGCCAGGTACCAGACGCTTACCACAATCCATTCCTGAGCACCTGTCTCATCTCAACCATCCATTATCGTTTAGATATATCCATATGACAACTCCGGTGAGCGAGTGAGTGAGGGTGCGGGGAATGGGCAAGAGACACAATGGAACATCACCCACATCATGTTCGCTGCGATGGTTCCTGCATGACACCAACAACGGTGACCAACCACAGACTCTGAAATCGCCATGCAGGAGTCAGTCCTTTTCGGATGGCTTTTTCGAGTATTCTTAGGCCGGAGAGCCCCCCCTCCGCTGCAGTAGCCTGACCATCCAGCAATCTGATCAATCTGGCAGGAACGAGAGATATTGGTGCGCTGCAGCTTCTCTTTGCAGCAAGTCGCCTACAACACCAATCAGACCAGCACCTCACACGCGAGCAGCCGCCGACCATTCTTGATTCCGCCTTCATCCCCGTCCGTGCTCGCTCTCACTCACGGACGCAATTGCACCATCTCCCGTGGATCGACAACCAAGCGCAGCGTGGCATGGCAGAGCAGAAAAGATAAGCCTGACCGCTTTTTCCACTTTGGGCTCTACTCTAGAATTCCTCCCTTGCATGTGAGCATGGCCTCTCCGCTTGCGAGAAAAGCAAGCATAAAAGTCGGACACAGCAGACGGCTTGCCAAACGAACATGATGAAACCGCCTGCTTGTGGATGGTGTCGAGGTTTGGAAGTTGATCAACAAACAACAGGGCTGAAACTAGATTCCGAGAAAATGCAGCTCGTTGGTGCCCACTCACAACAGGTGCGGTATTAATGGCCCATTGTCACCGGCGCGTCGAATCCTGCCCCTGATTTGGACTTGGCTCTCCGCATAACACGGGCCCGGCCCGTTGAACCACGCACCCTCAGTCCCCGTTCCCCCGTTGGGCCAGAAGCAAAGTCCCGAATGATAGGACGGTGCCGGGGGTTACAGTGGCAGGAGTTCTTCGTTGACGTGGCGGTGGTTGTAAGGCCTGATCAGTCTGGCCCCCAAGCCAATCACGTCTCTCCGATGCAAGATGCCCCGTTCCTAGGGTTTTGGAAGGCATAAAGAATGTGAACCAGGGCCAGGCGCTCCCGCGAGGATTGTTCCATGACTGGTTCACCAGGCGGGGTTTTTGTTGTTGACGGCAAGTGTCAAAAAATGAATTCGTCATTCTGATTTGACCAGACCGTTTTTTAGACTCGCACTCTTTTGGCGATACTGGCCTCTCGCTACCACTGAGAGCCGCGAGGGCTGATCCCGGGCCATCATTGGCCTTGCTGACCGGCTCCCTCAGGCTTGAATCTATTTGAGACCAGAGCCTTGTCTGAAATCCCCAGACTGCCCACAGTTGACCACGTTCCACGATACCAAGTGCCGAGTAAGACAGGCGGAGCAGATATCTCACATAAATCTCATACAAGTGACGTCTGGGGCAGTGATGATGACGACTTCTCCTCACCTTGGCTTGTCTGGCAACCATGTCAGCGCGGCTGTTTCGGTTGTCGGACTCAGCACAGTCCTCGTCCCTCTTGTAGTCAGAGGGCATTCACAAAACCACACTGACGAACCAAGGATCTTTTCTCGTCAGGATGTTTGACGTCTTCTACCGCACCGTCGTACCATGAGGGATCAAGCTAGGCGTTTGCTGACATGCATGCCCCTGATGACAACAGAGTGTGTGGTATATTACTTATCACTTCTCACATTCCACCCAACCATCCCTTAGGTAGTCATCCTCATCCTCCTCAGCCGTCCACCCACAGCCTCAAACCCTCACGGGATGGATCACATGACTCTCTTCGAACCTGTTTCAAGCTGCTGTGAGAGGGGACCCCTTGATGTTGGGCATCAATGGATGGCATAACTACCTACCTAACAAACAATGGAAAAAGATCCGAATATTGAGCCCTGATTTGGGGACCTTGCATATACCCAGCCTAGCCGGTTAAAATGGGATGGGCTGAGCGAGATGTCATGTTGAGCAGCTGGTTGGTCAGGGTCGGTGAAAGGGAGGGCCACACCACCGGCTCGATTTGTGGGTTGTGTGTGTGTGTGTCTCCCCTTCCCCATGATGGGTCTGCGGCGCAGAGATGCAGGGCCAAGACGGAGGGCCAAAGGGGTGATATTGAGACTGAACAACCTAGCGGGGCAACCAAGTGGCACAGCTGAAGTTCCCAAGGCAAGAGACGGGAGAGTGATGTTTTTTGAGATGCCGAGATGACCGATTGGGTTTTTAGGTTCGCAGGGCGGGCTTCTGGACTCCTCGCTGTAGCTCTTGCACAGGAGAGGGGATTGATGGCGTTCTTGGTTCGATATAGGGACGATGAGTGAGCGCCTTGCAGGCTTATACAGGAGCTCCTCCAATCCCAGATCCTGCAAGCCATAAGCCCAAATGGGAAGAGGTGTGTGTGTAAGTAAGGTACCCGAGTGCCCGACTTGGATGCTTGAGCCTCCACCAACTATAGCAGCAACACTTCTCACATTTTCACCCGTATCAGAAGCGGCCGAGCAAAAGGCACGTTTGTTGGTAGTTTTGCCTGCTCGCCTTACACTGCGGTATGTGTACGGCCGGTTCGGATGTTCCACGCCTTGCGCATGCAGACGGTATTCACTCTTTGGGTTTTCATATATGACAAAGGGTGATAGGAATTCAGAAATGCTACTCTAGTATTTTACCATACTTATCCTTGACAGACATCCTTGGCTTGCGTTTTGAGATTTTTCTTGTCTACCTGCAGAGTTCGTTTTCTAATCAGAGCCTCACAGCAGGCATACCGAGAGCCTCACTGAGAAGTAGTAGGACAAGCGGTAAGAGAAACCTTTTCACCAAATATGGTAATGCAAATGCAGTTGACTGGCTCAGGCGGCGTCTCGCTGATGATGGAGTTTTTTTGTTTCCCGCGTACGTTTGGAGAGATTCGGCAGATGTAGCCTACCCATGTGGGTTGGCGGCGTTGGCGTGCTGTGTGGGCTGTTCTTTTGTCGACATTTGCTCACGGACAATGGCTGTGTCGATCGGGCAGAGAGGGGAAGAGCATAACTGAAGTTCTGGGGTGTGTATAAACTGAATCTATGCGCCACGCTGTTACATATGGGCTGCTCGTGATGGAGGTGATAGTGGTCCGTAGGCGGCCACACGGCTCAGGGGTGTTGGGTTCTGTTGTTACCTATTTCATCATGTTGACTTTGCGTCAAAGTTGAAATGCGAAGTTCTTGTCACAGGTTACATAAACTGATGTTGAAAGTCTTTGAGATGATGATTCCTACCTATGGTGTGAAGAGGTGAGCAAACAATGCAGCACAGGTGCCACGGATGTGGGTAGAGATAGGGCCTGGATACAGTGAGATGAGCATCAAGGCCTGATACCATCATCTTCCTCAATAGCAGTCCAAACGAAGGTGAGCTGAGACTCAATCCCAGGTTGATCCACCGGCAGTTTTCCTGTTCTGTTCCTGTGCTTCAATTCCTCTGTTCGCTAAACACAACACGAGCTCAAGGCTCTTTCTCTAGAAGCGGAAAAACCAAATATGTCTATCTAGGCGAGTGATAGTTTCACTCGTCAGAGCATACGCGAAAGGCAGCAACCCTTTGGCGAGTGGCCCAGGCTGATATGTTTCTTGGGGCTTCCTGAAAGGAGATGTTGGTGACGATGGCGACAGGCACTCTTCTTGAGATTTGAACAGCCCAGGTTTTGATGACTGGATGACAGGAAAACTAGGTGGTGTAGCCGCGGTGATGATGACTTGGCAAAGAACAGCGCCCCGCAATAATTGTGATGGGATCGGTAACATGACGAGACGGGATGAAAAATTGTGGCCGTGCGGCGGTTGAATCGTTGTCACCGATCATCCCATGTCTGTACCTAGGCGGGAGTCCAGGCAGCCTGGGTGGTCGGCCGTTTTGGGCGGCCTACTGTGAGATTTCAGATCATTATGGGATCAATGTTGGCGATATCTTCGTTTCTGGATCCTGACCAGGTCCACGGGTGATGTCATCAAGGAAAGAGTATCCGAAGCCATCTATAACAAGACTGCGTGCTTACAGCTTCCATATCGTAGCGAAGGTTATAAGGAAAATGTAGAAAATCCACTGGTTAACCCTCAACCCCTAGAGAAGAAAGGGACGAATTGCTGTCAACTTCCATCGGCAGGAGCATACTCAGGGCCAGACTCAATAGGCAGGAGCGATGTGACTATCGCAGGGTCTAGGAAGGAGCATTGAAGCTGCCGGAGGTCTGAGAGGAAGGAGCATAGCAAAAGCCAGTTTCTAAGGGAAGGAGCGAGAGACATCGAAGTCTCCCTCCACAAACCCCTTGCCCTTGAGGAGGGAGCTGTTGATGACAGAAATAAACAGAACTCCCTCCCGTTAACCACTGCGAATTCAGACCATCAAGCAAAAGAGGTATGTGCATTGGTGGTTTCCGGCATTGCATTGAAGACAGTTAAGTCTGGGATGTAAGATGTAATGTGAAAAGAGGCAGTGGTAAAAAGGGGTAATGTGGTAATGTGTGTCAGTGTGGTAACATGTTGATATGGTAACGTGAAAAGGAGTAAAAGCAGGCAACAGCTCAAGACTCGAATTTTGTTTAATGGTATCCTAGCAGCCATAGCAAACAAGCAAGCGCAACAAGAGGTATAGTAATGAAAAGCCAGAGAAGTAAGGCCCCCCATTATCTAAAAGACATTCATCCAAGCAGCCGGCAAGTATGCCAACCCTTTCATCATCATACAAAATCTCGACACATCCAACCATTATCCATCAACATCCTTTCCCATCCTTCCCTCATACAAAACTTCAAAACATGGTATCAAATCCGTCCCCCCTCCGCCTCGACTTAATGCGACCTCCCGCTCCTCACACTCCTCCTGCTCCCCCGCCCAACACTCCCCACCACACTAGCCGGCTTCTTCCCCCTATAATCCAACGCCGGAATCGTCAACCCATACCCCTCCGTTCTTCCCTCCCCATCATGCTGGTCAATCTCCACCTGGATAACCACATCCAACCCGCCGTCAGAACCCGTGCCGTGTTCACCCGGAATAGCGGCCTTGTGCTTACTGCCACAGTTGACCTCACCAGCCCCGATAGGAAGGCGCGTGTCCTTTGGTCGGGGAGCCGCCGGATTGGTCTGGGCAGAGTGCGGGAGGCTGACCTGAGACCCCTGAGCACCACCACCACCATTAGCAGGCGGGAACAAATGATTCTGATCAACCTGGTGAGAGTTGAGCGGACCGCCACTGTTCCGCTGGCCGTTATTAGGCGAATTCTCCGTGATGATGGCAAAGTTTCGGCTCGGCATGGTGACGTTGTTGGACTTGGAGGTTTTGTTGCTGTCGCCTGGGTCTTTGTCAAAGAGCTTCAGCAATGTCTCGTCCGTCTCGTGGTTGAGGTGGTGGATCTTGTTGCGACGGGCCAACAGGTTGGCTACCGCGGCAGGAGGGGGCTTGTTGACAATGGCCGAGGAGACCACGTTGGCGATGTAGCGGTAGTCGTTTTCAGGCGCGATGTTGAGCTTGGGGTTGGAGTAGAAGCGTCCCAGGGCGGCGAGATGGACGTCACCGCTGAGGATGGTGACGCGGATGGAGAACTCGGCCGCCAAAGCCTGGAAGCGCTCAATGAGCCGGTTGCGCTCTTTCTTGTGGGTGCGGGCGGTGTAGTGGTCGTCGAGGTCGTCGAGCAGATCGACGCTGCCGTCGAAGCTGTTGAAGAAGCTGCCGCCGAGACCGACGCGGCGGTTGAGGAGCTTGATGGGGGCGATGACTGGGGAGGAGAAGATGTTTTCGAGCCAGGTGAGGCGAGGATAGGCAATGGGCACACCCAGCAGGAGAATCAGGTGCTTCAGAGGCTGGTCCGAGTTCGCGGCAGCAGTGAACTCCTCCTTGAGACGAGCAAAAATGGCATCATACGTCTCGGGATAGTTGATCTGGTGCCTCGTACGTTCGGTGCGAGCGTCAAGGCCAATGAAGGCTATCCTAGCACCCAGCCTCGCGTACACATTGTGCGAGTGCTCAGCAACATATGGACCTGGCTTCAGGCCGTTGATATAGCCAGACTCGGTGATCTGGGGGTGGACATGGGCAGTCATGAACTGGTTTGGATCCACGCCCTGTCCTTCCTCACCACCAGCCGCATGGACCGCGTCGGAGGTGTATGTAGACGGCGGCGGAGGGAGATGGTGCTGGAAAAGCATGTAGTACTTGTGAGCGACACCACCGATGCCTCTGAAAACATCGCACTTCATGAAGTCGTTGACATAAGAGCCAAATCCGTCGATAATGTCGTGGTCATCCCAGATATTGATCTGGGGAATTTGGCCATTGGCAGCAGCAAAGGGCTCAGTGCCGTACCTGAGTAGCAACAGTTAGTTCCCGGCCACGACAAGAACGATCCCCTGTTCTCAACTTACCAGCAGATATAGTTCTTCAAATAGTAGTCATCACACTCCTCCCTCAACGATTCCGGAAAAGGATAATCCCTCCTCTTCTTCGGATTCCCAATCGCAGTCCACTTCCTAAGCGGCCCCTGCACCCGAATCCCATCGTTGTAAATCTGATCACCACCTCCAATCATGACATGAAACGGCCTCTCCTGATGCTTCCTCATAACATCATTCCACAAGCACGCCCCGCTGTACGCCTCCTCATCCGTGCCCACACTGAACCCATTGCAGCTGTGAAACATGATCCTCATGCTCTCCGTGATGGCCGGCACGAAGAACGCATTCACCCTCGGCTTCGACTGGCTCTTGTACCTCAACCCAGGCAGCTCATACTCCCACTTGGTCTCCCTCCCCCCCATCTCCACCGCAAGGTCAAACCTCCAAAAGGTATTCCTCGGGTCCGAATACAGACACACACCCTCAACATCCATCCCCTGACCTCCCTCCCCCCCAGCCCTGCGAAGGTTGAGCGACGGCGTAAAAGGCTGCTCCCTCCCCCCACCAACAACAACAACCAACACGCTCCCAATCCAAGTATTCCCCTCCATCCTCCGGTAGTTAATCAGCGGTCCAACCGCCACCTCCTTCCCATCCGCCGGCGGCCCCGACGAAGCCTTAATCGCCGACTCAGCAGCCGGCGCATCCTCCGCGTGGCCCGTCGCGGCGCGGGCCTCTTCCGCGCCAGCCATGACGGGCTTGAAGCGCATGCTCGTAGGGCGCTCATTCCCGTTGGGATTCTCCGGTTCAACCCTCGATTTGTTCAGAAAGTTGGCCAGATCTCCCACGCCACCTTGCGCATCCGCCTCGCGCGCTACAGGGCCGTTATGGTGGTGGTGATGGTGATGGTGAGCAGCGCCGCCAGCGCGCTCTTGTTCATACTTGGCATAGGCAGAGGACTCGGCATGGCGCCAGCGGGACTGGGAAGCATAAGGGTTGCGCGCGTCGTCGCCAATCTCGTCGTCGCCGTGAGGGGGGCTGCTCGGGGAAGTCATCTCGACCGGGGTGTTCTCAATGTGCCGTCGCGACACTTTTTGCGCCTGAGGTCGGTAAGTGCGACTTTGTTTACAAAAAATCGCAGAGAGGGAGGTGTATAAGGTAGATCAGTTCAATGTAGTAGATCAGCAACAGATCTATCTCTCTTTGTCGAATTGCACGTTTGGCAAAAAGATGCTCGAAACCAAACAGCAACAAGTCAACAAAGAAAGAAAGAAAGAAAGAGAGGAAAAAAAAAAAAAAGAGGCTGGCGCAAATGGGATGTGTGAGTGTGTGTGTGTAAGACTACCAGGTATGTATTTATTTTCGATCCCGACCTCACCCCTCCCCTCCCTCCCCTCCCTCCCCAACCTCACCTTATATCCATACCTTGAAAGTGCGGCGCGAAAACAGCACAACGATGGGGGAAACCCGGGCTGCATGTCCTATCCTTGTCCCTTCTTAACTTGGCGCCCCCCTACACCCAGATATATCTTAGATCCCGATTCCATCAAGCTTGATCTCGAGTACCCCTTCGAAGCAAGGAAAACAGGCCAAGGTGAAAATGCCAAGCTATCCTGTGATCGCGGGCGGGGGAGACGTCATTCTCCCTGTCTTCCCTCTGTCAGTATCATAAGGGAACACAAGATTTCAAGGGGCACGGCTTTGTGTGCCGCGATGGCAAAACGGGCGGGAAAGAAGCCAAAGGGAGGGGGTGTGGGACAGTGTTCGTCTCCTCCAAACCAAGGCTGGCTGACAAGCATGTTGGTGGCTGGCGGGGCTAGGTAGGTAATCACCACTCTCCCCGTAGCAGCTGAACATTGGAGAACCCTTCCTTTCTCTCAGAAACCCCCCTCGTGCAGTAGGGTAGTTGGGTAATTGGCCCATTCCACGCCAATTTCCGTTATCTCTCACCAAAGCAATAAATGTTGGAGGCCTGCCAAAAAAACCCCCAAAAAAAACCAAAAAAAATGCCATCATCGCGAACCTCGCTCTCTTGGCGTCGCATTCTTGCGTCGGCGCCGCCTGTGCTCTCCTTCATGTGGGGTCTCTCTTTCCGCAATACCGATTGCTAATTGACCAATCACCCCTTTACAATTCCGGCTAGTCGGCACAGGGAGGGAGCTGAAGATAAATTGTCCAGAATGGGAAATCTGTAAACAAACCCCATCTCCTGAGCACCCCCTTTTTCTTCATTGTTATTCGGCCCCAACACACGCACACACGAGACCTTCTGTTTCCAGTCTCGGTAAGCAAAATCGCGAGAATAAAAACGTGTCTGCAGATAGGTTGGTTTGCGTTCCACAGGCGGCCTCAATCATGTCTCTCTCTCTGTAGGTGTCCATACAACAAAAAAATTCCCCATTGGTGATACAAGATGAGCCCTAGTTTATATCCTGTGAACCAACACACACTCCCACTCCTACCTAGTCTTTACACCCACTTACACCTTACTCACCCTAACCGCCATCGGCTCCATCCTCGCCTTCTTCTCTGCCTCCTTCCTGCGCAAGATCCATTCTCCCGCAGCTACGCCAGCCGCCAGCCCCGCAAAATGAGACGTAACATCTATCCTGCTCCGCGCAGCTTTCGAGAACAAGAATGAGATGTTCGTCGCGACAACGAAGGCCAAAAAGACAATCCCCTTCAACCCTTCACTCGGCGGGGGAGGGAACCCAAAAATCCGGTGGCCGTCAAGCCGGTGCATCCAGCAGTACGCTCCAATAGCACCATAAACCGCACCCGACGCTCCCAACGTGCTGATATTCCACCTCTGGCGGAGCACAAACTCCGTCATCGAAGTCATCGCCGCCACGAGACCGCTCCCAAGGTAAAGCCCAAGGAACTTGGCCCGTCCAATGTCATCGTGGAGCAAGGTGCCAACAACCCATAGAAAGCCCATGTTGACCGCCAAGTGACCAAACGCCTGGTGAGAAAACATGGCGCCAAGGAGAGCAAACGGTTTGGGAACCGCCGGCGTGATCAACAAGTACTTGTTGAACGGCGCCCACAGCGCGGGAAATTTCCAGGCCGCATGTACCAACGTGTTCAAAAGAATGAGCGCACCAACCGTCGCAGCTGCTGGGGGAATCTCAGGAAACCAGCGCTCGTTGCGCTTCGCCGGCTTGTAAATATAAACATAAACCCCAAGGCCACCAAGCAACACAAGCACAAACGTTGCCGAAGGCCAAAGACGCTGCCAAGCTGACAGCTTCGGTGGTTCCTTCAAGTCAGACGTAGCAGACGTGATCCATTTCTGTACCGTAGGGCTGAGTTTCCCAAACTTTTCCGGATGGGTGAGCGGCGTGAGGGGACCAGCAACTCCGTTCCTTTCCTCCTCTGCCTTCTTTGCTTCTTCCTCCTCCAGACGCTTCTTCTCGGCCGCCCACTTCGCCTCGTTCTCGATGCGGAGCTGTTCCACCACACTGTCGCCATAGACACTCTTGTTCTTTTGTATCGCGCCCTTGTACAGCTTATTGGTCTTCCCGGTCGATTCTCGCGGCACCTTCTTGGCATCCAGTTCCTCCGTGGTTTCGGGCGTGGCGTCTTCCTCCAACGCCTCCAGAGCCGCCAGCTCGTCTTCAGCGCGCAGACCGGCATTGGCAATCTCATCAACTGGGTAGTGATCCCGAAGATAGGCAAGAGCCTTTTGCCGTTGCTCCATAGTATAGCCGTAGGAGCGGCCCGCAACCGTAGGGTCTTCGAGAGTGCCAGCGACGCGGCGGCCGTGAATAATCTTTAGCAGTTTGTTTGCATTGTACGCATCGATATCGGCCCCAAAGATCGCGTGGACTTCTTCAGGCCTGAGATCCTTGCTTGTAAAATCCAACCCATCCTCATCGGTATAATTGGGCGGCAGCTCGATGTAGTGCTTGTATACTATCCTCCCCCCAAAGACCGTTCGAACCCCGAATCGTTGCGCGGCTGTCGGCCAGGGCAATGGCTTTCGGAGGAGGGTGTGACTGGTGATGTTCCGACCGGATCGTCGTCTATGCTGGAACTGTCGGCTATGACATGGCGGAGGGGTCGACGAGAGAAACCGGACCGGAAAGACGATCGGCGTGGACACTGGACGGGAGAGTCTGGAAAGATGGTGAGTGGCTACCTGGACACTGGGCCGGAAGGCATTCACGCCCAATGAAGAGCAGCTCATTGTCGCAAATCAGGCGCCAGCCGTTGCGCCGACTTGCGCAAACTGACCATCAAACTGTGGGAAAGCTTTGGTGGAGCGGGAAATGGTGGGTTGAATGTGGTGGAACAGGAAGCTTGGGCCCTCCGCTACCAAATAGAAAAGACGGAAATCGAAAGCGTTCCTTGAACCCACCACTTCTTTCCGGCACGTCCCGGCAATATTGGTGTGTCTGATTGGTCAGATTACATTCCATCAAGCGACCCCACTGCGGGAGCCAGGGCGACTGCTCCACGTGGGACCCTGGCTGTTTTGCCGCCGCCGCCATCAATCGAAGCTCTTCCATCCAGCAGCGTTCCACCATCAAACAGAACAGTCAACCTTTCAAACAAAACACCACACACTCTCCACGCCCCCCAGTCTTATTCCCCAACTCCCAATCCCCCTCAACTCGACAACTCCAACCCGAACCACCAACCCATCTATTCAACCACAACCACAATGTCATCCTCCAGCACACCCATAACCCCCTCCGCCTTCGCCTCCGCCCTCCCCTCCCTCCCCCTCCCCTCCCTCCACCTAAAAGTCCTCGAGCTCCGCAACTCAATCGCCCACCTCGACTACTCCAACGAGCAGCTCCACCCCTTCGCCCACCCCTCCTCCGGTCCCCCCGACCCCGTCTGCGTGGAAGCCATCTCCGAAAACAACATCGTCATCGCCCGCATGCAAGAGCGCATCAGCCTCGTCAAGGCAGAGGTCGAGACCCGCGGGCTCAGCTGGACAGAGTTCCAGTCGAAAGAAGAAATAGAAAAACTCGACAAGCAAGAGCCTGGGGTGGTGGCAGAGACAAATGGGGAAAGGCACTCGGCCTGGACGGATGGGACTTTCCAGGCTGGGAGGATTGTCAATGGGGAGGTGGTGATGGATGATGTTGCCGGGGGTGGACAAGCACAACAAGGGGGCTCGATCGGTGATGAGGAACTAAGACGGAGGATGGAGGAGAGGATGAGGGATATGGGTGTGGATGATGAGGAGGGGGGTATGCATTTGTGAACTTTTATTGCCATGATTAAAGCGGGAAAAAAAGGGCGTTATCGGTGTTTTGTATTACTATTATGAATGGGTTTCAAACGGAAAGCTGGAGGGTAGAAATCTAGCCAATATCTTACTGTGAAGCTAGAAAAAGCAGACAAATCTTATGCTGGCCTGAAGTCTTCCAACAGCCAAGGCACGGCATCACTCGTCAAGTTGTTCTGGCACCTGATTGTAATGATAATTCTTTCAATTTCTACCACGCTACCTTCGCCATCAACCTCATCATCACCCCACAACCACCCCATCACCTTTTCATAACACTGTATTTGACCAAAGACGTTTAGGAACTAGGCCCCAACCACCAACAATAGAGAGAGAGACAGTTAAACAAGTAGACAAAATCCAAGGGCATGCTCTTACTTTGGTGCAATGCTGACAGGAAACAAAAACGGAATTAAAAGTAAAAGACGGATGACAGTAAAGGCAATTTTGCATTTGTAGCCCCTTCCAGGCGAGATGGCCTAGGTAGCCCCATAAAAAGACAAAAACTCCTCCAACACCATCGCCCAGCACAAACAACTAGTAGTAGTATTTGAAACAAAACAAACGACGATACCCCCTGCCGACCCCCTTGATGTGCAAATGCGAGAGGTTTCGATACCACAGAAAAACACAAAAAAAATATGCTGATGAGGTTCAATAAAAACACCCAATAATAATGATGATGATGATGATGATGATGATGATGATGATGATGCTTTCCCAATTTCCAGAGACAGACTGAGAGAAGGAAGAAACGAAAAAAAAGGAAACATGATCATCAGCCTTTCATGTTTTCAAGCTGTGATCTTGCCAGACGATTCTGTTGATCTCGAATTCGTGACTGTTGTTGTGCTGTTGGTGACTTCTTGAAGTGGCGAAGAGGATGTCTTTTGTGATGATGGGACCTGGTCAACGACCGCAGAGCTGAGGATGGTAGCCAGTCTTGGCTTTTGGGCAGCATGTGTTGGGTGGGTTGGCATGGGAGGGGTGACAGAAATACCCGCCTCAATGCTCTTGGTGTTGTACTCCTTCTCGTCGTCAGAGTCAACTTCGGGAGTGGCTACTGGGCGGTGGTTTCTCCTTCTCGCCATTCGGTGGTGAAGATCGTCAGAGGAGTCATCGGATTCGGTCGAGAAGCTGGTCGCTCGTGTAGTCCGACGGCTTCTTGTCCGCACGGTCGAAACGGTTGTCCTTCTTGACCTTGTCCTAGCAAGCGACGCGGACGACAACCTGTCGTCGAATGGCGTCTCGCCTCTCCGACTCTTAGCCTCAAGAGCCTTCTCGCCAACCAGTCTGCCCAATGACCCGCTTCCCACTGTCGATACCGTCCTTCTCGAGTTCACACTCATCAAACTCGCGCTTCTGCTAACCGGTACCTTGCCCTCCATGACCTTGGCGGGCGGCGGAGGCTGCAACATCCAGCGAAGCCCATCCTTGTGGGCGGGCTTGCTGCTGACAACCGGTGGGTGGTATTCGTTGACTGGTGGGTTTTTCGGTGCAAAGTAAAAGTCGTATCGGTCCTGCTCAGTAACCTGCTTCTCCAAGCCAAGCTTGGACTCGACAAACCGCCCAGCAGACGAGCCAGCCTGCTTAAGAGCATCCACGAGCTTCTGCGTCCTCCTCTGACTCTCATACTCGTGCCCCCAAAGTTCCTCATCCTCGCGTTGGTATGGCTTCAGATTCCAGTCATCGGCGGTCGATACCGATATCGTTTTGCTCAGCGTCGGGCTCGCCATCTCCGCATCTCCTACCACCGTAGGGGCAATGGTCGTGCTGACTGAAGGTCTGGGCCCGACGGTAGATGTTGGACTCCCCATGTTGAACATCACGCTGCTGCCCGCGCCTATACTCGCACCGCCGTCCCTGCTCGCCGCTGTCAAGCGCCGTTGACTCAAGCTCTTGCTGGACCGATCGATATTCTTCCCCTTCTTTGGTAAGCTTGGACCCATCTTAATTTCCTCTTCCCAGTAGGGATTCGTCTGGAATGGATCTGGATGTCGGTACAAGTGTGGCTGCTCCAAGATGATTTGTGCCTTCATTTCTCTCTCTTTCTTGGCCTGCTTCGCCGCCTTGTGGTTTCCAACGCACGCGTAACATGGTGTGCAGGCCAGATAGTAGAAGAGGGCCGACTGGACGGCGGAAAGGTATGACATTGCTGGGCCACCGGACGTGTAAGTATTCGTTTTCTAGAACCGAGTTCGTCCCTCTCTTCGACAATATGTCTGACAATGTATCCTCCAAGAATGATCACAGTTTCGGGGTGTCGTCAATCGTAGTCGCCTTTCGCTTAGGGTTCCGTAGCGCCCGTCGTTGACACACCACCGAAACAGGCAATCGTTAGCATGTCATGCAGCAGCTGGGCTGAGGTAGCGAGCAAAGTAGATCGTGTCGAGGTTCTATATCGCAGGTGGGTTGGCTGTTACGTCGAATTGATTGTTGAATCGAGGTTCCAGTGTCGTGGTTGACGGTCGATCGTTGAGTCGTTGAGGGTGGAACGGGGGGGGGGACCAGGAGGACGATGGGTTGAACACCGTTCGAAAGCTTAAAGCTAAGATGTCCCTTCTGCGCCCCAGATGCGCCTCGAATGATCAGCCGCGTCAGCTCTTGGTCCAATCCCTAGATCCGGCGCCTTGATCGTGCGTATTATAAAAGGAGGGGAATCGCGGGGTTCGAATGGTTAGGTAGGATGAGATGCACACTCTGTTGTGTCGTGGCAGGTCTTGGTGTTCTTGGGGGAAGTCGTGGTCGTTTAAGGAAACGTCGGAAGGCCTTCAACCGGAGCTCTCCATAAGCTCGCGTTTCCGGGAATTCGATGCGGCTTTCTTTTGGTCAATTGGCCCCCAAAAACCAACAGTTAAAGGGCGGCCAAATCGAAAGAAAAGATCCCAGAAAACAAAAGGAATCCAAAGATGTAGTCGTGAGAAATGTGTAATGTCTGCCGTGTGTAGCTGTTGGTTGTCTGGTTGTTGTTGGCGGGGAAAACACACACAACACAAACACACTTACAAGCAACACAGAGAAACACACAAAACACACGGGAAAGTTGGAGTCGAAAATGCAACAAAGGAGAAAGCTGAAAAGCCGCAGTCAAACTTGACGTTGAAGAAACGATTAAACAAGGCGGGAACCAAGCCATTCGCAGCAAGGGCATTCCCCCGAGGGGCTGGTAATTTGCATGCGAAACAAATCCGGGGGTAAGGCACCACGATGGGAACAGGGGGGGATGGAAATCAAATGTGCAACCCCACTCTGCCTTCCCACACTCCCAAAACTCCGAACAATGAGGAGGCGTTTCGCATTCCCCTCAAGCCCTCAAGCATAAGAAGGAACAATTCTCGCCATTTCTTACAACCTATCCCCCTCCTCTCTGATGACGTGTAGGAGTTGGGCATACATAAAAGCCTCACCTCAGCCCTGAACTAGTACGCAGCTGCCTCACCCCCACGAATTAGCACTCGTCCCCTCCCCCCAGCTTCCCCAATCTGCAAGCGAAGGCAAACAAGACATGCAATTCCATCGCATTACGCCTGCCCAATTAGATGTCATGGGCCTTGCCTAAACTAGCAGCTGGCTGCACCACTTAACCGTCGTACACCACCACCCACCAGCCCCGACAACTTGGTTGCATAAAACAGACGACGGACTTTCTCGATAATTGTAACACCGTCCCTGATGAACCAAATGCCTAATTTTTTTGGTTAGGGCGCGCTCATCACTGCACCGATGTCCAAAATGGCTCTCGATATATCCACTCTTGTTGTTAGACCTCCAGTGTCAATGTCAAAGCGATCTGTAAACACCATCATAGCACACCATTTACCCCGCCCCCAAGGTCTCCCCCATCTCATCGGGTACCAAGTTTGTCCTTCCCGTGGTGCATCTCAAACGAAACACATCACCACCGCTACACACCTGGGTACGAAACCCCAAACTTTACCCACTGCAAGAGATGGCGGGGTTTCTCACTGTTTTCAGTCCCCAGTTTTGTCAACACTATCTATATGACCATCACGATATACCATCTTAAGATGAAATATAAACCAAACATCCATACCACAATATATGTATCCAACATCTCTACCCAACTTTCTAGTCCCCTTCTAGAAGCCATTATTTCATCTCCTGTCAAAAACCCTTGGCAAACCCCCCACCCCACGGTTCGGAGTCCGTCACGTTAAATGAGCCTCCCTTTCCAACCCAGCATCATCTTAGACCCATGATACTATAACCCTGTACCTCAGCCACACAACTTCATTTCAATTCTCACTTCGTATATCTTTCACCATCATCGAAAACAAACCAGCATCACCAAATGCCTACCTTTATCATAACACTCAGTAACTGGCACGAAATCCACAGATGGCACTCTTCATATGACTCACGTCCAAATATCACCAACAAGTAATGCATCATTCATGTAATAGTGTATTTCCCCCAACCACAAAGTCGCAACTTCTACCAGCCAGCCAGCTTCCTTTTCAACAAGTCACAAAAGGAAAAAACGACCAGGCCTCATGATTGTCGCCATCTTCAGTAGTAGTAGTAACTAACCCTAGCTACTCCCATTCCCATCTCATCCCTTTCGTGATAATTCACCCAGCATTAAGATACTTCCCTCTCCCTCCCATCCATCGCCCCGCTGCAAATCATGTTTGTTTTCTTCGTGATGCGAAAAAGCACAAAAGCAACTCAATCCTTTCCCCCCCCCCTCGTCAAATTACCCCTTCCCTCTTGTTCATCGCTAAGTTGAGCTGGCCCGAGCGAACAAAAAGCACGAATCTGAAAAACAACTGCAGAAAAAAAGCGCAAATCGGTGAGGCCTATCTGTTGGAGGACGATGACGAACGGCGAGCCCCTCCCCCCTCCTGACTAAAACGACCTTTTGGGTAATGTACATGCACAAACAAAACTCCAGTTGCCCTTTTTTGCCAAATCAGGGAGAAATGAGAACGAAAAAAGACCGGTGAAATTTTGTTATAACAACAAATTGGGGATTAAAACTGCGTGATGGAAACCCGTATCCCCATTGTGAAAGAGAGACGAATAACGAAGAAAGTAAAGGTGAATCCGGTGCAGTCGCCTCTCTCCTTAGGTGCTTCCATTGTTCCATGACGTGCCTCGCTACTGCCAATTTACACATCCCACTCCTTGCTGGTCTCATCGTCGTTTGGAGTCAGAGCAGCAAAGGATGACTGCTGGGAGATGATCTTGGCGGGTCTGCTGGGAGCGGTGCCATTGGTAGCACGGGGCTTTGTGGCAGGCTGAGCCTTGGTGGCGGCGACTGGCTCAGACTCGCCGGCGCTATCGGCGGGGGAGGTGGCCTCGGCCGTCTTCTTCTTCTTAGACTTCTTGGATGGAACAGTGTTCCAGGCCTCTTCATCTTCGATCATCTTCATCTGCTCCTCCTCGGAGGGGAGGGAGGCAATCCAGTTGTTTGGGGCACCGGCCTGCTTAGCAGTGGAGGCTTTGGAAGTCGAGTCGGTTTGGGTGGGAATAGACACATCGGTATAACTGTCGGTGTCGAAGGTGTCGAGTGGCTGCACAGGAGCCGTCTGGCCATTGGTAGGCTTGCTCTCAGTCTTACCGGCGGTCCAGACAGACTCCTTGACGGCCTTGTTGGTGAATTCAGAGCCGTCCTTGGCAGCGCGACCCTCGGCGATGCGGGCCTGTCGTCTTTGGGCCTCCTCGGCGACTTTGCGCTGACGCTCGTCCTCTTGGCGCTGCACCTGCTCAAGCTCCTTCTTACGACGGTTCTGTCTCTGCTTCTTGGTTTCCGTCTTCTCAGGCTCCTTGGCCTTCTTCTCCTTCTTGGGCTTCACCTTCTCGGTGTCGGTGAGGCGGAGGACAGAGGGACCGGACGACTTGGGCTCAAGCATATCCGAGACATCGCCGGCATCCGCAGGTGTGACGGCAGGGGAAGCAGCCGAAGACGCGTCGTCATCGGCGTCAACGCCGGCAGTTGAGGAGGGAGCGGAGACCTTGGGCTCCTTTGGCTTCTCGTCAATGACCTGGGCACGAGACTGCTTCACCGACTTTTGTCTCTTCTCGTCGGCCTTCTTGGTGGCATTCAGGTTTGTGCCCTGCTTGATGCTGGCCAATTGCCTGGCAAACTCCCTGTTGTCGACCTCGTCATCGGAGCTATCGTTGGAGGGTTTCGAGGAAGCAGCCGATGGCTTGCTGGCACGAGTCTTCAGCTGGGCGGTCTTGCCCGTCTCCTCGGTGTCTTTGGAGTAAGCTTCCACCCTTTGTCGCTTCGCCTTCTCCTTGGGCTCTTTGCGGTTCTGGCCAGCAGGCTTCTCGGTATGAAGCTGGCGGGCAACTTGACGGACAGCTGGTCTGTTCCTGTTGTCAAGATACACCTTGTAACCGACGAGAGCGCTGGCAATGACGGCCCAGCCGACCAATGTTGACATGTTGACACCCATTGTGACGGGGTTGTGTGATGTGTTCTAGGAGAGATAGGTGTATCGATGTAGATGCGCAACACGCACAAGACGGTCAACGCAGTAGCCTCGCGTGTTCACAAGACGGTCGCAATCGCGGTCGGTCGCTGTTGCAGACGGGAACCGAGAGGCTTGAGCTCGAAGCTTCCTGCGGGGTTGGCAGATGACGGCTGGTCGAGAGGATGGTCTTTGCGTTGAGCAGATCGACGTCGGGGTAGACCTGGATACTCCAGAAGGGTCTCTCTCGCCTTGATGGGCTAGGGGTGAGTATTATGGAGCAGAGGGTGCTTTGCCGACTTGTCAATTGAGTGAATTGAAAGAGGGAGATCTGAGGGGGAGGGTAGAGTGAATGGTTTGATATCTGGGGGGAAGAAGGGGGGAAGAATTTGCGAGTGCTCCTGAGCTTTGGGTAGGAGAAAAGAGGGCTTCAAAAGTCTTGATGGAAAGCCACAGCGGCGGCGTGTCTGGCCAGGTGAAAGGTGTTCAGAAGTTCGGCTGCGTTTCCCTTGGCCAGCTTCATCTAGGGTGGAGAGAGTGCACGGTACACCCCTAGGACCCAACTTGGCAGCGATGCTTCACGTGATTGGCTGGACAATATCGGCAGCTGTTCAGGGGTGATACGAAGGCTGGACCAAACTGATGATGACATTTGGCAGGTTACGTGAAATATTGAAAAGATTGCTCGATAGGTATCAAGAGCAACTCTTTTGACCCATATCTTTCCCTGTTGGCTTTGTTTCCGATATGGATACGGAGTAGATGCTCTTCTCAGTGTCAACAATCTCACCACCTCAGCTATCAGGGCTTATCGGATATCGTGGTGGAGACACATGGCAGTGAATCAGTTCAGCATGAGCATCCAAGACAGGGGCATCCGCAACTCAAAGACGTTGGGATGGCCTTCTTATAGGGAAGCTGCACCCTCACCGGCACTGCCCGTACATGGCGGCCACAACCCTCCAATGTCTACATAACCAAAGCGGACGAGGCCGTTGACTGGGCTGCAGTCAGCAGGATCGAACAGCAGCAAGATTCCAGACTAGGAAGGTGGGACATCTCTGCCCACCATCCTGGCGGCACAAGCTCCCAGTCTTTTGCTGGAAACCAGGCTCGCCTTGTTATCAGTTCAAGACCTTGACCTAGGGCCTGTATCATCTTCTCCTTGTGAGCCGCGAAAACTCTTGAGGTGATTCTCTTGGACGGTTTGAGATAAGAAGTGTTACCTCCTCTTTGCCACACATTTTTTATATCTTTTTACATTGTCAAAGCTCATCAGGGTCTCCAACTCGTACACTTGGGACATACACAGCAACCCCGCATTTTGCACCCTCTCTGCAAGCACAGATATTCCAGTCATGGCGCCCAAGAACCGCATTATCATTGATACCGATCCAGGTTGGTACTGTCAAAACCTAAAATCACGATATCTGCATATGTACTAACACAGCCAACCCAGGTGTCGATGATGTCCTGGCACTGTTGCTGGCCCTCAGCGCCTCTCCCGAGGAGCTCGAGGTGGCCATGATTTCGGTCACATACGGCAATGTCCCGCTGCAAAGGTACGACCCCGGGGTCTCGCTTGTGGAAAGTTCCTGGAACATGTCGAGAACTGATGTCTGACGCGGCTGCAGATGCCTCCGCAATGTCGTGGCCATGTTTCACGTGCTGGAGAAGGAAATGAAATGGCGCGAGGCCAACGGCAAACCTACCTTTGGTGCCTTGAACGCTTACAAGCCTATTGTTGCCGTTGGTGCTTCTCATCCCCTGGAAGATGAAGAGCTGGTGGCGGACCATTTCCGTAAGTTTAGTCTAGGAAAGTTCGAGTCCTGAGGACAATCCTAACCCGCGTTATAGATGGTGAGGATGGGCTGCATGGTGTTCACACAGCTGTAAGATTTCCATCTGTTTACATCGCGAATAGGGGCATCATTTGGCTAAACTGGTATCTGTAGCACCCTGACCTGAGCCCCGCGGATACCTGGCGCACCCTTTTCGGTGACAAGGTGGAGGGAGCTACAGACTCTGATGAGCCACCATCATTCTCCCGTTTCTTCACCCCTAGCAAGGGTCCTGCCCACGAGGAGATCCTCCGCATCTTGAGGGAAGAGCCAGAGGACACCATCACAGTCGTTGCCGTTGGGCCACTCACCAACGTTGCCCTCGCAGCCGCCAAGGACCCTGAGACCTTCCTCCGCGTCAAGGAGCTTGTTGTGATGGGAGGTGCTGTCAACACCATCGGAAACGTGACTCCTGTGGCCGAGTTCAACTGCATGGCCGATGCTGTTGCCGCTGCCAGAGTTTACGCTCTCACGTCCAAGGTCCCCTCATCGACGATGCCACCAACAATACACGGCAAGTCGGTCCTGGGTGCCTATCCTGAGAAGTTGCCCCGTCAACTCAAGCTGAGCTTGTTCCCCTTGGATATCACTACTCCCCACGAGCTCCACAAGGAGACTTTCAACCAAAAGATCCAGCCGTTGCTGAAGCAAGGCAGTCCCCTTGCCAAGTGGACTGAAACCTTTTTGAATGGCACTTTTAACAAGATTGACTCGATGCTCGGCGAGGGTCACAACGAGGGCCTGTCCCTTCATGACCCGCTGACCATCTGGTACATGCTGACGCGCGACCATCCCCAGTGGACGACTGTGCCCAAGCCAGAAGACATCCGAGTCGAGACCTGCGGCCAGTGGACAAGGGGCATGCACGTCATCGATAACCGTGGGAGAGCCAAGCCGGCCGAGGTCGACAGCACAGTAGAGACACACCCCGAGGACCCAATGGATGCCGTCACGTTCGATGAGGTTCCTGGTGACACGATGGGCTGGCTCAGTCTGAGAAGGGGCAACAGAATCAACAGGGTAGTGTCGTCGCCGGGCCAGGATGCCTTTGCTGGTATTTTGCTGGACAGAATCTTTGCCTAGGTGTAGGTAGAACTTGTCTGAGACGGGGAAAAATAAAACTCTGTAGATTCCTTCCTATGATCACCAGCTTTTTTCTTTTACTCATGGGGTATCTCTTGAATTCTTTTGCGTGTTAATGTCAGCGAAAACGAAATATGTGTGTGTGTGTGTGTGTGTGTGTGTGTGATTTGTGAAATAACAGAGAAAGAGAGGGCATACCCATCGAGGCAAACCATTGCACATATATGTGTGCGACTCCTAAACGCCATAACTGTTTCTCAAAGCTTCCTCTCCCAATGCTGTAGTAGAACCGCCGCTTCCCAAACCTCTTTTTAACTGGCCATTATCATTTCCTTCACAGTCAAAACCCAGCTCTTAACGTGCCATTCTTCCTTCTCCTTTGTATTTATCAAATCTTTAACCTCCCCAGTCTTTGCCTCTTAGTTGCTTAATGCTTCGTAGTCCCAATCACAGCCCCCTTGACCTCGGCCCAGTTGATGCTGTCGTCTAGCGCCTCGTCCACGAGCCCGATCGTGCAGACGTTCTCGCCGCGGATGAGGTAGAGGCCCAGGGGAACCTGGGCCGAGGGCTCGGCGTCATCGGGGGTGCGGATGATACGCTCGATGGTGTTTTGGAGGACGAGGTTGGTTGTGTTGTCGTACGCGGCGAGGGTGCCGACCAGGGTTCTGCCGTCGGTGGTGATGATGCAGACTTTTTCTGAAGGGGACAAGGTTAGTATGGGGGGACGAAAGGGGAGGATGGGGGGGGGGGAGGGGAGGGGGGCGGACTGGAGATGTAGCTGTTGATTGACATTTTGTTGTGGGTTGGGAGGTTGAGAGTGAGAGGAGGGGTGGTGTTGTGGGGTTGGTGAAAAGGAGGGCTTTCAGGGGTGGTTGGCGATGTGTCGGAGGTGCGAATTGTGAGTGCGGGAAGGGGTGGTTAAGAATTATTTTGGATGCGCTTTGCTGTTTGAGCTTGAGCCTCACTCGTGAAGCTCTCCAGAGCTTGGCCAGCCTGACGCGCCCTGGTGGCTTGAGTAGGTGAGTGGGGCGGGAGAAGCTGGCTTGGTGGGGGTATTGTTGTATCGGGGACCGCATGGATATGAGGCTATCGGGGTCCCCTTTTTCACCCCTGAGAAAGCAAGTAAATGTCAACCTGTAGCTGTGTGCCGCCGAGAGGGAACTGATAGCATAATCTTGCCTCTGTATCAATGCTACATTTACAAGCTCTATTTCTATACAAGGGACCACAATGAAGGAATGCACTGTGATAGATTGTTTCATGTTATCGTATGTATGATCATCAAGATCCACATCAAAATTTGTTTTATCAAGCCGTCCCAGATCAGGACCAGATAGAAGAAAAAGAGCAAAAATAAGGACTCGGATACCGGGAGTCGAACCCGGGGCTGTTGAGAGAACAGACACTTCTGAGAAGTGAGAGTCAACGATGTTACCGCTACACCATACCCGATTTGAATCGTGAATGGTCCAATTTTGATGAGTGGTTGGGGAGAGTACGGCATTATGTAATGACTGGATTTTGTGACCAACAGCATTCAAGATGGAGGCCATATCCGACTTAGAGAGGGTCATACAGTCAGAAAGAAGCATTTACAGTTCAAAGCAAACAGTGGAAAACAATCACTATATCTATGGCGGTAACAAGAGACTTGTCAGTTTCGTCCTGATAATCTCCCTAAGAGAGAAGAACCTGGTATCAGGAGCCACTCGACTCTCATGCCATGTCCAGGAGGCCTCTATGCAGCGGCTTGTTACGCTACAGAACAGCCATCTATCTCTTCCCGATCACCACGTTTTGCCCATCTGGAGCATGGAATCCGTCTAGAAAAGCATATAGATATAATTTGTCACTGATCGCTTTCCCTATGTTGTGCATGTATCAACGCAGACACAGCCACATGTCGATCAACAGTCAAAAAAAAAACTTAAAAAAGAAAAGAAAAAAAAACTTGCATACTGATCGCCATCCTCGCCGAAACTGCCGCTGTCAGGGCAAAGAAAACAAGCCGCTTCGTCACACACAGCGTTTCACGACGTATAGCGCGCCTGCAGCAACCCCTACTATCAGGCTGAACAGAAGGGTAGTTCGCAACATTTGCAAGCAAGTCTCGGCGAGAAGCAACATTAACAATGCTGTCGAACTACATTTCGGCCTGGGCATCGCCTTTGGCATCGATATCTATTGCTTGAAGGCATCACCAAATACTTGGCAATGCCTTCGGTGAATGGCGGTTATAAGAGGGGGTCACGATCCCAAGCTAACAGTTCCTCCATGTGTTACCCCGCAAAAGCCTCAACTCCGCCCCCGCAGATCTCCAACGTTGTAAAAGTAGATGTTGGTGGGGGTCATTAGACAAACCTCACTCACCCCTTGCGTGGATTTCCGGGTTTCGAATCATATCGCCTCTTTTGAAACATCCCCGTTGGTGGTGGTGGCCTGTTGAAAAGAGCGACTCTCGGACTGTTTATAAAGGATCCACCATGGTTCGGACAAGAGCAGCAGCAGTAACCGGCGCGCTACAAACATTCCGCCTCTGTATATCTCGTCAGTCCGTATCGTCCGGAATACATCATCCTCGCATCGGCCAACCACTTCGGTTCATGTCGTCGTCCGCTATGGCTGCATCCGCCAAGATGACAACGTCAAACAAACTGAAGCAAGTCTTCACCGAAGGCAAGCGGCCAGCTATGGGCTTCTGGCAGATGATTCCCGGTGCCAATGTTTCTCGTGTACTGGCCAGGTCGGGTGCAGATTGGGTAATGGTGGACTGTGAACACGGCAACATCGACGGTAGGAGGCCTATTCCGTTGTAGATCTATGTCAATGGTGTGACCCCAAGACTAATCTGTGACACCCTGCTAGATGCTGCAATGCATGACGCGGTTCCGGCCATTGCCGCCCTGGGTGTGTCCCCTATTGTTCGACTACCGGATATCCAACCTTGGATGGTGAAACGTGAGTGTTCAGATGATCTCCCAACTATCCGGCAGTGGCTGACGTTGTGCTCACAGGGGCATTGGATAGCGGTGCACACGGAGTGAGAATGACAGAACGCCCCTTGTGTTGAGTGAGTCCGGCTAACCAGAGGTTCAGATACTTGTACCGCTGATCCGGACTGTTGATGAGGTCAAGAGCGTGGTATCAGCAGCCAAGTTCCCACCACTGGGAACGAGAGGATTCGGTTCCCCGATTGCGGTGCAAAACTTCCATCCGGAACCGACGCTTACAGAGTATCTTCAGCAAGCCAACGACAGCCTGTTGACCATGGTGCAGATCGAAACCAAGGAGGCTCTGGATTCCGTGGAAGAGATTGCGCCACTAGTTGATGTTGTATTCATCGGGCCTTTTGACCTAGGCAACAATATCGGCCACCCAATCATCAACGGCAAGACGGATGCTGAGTTGGACGATGCTATTGCCCGTATCTATAAGGCGACGGTGGCAGCTGGCAAGAAGTGTGGTATATTCTGCACCAGTGGAGAGCAGGCAAAGAAGTACGCTGATATGGGATTTCATATGATCAACGTGGCCACGGATTTTACGGCTCTTCAGGCCACAATGGTGGACGCACTCGCCGTTGCCCAGGGAAAGGTTCAAGGTGAAAAGGCCGCTTCGTATTGAGGCTGTGAAGAGATGGCTAGCGATGGGAGGTTTACATGTGCAACCGTGATTAGCACAGCTGTACTCTCATCCTTCCACGGGCTGTCGTACGGTTCGGACTGCTAGACTAGATGGTCCAGAGCTTCGTATATACGATAGCAAAACAAATGACTGACATCATTGGTCATGCTGGAGGCCGCCGGCATGCTCATGACTTTTCAACAAGGTCCATCTTTGCTTTGACCTGGTCTACTGTAAACCGATGCATCAATTTCATGGCCTGGGAAGACAGCTTGGGATCTTCTTCGGGCGCCTCAGACTTGCTGATGTGAATCTGTTCTTGAATTAGTTGCTTTCCGTCGTTCTTTATGCGAGTAAGCTCACCACGGGGACATCAAAGTCATAGAGATCCAACCATGGTTTGGACTTGGGATCAACAATGTCAACCTCTTTGAAGGCAAACGGCCGTTGATCCCAGACGTCTGATAAAACTGATCTTGCCTGGGTGCATAGTCCGCAGGTTTTACGTGCGAAGAAGGTTATTCTGCATGATTGAAGTAGACGAGCGGTAGCCCGCATGATTGCTTGGTATGAAGCTTGGTGAAACCGGTGTATTGGTAGGTTATTTTGATGAGTTGACGTTGAAAGCGAGTCAGATATCGAAACAGGCTCATGGTCTAAGGCTGTTTAATTGCCAATGGACTAAACCGTTTACGGCTAAGCCAGATCTCTAAACCCCGGCCCGCTGGGCAGTCGCGACGACGCGTTTCCACAGCTTCCCCGCCCCCACCAACCGTATCAGCGACAGCGGGCAACGGGGAGCTTCCATTTTCTTCGAGAGAGCTTCCATGGATACCCTGAATCTGACCGCCCGAACCCCTTTGTTTGGCAGCGATTAATTGTTTGTTGTTTTGACATCAACAGCCATCAACAGCGACAGTTTTCGCTTCCTCACCACCAACAAAGTCGATTCCAATCTCACAAAGACAGCTCCGGACGACCCCTCCCCGCCTTCCAGGTACCTACCTAAAGCTCCTGTCACCATGGCTCAAAAGTGTGTCCATCAAGGTTGCGGCAAGGAGTATACAGACCCCGAAGAGGTGTGCCGCTACCACCCCGGTCCCCCCGTCTTCCACGAGGGCCAGAAAGGTATGTCAACCACCATCCTGCAGCTTCCCTCTGGCCTGCCTATCACATTGATATCTCTAGACCCCGCCAAGCTGACCACGACCTTCTTTTGCCTCCGGGAACAGGATGGAAGTGCTGCAAGCCGCGCGTTCTCACCTTCGAGGAATTCATGGCCATTGAGCCATGCACCGAGGGCAAGCACAGCACCACCGATCTCCCGCCAAAGATCGAAAAGAGGGAAGCTGCTCCGGAAGGTCTCGTCGAGACGACAAACCTCCCTCCCCCGCCACCCCGTACGCCCGTCGCCGCCCCCCAGCACATACCCACTCCACCACCCCCCGTCGCCGAGTCGGAGGATGACGACGCCACAATCGAGATTCCGGACGGCCGCGTTTGCAGGCGGAAGGGATGCGGTGTAGCTTACAAGAAGGGCTCCAGCCGGGAAGGCGAGAGCTGCGTGCACCACCCGGGAGCGCCCATCTTCCACGAGGGCAGCAAGGGTTACAGCTGTTGCAAGCGCCGCGTCCTCGAGTTTGACCAGTTCATGAAGATTGAGGGCTGTAAGACAAAGGACAGGCATCTGTTCGTCGGGAGCGGAGAAAAAGACAAGGCCAAGACGTCGTCGGCTGGTGGTGAAGAGGTCCTGGAGACGGTCAGGTGAGTTTACTCTACTCCCTTGTTTTCCCCCTCCCTTCCCCATCGCGATTTCTGCTTCATAGGCTTTCCTACGCGCGACGCAAGCCAAGGCCGCGGCCAAGACTGGGCTGTGTCTGCGGGTATCCTATCGAGCAGAAACATATCGATCCACCTCCCTTGACCGCCGATGGTTGGTCTAGACGGAAACACATATGCTTATCGCCGCCTTTTATTTTTCATTCTTGTACAGAACCGACTTTTACCAAACCCCTACATCGGTGATTGCCTCGTTCTTCCTCAAGAAGATCGACAAGGAGGCTTCCAAGGTGGAATTCCAGGACAAGACCATCGACCTGGACCTTCTGACGACAGACGCGCCCGTGCCGAAGCGATACAAGGCGCAGGTCCCGCTGTTTGGGACGATAGATGCTGCCAAGTCGACCTTTAAGATCTTGGGCACCAAGCTTGAAGTTACACTGGTCAAGGCGGACGGCAGCTCTTGGCCGGTACTTCGCAGCGACGATCGGCTGACGGGTGAGATTCTTCAGGTTGGACGAGCCGGAAGGGCATAAGGAGGGGGGTATGGTGATGGAAATCAAAAGAAGCGGAAAAGATATAGAGACGAAAGTCATGTGAAACTTTTTCGTATCTTTTCCTACAATACCAAGACCGAATGTGACATTTGCCAAGGAGCGGCTCAGAGACAATGTTTGCCAAGTTGTGATGGGTTGCCGGGTATCCAGAATGCTTGACCAGACTTCACGGGAGACTTTGTTTTTTCTGTTGAAGGGAATTACGGATATTAGGGTCGGATCCGGGGGGTTTATTAGACCTGATAAGGAATGATGGGAACACGGGGTTAAAGGCGTGAAAATGGTTGGATGGGGGGGGGGGGGGGGGTTGAAATCCTGATTTCCAAAATCCCCCCTTACACAATTCCCATCATGAAAATTCCATTTCCCCGAAAAAATTTTTTTTTTTATTTTTTAAAAAATTTATCACTCTTCCATTTTTTTTAAAAAA